GTACATGTACACATACACGCATCCACTCCAGGAATAGACAGGCGAAAAGGTTGCATGAATGCAGCGCCAATCAACGCACACCACAATCATAACGAGTATTTCAATGGGATCAATGATTGAGCGCACTGGAGGCAGGTACGGAGGCCATTTCTCCCCCTATCGTTCCACAAAAAGACACAGCTACGTTGTGTTGTGCCTACATCAGTACAAACATTTTACTTCGATTTAATAAGTAGGTGTACATGACAGTAGCAATTCACACGAAACGGTCTATCAGCGCTAAGTGGCGGGGGTTCACCATGCACTAGTCTCCCCTTCTGCATGGTGTTCATGTACATAACTGTCTCTCTTGTGTACTACTACAAGGCTCTGCCCTACTGCACATGGGTATTGAGCACTCTTCGGACAGTGAAGCAAACCACGTGACTACGACTGTATAATTATTAGTAATATTATTACTACCGGTACTTGCACCTACTGTACAATGACAGGTCATGCGTTCCCACTTTAATTAATCAGGACTAGTTCAGTGCTCGAGACAGTGCTCCAAGGTTGGGACCAACCATGCTTGATTCCTCTGTCAGATACTTCTTCTTTCATAATTCCTGTCCTCTCTTTTCTAAAATGTGGCTTATCCACTCGCCTTTATACCACTGGGCCTAGTTACCGTTTATTGTGCGAATTGAAATAACCAACCAGAACTCTTTCTGTTGTACCCGATCTCCCTCTGATGTACCGCTGACTCTACGCTGAAGATCTAAGTATAGTAAATTCTCATTCTCATTATAATTTTCATATTCACTTTCTTGTTATTGGGTTCTATGCCCGTTTGAATTTGCGAATCAAAATACTGAATACAAACAAGAACCATGCACGCGTACGATTCCTTGCCATTGGGTAGCTTTGTGAAAGATTACAACCAGTCACGTCTTTGTTACTCAAAATGGGTTTGTTCAAACAATACGTCACGTCTTTGTTCGGTTTGTAATTGTTATTGCGACGCTGAATCGGATTATCACACATCAACGTATCTACTGTAGATGGGACCCATGTACATGTCGCTTGGGTCCGGCGGATTCTGCCGGCAGAAAAGTTGGCAGAATTCGGTACTTTTTCTGGTAAGTTTCATGCATGTTATGTTTGGTATGTGGATAAAGAAATTGAGCAGAATTCGAGGAATTGCCCGCCATAAGGTTTGTATGTTTCTGCCAATTTCACTGCTTTTCGAGCAGAATCCGCCGGTCCCTACATGTAGCTCAACACGAGTACCTTCGGCCATTTCCCTCGCACTTTGATCGTTCCATGCATTGAGAGTCGTTCGCTATAGTACTGTGTTATGTTTCAATTTGAACAGGCCGCAGTTGCATCATTAGCCGGACAGTCGTCCCAGCAGGTCGGCCGGACCCCCTTCCCCACAGGTCACACCGACCATATTTGAGCACAACGTCTTGTAGAACGCACCGGTACATGTAAATAAAGGTATTATCAAGTATGAACAAAAAATGAAACTCATCTCGTCTTAGCTGCTCCACCCTGCAGCGCTCCACCTTGCTCCACCATGGACCCACCATGTTACACTCCTCCCAGTCCTTTCCGATACCACATGTACACAGCAATGGATGCACTGCTGTACGACATGCATTGAACTACACCAAAATGTATCAGCATGATAAAGTCACTCACGCACGTCCTGCTATCTGCACGGATGGATGTGCCAGTCCCAACCGATATATTGGTGGCGTGTGAGACCTTCAGCAGTGGTGGGCGCCCTGGCATGGGCAGTCGGACCTGCTCTTCGGCGCCAGTAAATCCGTGTGCTGAGAAATCTCATACCTGTAATTGCATGGACGGTTCGTTTTCTCCGCATACATGTACATGTTCTTTAACGCAGCCATTTACACTTTAATACTCAGATTGAACATTAAACCAGTATGATTATGGTATCTTTGCCGCAAAAACACTTTCCTCTTTCACCAAGCAATAATTAATGAAGGGTGAACAATCAAACTACAGTAAAACCTGTAACTAAAGACCACCGTGACTAGCGACCAGCCTGGTACTACCGACCACCGTGACTAGCGACCAGCCTGGTACTACCGACCACCGTGACTAGCGACCAGCCTGGTACTACCGACCACCGTGACTAGCGACCAGCCTGGTACTACCGACCACCGTGACTAGCGACCAGCCTGGTACTACCGACCACCGTGACTAGCGACCAGCCTGGTACTACCGACCACCGTGACTAGCGACCAGCCTGGTACTACCGACCACCGTGACTAGCGACCAGCCTGGTAGTAGTACTACAGACCACTTCGACAGGCATGGACGGTCTCACATTCATTATAATTATGGTTTTGCGGTGCAAACCTCTAACTAAGGACCACCTGCCACTGAAGACCGCTTTCTCTAGCCCCAAGGGGTGGTCGTTAGCCACAGGTTTTACTGTAAATGCAAACAGCAAGGTACTGACTGGTACAGGTAGACCGTGAAGTACGGCCGGGGGGGGGGGGGGGGGTGGAAGTGGTGAGAAACGTGTCCACTAGAACCAGAACTTTATCAGGTGCAGGCTCTGCCTCTGCGGCATTCGGAGCACTTTCAGCACACTGGGTGCATCCTTCGGTGAGGTGTAGGTGTGTATATTATAATTTTAGGGAGTAAAGGAGTAGGAAATCTGAGAGAGTAGGAAATCTGATGACACCACGGTACGTGCGGAGAGAAAGGGAGGTAGAGCAATGAGGAGCTGTGTTTGTGTGTGAATTGTGAGTATGGAATAATAATGCTGTGGAACATTCATAAGTGTGAAGACAGTGGTGAAGAGGACAGACTGTACTACAAGTAGTTGATAATTACGTTACAATAACAAGTTACCACACACGGGAACACATACATGTACATGTACAAGCATGCTCATGTATTCTTGAACCATCAGGTGTAGCAGCATGTGCGGCAATATCACAAACAATATCCATTACCACCACAGCATACTTCACAGTGTCCAACCGTTGCCAGAAAAGACACATACATGTACATGTATGATTTACCAGTATCTGACGTCCACTGTAGACTATAGTGATCGCCAACGCTGCTTCAAGAGGTAGTACGTACCGGTACATGTATCTGCAAATTATTCGTCTCTTCAGGGTTTCTGCAACTCACAGAGATACCGATCAAGATGATTGTTTATCATCTCAGTGTAGTCCTCTCCCTCAACGGCATTGAATTGTTTTCGAAATAATGATTCGGAAAGCAGCATTCCCAGCCTCGATGCTTTGTTTTTATTCGCCCCGTTTGGAAAGGCATTCCAGTACGTGTAATTTTCAAAGGAGTTGCTGGTCCAAGGCGCGACCATGTTGTGTATTTTGAGAATGGGCTGGCCCATTTGCCAGTTTCTTCCTTTCACACTGCGCGATTCTCAAGTGCGCTTACAGCATGCATATGCATGACAATGATTATGCTGGCCCAGTATACCAGTATACTATTACAGTTACATTGGGACACCGAACTGCGTTGCCACCGTATCTTTCGGAGTACTAATTAAGCCGCACTGGAGTGTAAGTCGCCCCCCCCCCCCCCTCCCTTTGCCTCAAAATACATAATACAGACACCTACCCTAGGTACAGCAATGGTATACTTACACGTTACCTCTGTTGTGCTCTGAATAATAATACTTACATGTTTGTCCCTTTCCCTCAAACCAGTTAATATTATATGTATTTTGTGTGTCAATCAAGAGTACTAACTGGGCGGTAACCGTGCTGTATTGCAATAGTAACAACACAGGCTAGAGCAGTAATATATTAAAGTTGTTGTCTCAGAAAAACGCTTGTTTACATAGTTTAAACGGAGATACTCGCCTGATCACGTGATCAGATAGTTATTCGGAACACGGTGCTGGAAACGCTTTCTTTGTCGTAACAGTGCAATGATTGCATTCGATATAATTATTGCTCTCGCCTGTTTGTTACTATGGCAATAAAGCATGGCTACCGCACAGTTAGTACTCTTGATTGCCATCTTAAAGTTGCTGCCTCCGAAACGTTTGTTCAATTATGTGTGTCCGTTACTTCAATCCCAGTGAAATAGCCATGGTATTCAACTGAAGCACATAACATGGTACTTGGTAGGTCTGCAGGTCAATCAGCAGGTGTGACTACACCACAATGCGGACACGGCAACCGGTCGCTGGCTCTATTCACCCATACACCAGCGTTGCAACGTTGAGCTAGTCTACGCAGTCTGAGGATACATGAACACCTGTCTACCCAATCTATGTATGTATGTACGTATGTATGTATGTATGTATGTATAACTCATAATCACAAGGTGATCGTAGAGGCATTAATCAGCGAGAGAATTGTGAATGATGTCTCTGAATCCAACTGTGCTGCATGAGAGAGAGAGAGAGAGCACCTGTCTATGCAGCACTACAATGTACTGATGTAGATCTACAGCGGCGCAGGGCCAAGCTAGAATGGCTATGCAATGTCGTCTGGACAGACAACGACCGTCATGGATATGGGTATGCTTCCTGACACCTGCACCCGTATTTGGGCGACGTTCCGTCTGTTCACGTCTGCGCGGCCGGGAATCCGTTATCCAGTAGCAATTCACCAACTGTGGTGCATGTGGCACTGCTAGCCTTTGCCTTGATGCCCTCCCGCCACAAGAAGGTGGAATTGGAAGAAGACAGCGGGCAACATCATGTACATAATACAATCGTGCAGTATTGTACGCATAGACACTTACCTCAACACAAGCAGCACATTTGCCCGGACAAGAGGCTGATACCGAAAAAACACAAGGAGCACATGATTTATTATTACTTACACTAGTTACATGTACATGTAGATGTGTGCACGTAGACATGCATGCCCTTGGAAGTATCATTAATTTCACTTGTCGTGTGCGTGCCCTGCTATAGTATAGCGTTGATGAATGTGGTGGATGACCGGATGGCATGAAGCAAGTAGCAATCAATAATGCGACCGTGGTATTGTGCTCAGGCAGAGTGGTTTGTCATAGCCTTTGCTTGGCACTCTACGTTGGCTTGCCAGTAGACACGTTCGCATACAGTATGCTGTAAATGCACGCACAAACCACTTACACCGTCAGAATCTGATATGACAGGGAAGCGCTAGGCAGCGGTCAAGCTGCAGTTTACAGTATCGGGAAAGCGTACTGGTTGGCTAGGAGTAAGAGTGGATTCATGAAAGAGCAGAGCTCGCTGCTCTACTTCTGCAGGTGACAAAACTTCGGATGGTTGACTTGGTCGAGACGCGGTAGACGACAAGGTGACGGTTCACCCCGTGATCGGTAACACCTCCTTGATCCACTCGCCGGTCCGCATTTCCGATGACCTGAAACTCCCGCGGGGCTATCGTTCGGAGACGGTGCTGGCCGAGTGAGTGCGGGGGCTGTAACGCGAATCCGACCTGTCTGCTATACCGCCTTTGGCGCGTTTTCCGCTTTCGCGCTGTTGACTGTTGCAGACGGGCGTGCAAGGCCGGCGGAGGTTCTGCATGTCTCCTTGTTGCCCGCACTTCAGCGCAGCGAGGTTGAACCGACTTGTTGGACACGTCTAGAGAATAGAGCCCTGCCAGAACCGCAAGAGACAATGATTGGGGCTCGACCTCTTCGATGGCAGTTCGTCTTTCTTGCAGTATTGCTGCTTGCTGGACAGGCTTGGTCGCTAGCTCCGCGAAACGACAACCAAGGCGAAGGTGAGTTGTCGGACGATTATGATTTTGATTTTGCCCATGTGTTAGCGTGAATATCATGGCTCAATGTACCATGCAACTACATGTAGTCGGAAGGCGTAGAAATCACCCTAGAGCGGAGTATCACACTTCCAGGGACTCGAACCTTAGGTTCAGAACACAGGCGACAACTGTCGAATTTAGCACCGCATCAAAAGATGTTTTAGTGCTGTTGAAAGTATGGCCATGATGTTGTCATAACCAGAGCAAAATACGACACTTCAATACAAACAAGACGGACTATTCCCTGATAGTTTCAGCATGACCCGTGTGTGTTACGGATGGAGAAGGTTTTCGAATTTTCAGATGGTCTGGAAGTGGTGGAGTACGGCTCTTGGACATGAATGAGTAAGTTGAAGTGCTTTGGTATTCGACTAACAAGTGGAACTAAGGACGGATAGGTAACATGTTCGTAGCCACCAGCCCGGTGTGTACTCTCACTTTGGAGGTTGAATGAACAGCTATGTGTTCAACGATAGGCAGTCTTGATTGCATGAAGCACTTGAATTCGGGGAAGAGCAATCTCCCCTCTTGAGCTTCAAGATTCGTCCTGGTCTTCTTCTTCTGTCAAGTAACACGCTTGAGTGACCTTGACTTTGGCGCACTTTTCACGCTCTGGTGGCTGGGTGCGCTTTCTCTGATATCCTGGAAGTGGATATGAAGTGGCCAGCTGACAGCTCAAGAGGGGGCACACTGAACCATCTGCGGACACACACACTCTCTCTCTGTTCGTGTGTAGTGACCCTTTTTGTGTGTGTGTGTTTCTGTCTAGTGATGGTAATGAGTGTGTTTTGTGGATGCACATACAAAAAGTAATAGTTGTTGGCTTAGTGGCAGATGACAGTGATGAGTCAGGGAGTGTTTGTGCCCTGATTGTGCCCATATTATCCACAAATAGCTCGTGCTGCCAAGCATACACAACCAAACACAGTGCAGGGTACCATTGTACTCTTCGTCCAGCCAACACTCATTTTGCCCCAGCTATGAATAAGCCTCTAAAATGCGTGTGTGCTTACTACTCATACACAGGTGAAGAAATATAGACTAGGAATAAATCCTTTGTCCTGTGACTGAACAACAGCTTGGTAAACACACTCAAAAGATAACAACATGGCTAGTAACAACAGCTCCAGTGCACCTCTCTTCCCATTCCTTTGTGACGTTTTCAGCGGTTTCCTGGTGCCTTTCCCTGCTAGAAGCCATTCCTGAAGCCGTGAGTTGGGAACACACTGAAGGGTGCCAACATTGAGTTTTTGAACCGTATCGACAAGTTTACTTGCATACATCAAGTACAGCTGTAGCTCTATTGCAGGCCCATGATCGTACTCACACATGAACTATCACAGCCGTGCATGGTTCAAGTGAGTAGAGAACGAAGCGAAAATATAACCACAATAAAATATCGATTTTGGAATAACACACCTACAAATCCAAACACGTTGACATGTTCCATCAATTTGTGTGGTAATGTCTGTGGCACTACGGCTGCTTCAATATAACCACAATCATGGCTATTGTTATGTGTAGTTTGCGCAAAGAAACATGTGTGAATGGCTCAAGGCTGTGAACATGCTTTTGACATTATACAGTCGACTTCGCTAATAGCGATTGCGGATATCACGACAATTCGCGAATAACGACAGAATTTCCGTGCCCAGAGCAAAGTCCCATCCAACTGTAAAGCATATAATGAGACTGCGGGTGTAAGAACACTTCGCGAATAAGGACACTTTTCTGATGCCCCGCCGAGTGTCGTTGTATGCAAAGTTGACTGTAAACAATGCACTTCATGAAATCCAATCTTCAGGCTCCAGGCTTGAGCAGGTGTAGGCAAGGTCTGGAGCTGAATACTTTCTCTTTTTAGTTCCAAACTAGGTACTGTGTAGCATAAAATTAAATTTCACGGTTCAGCCGAGTTTTCCGCATCCGCCGTGGGAACGCCACCACCCTCTAGGATCAAAGGCGCAGATGCAGCGCCTAAACGGTGGGAGGTGAGTAGATCAGACCCACCACCAAGTGGTGTAGCATAAAATCGAATATTCTTTGCATATTCTTTGCATGGAATTGCTTCATGCTTTGGCCTCCATAATCATTCGAGCAAGATGAGTGTTACCGCACTGGTGAGCTTAGCTTCTGTCCGAGGTTCCTCCCGGAATGGCGGTCAGCTCTTGTTCTCTACGGAGCGTAGCTACACTGACCAAGCTTCATTGGCGGAGACAGTTAGCTGTCTGCAGGATTGGGGTTTCTGAGGCAGTAACTGTACCAAGCATTGTGTGAATAGCAGCCTTCTGTTCACTTACACTTTGGGGTAAAATGCTCAAATCGCATGCAGAGCTGCTTACGCTTCTTTCTGGTTTCTTTCTCCAGATCATGAAACAGCCCATTCCAATGGTACAGATGTATTACATGTGAAGATGGCACACAGTGAGTTCTGCTATAGGTTTCTTAACGAGCATCGGACTGCCTTTCAGGTGTTCATTGGCAGTCAATGTCCCATGCTTGGTCTAGATGTCCCCTTACATGTGTGTGTGTGTGTGTGTGTGTGTGTATATATGTGTGTGTGTGTGTGTGTGTGTGTGTGCGTGTGTCTTTGTTGGTTCCAGGGTTCATATACTTTCTGTTTGAAGTATACATACCTGTTAACCATGGACTGCTTCTGGCTAGATTAACTCTTGTGTAATCAACGGTGCTAGTGAAGCTTATATCAGATCCACTCTGATTTAGCCACCCACACTAGTTGCAAGTATTACCTTCACTGGGGGCAGGGGTAACTGCAGTTGGATCCCGGGACGGATACCCTGATGCCGTCAATCCTTTTTCTGCACCTTGTCCTCACCCACTTGCTGAGGTGTGGTGAGCCCATAAGTGGGATCATCTTCAAGTCCACCCAGAGTTTTGGGGATTTCAGGGGGTGTCAGTCGTTGGGCGGTTCAATAGCCAATTGAGTCATTTTTCCAAGATTCCTCTTGAGTCTCTCTCCCCTCTCCCGGGGAGACCCACGTGACCAGTTTTGGCAGTGAGCAACAAGTACAAGTGTGTGTGTGTGTGTGTGTGTGTGTGTGTGTGTGTGTGTGTGTGTGTGTGTGTGTGTGTGTGTGTGTGTGTGTGTGTGTGTGTGTGATGACTCACTGCGGCATGTGCGTGAGTACTGGCTGTTTGCCATGAACAAATGTAGGTGTCTTTTGATCATATCACTTGCCGGTCTGGAAAGTCTCATCAATAACTATGTAGCGCATGACTGTGCAGTTGTTGTCACGGTCACACCGATAACTCACCCACACAAAACTGGTTTTTATGTACTATTCTTAACTTTTTGTATTTCAAGAAGGTGAGCCATTTCCGTAAAGAACATGTTACACTTACTTGTGCAATACTTGCATCCCTTGAAATACTGGTGCTCGATCTGCCAGCTATCAGGCTCCAAAGCCGTCGCATTGCCTATATACATTGGCATGATGAGTAGCACACATCTTACCTGTTGAGTGCATTACACCCTCTACCCCACCCATGATGTCCAGCACCCTATTCTGTGCATTGTAGCCCACCTCTCCCCCCCCCCCACCTGTGTCCTGCATTGCAATATGTACATGTACCTTGCCCTCCTCCCCTCTGTCCTGCCCATGCTCTGCACTCCATTCTTTGCACACCTTCATGCTACCCACGTTCTGAACCACTCTCTGTTCTTCGCACACCTCCATCGTACCCGTGTCCTACAAAACATTAGGTACATTGCTCACCGCCATGCTATCCATCATCGGTTCTGCTCGGTACTCCGTGCTGATTGAACATCATACCAGCATTTTCAAAAATAATTAAAAACCCAAGAAAAGAAGCTAATTGGTCACTGTTGCTGTTGTTGCCCAGGTAACTGGACGCTGTCTTCTGAGTACTACAGTGTGGTTGCATTCAAAGGTGACAACATGACTTTCACCTGCAAGCTGCCGTGGGACAAGAGGCCGCACGCGTACACAATACTCATGGAGTCGCAGGATGGCGAGAATCTCGCCCGACCCTCGTACGGCCTCATCGATAAGAACACTAACAAAGTCATTGTCGGCGCCACCATACCAGCCCGTCTGCAGACAAAGTTGTACGTCTGCAAATGGCAAATCGCTCGCTCCGACAAAACAACAGAGAACGATGCGTTCGTCGACGCAGAGGCCCATGAGAGAATTATGCCAGTCCGCGTCGGTAAGCAGCAGTGGAGGATAATACAATTTATTATTATTCAGTGAGAGCGTTTGAATTTGAAACCCAAACAAACAAAATTGATTGTATTTAATACAATCAATTTTGTTTGTTTGGGTTTCAACGCTCTCACTGAGCATCCCCATAACATACTTGTACAATTTCAGTGGCATACGACTGTCAACTTTGTTAACACGTGCAAAACCTCAAAGACAACACCTCCTGCAGTCTGCAGCGCAACACACACTCAAGCAGAATGATCTCATGTGTCCTTACCGGGCGCAACCAAGAGAGCATGTGAGACCTGCATCAGCAATCCGTGTTTGTCATCAAGTTTAACACCTGCATGTGAAGTGATACAGTGAAGCAGATCGGCAGGCATGCTTTCATTTTCTATTGGAGATATAAACAAGGTGGTTCAGTATGATCAATATAACATGCAATGAATGATGTGCAGAATAATTAAAGTTTAATATCTAAACTAATTGTTGAACCTATCCGAGTTTTTTCCTGTGATTACCCCCCCCCCCCCCTACAGTTCACCGGCCGAGGATGAGTGTCATCGTTTCCCCACACCAACACACCGCATGGCTACCCAGTCATGGAGTGCTGCTAGTGCGCCCCGACACTCGCGGGTCGGTGTTCTGTAGCGTGGTGTCAGGGCACGGCTACAGCGTGATCGCCACCCTGGACGGGACAACACAGAACTGCAGCCGTGCAGCAGCGGCGGAGATACCCGAGAGCTGCAATGGCACCCTGGCAGGCTCCGGGGATCCAGCGACCGACACACTGCCAACCAGAAGGGTCCTGTGTTCGGTACCGGTACGCATAGGCACGTTGCAGTGCTCCGTGGACTATGGCAAGGCCACGGCCAGTGCTGCTGTCATCAGCATGTTGCCGTACAGTGTTCCAGAAGGTATGTGTGGAATACATACAATAATACAATAAATTTCAATTTCAAATTTGGACTCTGTGGCCTCTAATTTCCTAATGGAATAAATAACTCAGAAGCAGCGACAAACTCGGCCCTATAAATATACTCATTCCTGTATCTACTATCCATTCGTTGTCTAACTCCACTGAGGAGCTCTTAATGAACGGAACGGCTGTCTGGAGGGTATGGAACATCTATCCAAAACAAACTTCCTCGTTAGGGGCCGTCCGGGGTTACCAATAGGTTTTGCAAAACGAAAAGTTTTAGTATTTTTCAGCACCCACCCACCCACCTATCTTTTCTGCAGGTAAAACGAATTCCAATAAAATATTGATGTCAATTTTCGACATCCAGAAGTAACTGGGCATTCTCCATCTGGATTCAATAATTATTTTTAAAACGAAACTCCTTCAAACCCACCCACCCCCAAACGAAAACTTTTCGTTTTGAAAATACTATTGGTAACCTTGGACGGCCCCTTATGGAGTATGGTGTTGTGAATGTAAATATAATAGTTGCACTTTCAAGTCCGGGTCAGCTGTGTTGAGACGTGACCCACAGTATTCACTTGTGGCGGTCAGGCGGAGAATGACAAACAAAACAAAAATGAAAAGATGCACCGGATACTGTATACTGCTAGTTGGTGAGAGACACCGAGACACCGAGAGAGGCGCTAAACAAACCAACTAATTCTTGCACGCACAATCATGCACATACATACACACGCACGTGTGTGCGTGCATGTGAACATGGTGTCACGGAGGCACTGCTGCGCCAGCAACAAAACTGAGCGGTCATCACAGCGAGCGATCTGGTGATTGGAATGCGTCTGAGTCTGAGTACCTGTATTTGCAAACCATTACCATTATTCAACTGAGTGGTCATATCATTGTCAAAGCGTCAATAATAATATAGACAATGGTTCATTGTTTAAAGCAAGTATTAAAGTGTGTGTTCTGTTTTGCTCTGGTCTAGGAGTGTGGAGAATGTCACGGACGCACGGGAATACCATGGATGCTATGGACACTGCACAGGTTAATGCCGTGAAGAACGCTCCACTGGTACTCAGAGCCAAGTTCTACGTCCAACCAGGACGCATGTACGGCATTGAAATCGACAAGTTAATCGGCGATGGCAATGACTTCGATTCAAGTTATGGAAACTACTATGAGAAAAGCTCAGCAACAAATGTTCTGTTGGTTGCACATACAATAACTAAGTCAACAACAGACGCAGACTCTGGACGCTACAGAATTTTCATCAGCCTAACAAAAAGCTTTTGGGATAGACATGATACAGTTGTTGAAGTTCGTGTTGGTAAGTAGAACTATACGTATACCTTAGAGACTGTTTTTCCCCCGTGCTGGTTTCACGATCTCACTTACCGTATCCTCCAGCCGCAGTCAGAACCGAGGAGCTTATAAAGAAGAGCATGCAGTTGTGTCTATGGGGCAGTGTGTGGCGTGCTGCTAGTGTGCCGCTGTGTCTAAGGGGCAGTGTGTGGCGTGCTGCCTTCATTCTGTGGCCTGACTATGCCACACCCTGTACTCGTACTCATGCACCAAAATCCACAATCTCCTGTGTCAGCACGTCCGGTTTTGCTTGATTCGTTCCGGAGTACTGATGCGAACTCTAAATTGCGCTTACTAGTAATTCATGAGAGATTCCAAAAAAACTCTCGTTGGAGCACTGCCCAACCTCCAATGAGTGAAACCTTGGACTCTCTTCCCACCGCCCCTGTCTAATCACTTAATGTATGGACTTTGATCTCCGTGTTGACATTCACGCACGCCTTTGTTTGTGTGTGTGTGCGTGTGTGTGTGTGCATGTGTGTGTGTGTGTGTGTGTGTTCGTGTGTTTGTGTGTTATTGCATGCGTACGCACCTGTTCAGTTTCGAGACCAGACATGAAAGTGTTCTTACCGGCAGCAAAGGTGCTCCAACGAGAGGTTGGCGGTGTGCGAACATATTTCGTTCCACCCAACGTTGGCAGTTCAGCCGTGCTGCTTTGCAACATGCGCGCTGGCAATGCCACAGACATTGAACTATGGCGGGAGAATACTCCCATCAAGGAGTATCTGACCCAGCGGGAACTGGCAGCAGTACGTAACACAACATGTACCGACTGCCTGGCACAGTCCGCTGTCGTGTCCGTGCAAGGCCCTGAGGATGGCATCAACGGCTCCACGTACGCCTGCCGTGTGCGACAGCACGGCACCCTCTTCCAAGCGTCAGTGAAGCTTATTCAACTCTGTAAGTACAGTCACCAGCACATTACAATGGGTAGAAGTTCATTGCTCAGCCCAGATATTAAGGTCTAGAGAAAGGCATCGCGACATGGCAAATCTGACGGCCGCTCTGAGAAGGCATGTAATGCCAGCTAACTGATAAAGAGCACCCCTTCAGAACAATGGCTGTCAAGTGACCGGATTGCTAAGACGTTGGTACTAGGCTGGACAAGTGGAGTGTTGTAAATGAAACGTTCTCTTCTGCCTGCATTTCTTACTCCTGGTTTGCATGCCATTCCCTTCTGTTCACAGACCCGCAGACAATTACCAGCAACAAGCAACAGCTTCTAGTGGAGTCCAACACCACAGTGATCCTAGCTGATGTGGCCATAACAGGCTTTCCCCTGCCCGAGGTTCAAGTGACGCTGCCAAATACACTGCCAATCGGCGATGGAATCGACTCCACATATCGTCTTCACCCAGACTCACAGTCCAATATCAGCGTTCGCCTGGATAACTACTCAACGATCCTTCTGGAGTACACCGTGAGCAAGAGTGTCCTGTATACAGCAACGGTGACGGGAAAGCTCGTCTCACCGCTGGGAACACCGTCTGATGGTGATCACCTGGCTGGCAACTACACATTTAGCATTCTCAATCGTGTTCTCGGCAACGGGCCTAGTCAGGTGGTGATCGCACTCGAAACAGGTGAGAAGACAGCGACATCCACGTACAATTATGCTTTTCTTTTTCCGTACAATATGCTCGAGTTCGGGAAATGAATTCTTAAAATAATGTTTTGAAAAATGATCCATGTCGATTGGTGCTTCTCCGGCATATTATCAGCTGTGTCCAACCTCTCTGTTTGTTTGTTTGTTTGCTACTGTGTAGAAACATTCATAGTTCACGAGAACGTTTCTATTGGTGTTGACCGGCTATCCAGCAGATCAATTCGATGTGAGTTGAGTCATGAAGTCTACTGGCCAGTCACTTGGAAATGGTTCACGAATGGAAGCAGTGCACTTGAAGAACCTAGCGAGCAACCCCTCCTGACCAGCCACGGGTTGTCGTCACTGCTCCAGCTCTCGCACAAACAAGTGTATGACCTTCGCGAGGCCCAGGGCAGCGTGCTGTGCCGATCTCAGTGGAGAGACTGGAATGACAGAATGAGAGACGCTGAGGCCGTGGCTTTCGTACCTACAGAGGAGGGTGAGTATGTGTACGCTGCTTTGGAGTGAATCTGCTATCGATCATTTTCCACAGCACTGGTTGTACAGTGGGGCAGTCTCGTACGCAAGCATTTTGTACACTGCATGAACGCGGGTTTTCTTACCGAATTAAATTGAATTGCCATTGAAGCTGTTGCTTGATGGCCGCCAAAAAAGGAGGAAAACAACATAGCATAATAGTGCATTCACAAAGGATGCCATTGACCAATATACATGTGCGCAACAAAGTCACGAAAGAAAAATATAATTATATTATATTTTCTTTCGTGACTTTGTTGCGCACATGTAAAAAAACATAGCAGCCAGTTAGGGATGTGACCTCAAATAACAGTCAAACAATAACACACTAATCATCAGTGTGTACCGTACTTCCCCGAATATAAGTCTTACCCTTTTACCCTCAACTTCAGGACCAACAAAGGGCGTGCGACTTACAATCGAGCATGATCACCACTTAAGTGAATGTATCAACACAATAAATGGGGTTGCGACTTACAATCGAGGCAATACAGTAATTCCCTGACGCTCTCTCATAGTAGTTGAGTGACTGTGCCTTGCTGGTGTTATGCACATTCCTGCAGAGCCTTCGTCGGATCCAAACATCACTCTAGGCGTGCGGCTGAACCACACCGACGATGGTCTCGTCATGCACTGCTACTTGGATGCACGACTGCCAGCAGCAGATAGTGGTGACGTGCAGTGGCGCTGGAGGAGCACGGCCAGTGAGGTGGTGAGTGCAGGCCTGCGCTGGTCCAGCACGCTGTTCGTGTCCACCACACAGCTCAACGTGCTCCTGGCGCTCTCGCGTAACGTCACCTGCTCGGTGTCCTGGCTGGACACTGATGGATTCCGACACAGGAGAACAAAGATTGCCTATCACCCCACAGAAAAAGTCCACGGTAAGGCAAAGCATTCTAATATTACTGATGTATAGGCTATTCACATGATGTGCAAACACTTGCACGCGTGTGACCAAGATATCACTTGCAAACCGTGATCCAGTTCACAATGTGCTGGGAAAACGTTGCACGCGTCAATGTATCCATAGTGACCTCCTGAAAATGCCGGGAAATTTTAAATTTCGAATTCTCCTTTGGAGGATAATAGTTCACACACTACATTTGCAGCGTGCACTTTCAACAACCGACACTTTTGCTCGCGTGCAAAGTATAATCGTGAGCACAAGGGCCCGGCCAAGTTCAACAAACAGTTGCATGCGCGTGTCCAAGTTTATCGTATGCGAGTTAATGTTCTTGGAAACGGTACGATAAAATTGAGTTTGCACGCCGTGTGAATGGCCCATAACGGATAACCCAACGGCAATATGCCACCTTCTAGTATTTCTCCCTTTGATGATGAACTTTGAGAAATTCCCTGTGCACATTGGTCACAGTTTGGCACTGAACCTGTCTTTCTACAGTGTTGGTAAGAGAACTCTACCCTGTACAAGAGCAGCATGGGTGGTACTGGTGGGTGTAGTGTGAGGTGAGTTGCAGGGCACCAGTGGCTGCTCAGCCCAGTGATCATGGATGTGATCCTCAGCTGCCAAACTAACACTGGAGATCACATCAAATGTGAAGCACAGAAGAACAACTGATACGTATTTCAATTCATCTGGTGTTCATTGAGACTACTTCAAGTAATAGCCATGCTCTTCGCACACTACATGCTTTGCTTGCAGAGCCAGAAAGCCTAATGTCCTGGCAGAACATCTCCAAGTCCACCGCAATCGGCCTGGGTGCCGGCATTCCAGTGGTGTTGATACTTGTGTACGTTGTCTGGTACAACTGGCGGCGCATTACTCCGTACCTGAAGTCCTACCAATCCGTGTTCAGCATGAATCACCTCAAGGAGCTGAGCATCGGATCAACATCGCGTGTCTTCTACGTGATCATCAAGACAATGGTGAATGGCAAGGTGATGCTGGAAGAGCCGGCTGTACTCGTCGTCTCTAAAGGTACGGACATCATCCTGTCTTGTGTTCAGACTCTCATTGTGGATTGTAAGAAGAAAAGAGGACCAGAGAGCTACAAGTCACGCTATATTATCCTCTTTTCCTCTTTTCCTCTTATAAATTAATCCTGGGCTCTCCACCCGAGTCTAATGTGTATTGTGTTCAGGAATACAATGTGCACTGATGTGTGTTCTCACCCATTCATGTCCATCGGTAGGTTCGCTCATACAACCTACCGGTACCATGTTTCAATAAATTAATACTCATGTATCCATACAACTTCCCTGTTTTCATTGAGATCGGAAAGCCAAACAAAAGAGAACTTCAACGAAAATAGATATGGTAACAAATCAAATTTCCTACTGAAGTTGCGTGTACACAGGGATTTCCCCTTCTCAGGCAAGTAATTTGCATCGTCACATTACTGGGAATAAGCATTCCTAACACAGAATAACAATTGAACGAGACATGGCTATTACCTTACGATGCATAATAGCTTGAGTGTATTGTATTGTATTGTATTGTACACATTCATAGAAGAACCTTGACTGCTGATCCGAGAGTGCTCGATGGATGACTTGCAGAGCTTCAGCTTCAGATTATTGCTAGCATGGAGCTCTGAATTGAGATTAACATTTTTTTGTTCCACGGGACTTTCGTTCGTATCGTTCACTCTGCCATCTTCTGATGGGTCCATGCATGCATCCTTGCAGATGATCCTGACTGGGGAAGCGGTGGGTTTTTCGGCCCGTTTTCCCCGGCACACGGACGAACGCCGACAACACCGTCAGCCCCACCGCCAGTGGCACCACGGCCAAAGTCGCTCGCGCTGGCTACGTCTCCAATGTCTCCAATGTCCACGACGTCGGCACGGACACCTGTTTCGCCGCGGCCCGACCCGCACCGCACCTACTACGAAGTCATGCTGCTGCTACAGGAGAACGACGCTGGGCACAGGAACGTCATCAAGATGATAGTCAAATATAGCAGCCTGATGCAGCACGGTATGACTGACTATCACGTACATGTACCTTGTGCAATGGAAAGAAGGAGAGAGGGGGAGGGTGGGGCAGAGAGGGGGAGGGAGGGAGGGAGGGGGGGGGGGTACTAGAACAAATTAAACATGGAAAGATACCGAATCAAAGGTTTCACATCATTCTCCCAGTGTGAGAATCACTACAAGTTTCATACTGCTGGTGGCATAACATTCGCAGAAAGGAAACTGGCAATGGGGTAATCGAAATGCACTGCTCCTGCTGCTGTGTAGAAACAGTTTTGTGGACAAACAGATTCTGTATGAGCTTAAATTATATGCCAAGCACCTACTCAATCCACAAGCAATACTACTTTGGCTGTTTCGGCGCAGCAGATACAAAAGAGGCCGAAACTGGTAGCATTGAAGTGTGCCAAGCCACCTGCATGTTTGCTGTTTGTACACTTCAGATTCGGAGTTCAACGGTCGGCTTGTCTTGGAGTACGCACCACACGGCACTCTGCTCGACTACCTCAAGTCCAGGGTTGTGACGAAGAAGCACCACTGTCATGGTTACATCGACTGTTTGTGCATCGGTGGACGCGAACTGCCGTTCCGATCCGCCACACCGAGCAGCTTGACAGTTACCGAATCATCGCGGCCTCCATCGGTGACTAGCATTGATACGGTGCAGGAACAGCGGGAACACCTCACGCCATACATGCTTTACGACTTTGTCAATCAGCTGGCGGAGGGCATGAAGTTTGTGCGCAACAAAGGGGTGAGTACGCCCTCATCGGTACATGCGCTTGATGAGCGTTTCCAAAGAACAGGTGCAGGTGCAGGCTGCTTGCATACTTTCAGTCACCTCCACTCTAGTAGTCTTGTAGTGGTATTTATTATTTTACCAGGGTAATCCCCACAGACTGGGAGTCTTTTTACAGGGTACCCTAGGTGCTGCTTTGTTATCCTGCTTTAGCTGTGCACATTGAGGACTCTATAATTATGTCAGCACATAGTGGATACATGGTTAATGTCCTCTCTCTCTCTCTGAACGCCTATGTTTTCATCCTCCAGGTGGTTCATGGTGATCTGGCATCAAGGAATATACTGATAGGGCAGGGCGGTGTGCTGAAGATCTGCGATTTCGGTCACTCCTGGTCGGCCACGATCGATCGGCGGCCACCATCCACGCCTGTTCGATACGCGCCTATTGAGCGTCTGATCAGCCCACCCACGCTTTGCGTCCAAAATGATATGTAAGTGGAAGAATTTGTGCCAACGTGTGTCTGTGCCTCTGAAAAGCCTGAATGCACTAAAAGAATTCCTCATCAGTATTGGCTATCGGTTCTCTTTCGCAACTGCTGTTGCTATGTGAATGAACCTGTGTTTCTTTAGGGGTGGGGTAGCAACAGTCAGGTTTTTTATCATCCCTGAAGCAAACATCATTCATTTTGTGGGATCAAAAAACACATTTGCAGCTTGCTTCACAGCGGTCATATATGATTTGCTTTTACATATTTGGAGTAGCTATGATTCCATTTCGGGGGGTCGCGCAGGTGATTGCGGATATACGGTTAGACCATTCACATAACTTTGCCCTCTGTCTCTCTGCTTTTGCTCAGCTGGTCATTTGGTGTAGTGATCTGGGAAATGTGTACTCTAGGTGAGTCCGCACCATCTTACTTATACTAACCACTCAGTACCAAGTACAGTTGTTGCCAAAGAAATCTGACTCATGAGCCGAAAGCAGCGCCAAGGCTCGTGCGGCACTAGGATTGGTTTTTTGGACTGTGCATGACGTGTGTGTGTGCGTGTGTGTGTGTGTGTGCGCGTGTGTGGTGTGTGTGTGTTAATTGAGATGCAAACGTGGTGCATCTTTTGACTCGCGATTTTTGGATGCTAAACACGTACCTGATCACAACACCACACATGTCTCCTGAGACCTGTTATTTCAGAATTCATACCATCTACACACTTTTTCTTTCGAAAGGCCCTCGTCTATAAGGACCTGTATTCTGTGCTCGTTCTATTGATGGACGGGGAGGGCTACATTATAGAGCGTGTATATGTGTGTGTGTGGGGGGGGGGGGTGAAGGAGCCCTATATAACTTACAGCGGGTAATTATTACTCAATAATAATTGATGTCCTCAGGTTGAAGCCAGTAGGAATGAAGATTGAAGTTCATAACACATGCGACAACACTTCCTCTTTTGCACAGTGTTGCACCCGAGAACAGTTTGAGTTAGTGGAGCAGCATGGCTTAGGCACAAGATACGTTTAGCTTGCATATAGCAGCAGCTCGAGGGCACAAGTCTATCTCAGGTCGTCAGCAAATGACTGGATGGCTTTATGCAATGCTCTGTCCCGCCTTGTGCAGGGAAAGACCCGTATGAGAGCCACGCCAATGGTGATATCCTCCAGCATCTTCTGCAAGGAAACCGTCTACCGTGTCCGCGGCACTGCAGCGAAGCCGTGTAAGTCCTCGCCAATAACTGCCTACTGTCACACTCTGACTACAAAAGCCTACATACAGATTGAGAAACAGATTGAGATACAGAATACGCAAGCTCCACTGCAGCCATTTCATAACACGGAACACCTTACACCATCACCAAAGCAAGACCAAACATCAGTGGTCTCTTTGCTGCAAATTCTATGACAATATCAACTTTCTTCATTTGGTCCGTCAATTCACAGTAGTGGTAGATGTTCCTTGTGACCAGACAACATCACACGCTGATTCCAGACTTTGAGTCTTGTTTTTGCTTCAGATGTATCGTTAACACTGCCTTCACGCTCACTGTGGCAGTTGTAACATTCATCCAGGAGACGAAATGCCACCTCCTCTGCCACATCTCCTGCGTTCCAATTCCTTGTTTTCTCTGTGTCTGTACTTGTCCACCCTTGCAGGTTCGCTGTTATGGAGAATTGCTGGCGTACTGAGCCGGAGCAGCGATGCACGTATGAAGAAATTCAAGACAAATTCGAGAATATTCCCCATGTAAGCTCTCAGAGTCAGTCAGCTCGTTGTTGCCATCCCTGTTGTATGACGAGGAACGTGCAAAGCAGATATGCTTCGAATGGCGTTACACAGTACAGCGAACAGTAGCAACGGCACAATACCAGCTAACTTACATTGTGAAATCTAGCTCCGCAATACTAGTAGTTCATAGACCTAGCTTATTATCACCCAAAGCCATTTTGTGTATGCAAGTTTAAGGTTATTGTCAGTGTAGCTGTGAGAAACTGTTTCCTTGTGGGTGGATTGCCTAACCTAGAGCATACTTTGTATAGAGTGCTTCATACATGTTAATATGCACGTGTGTGCATGTGTGTGTGTGTGTGTGTGTGTGTGTGTGTGTGTGTGTGTGTGTGTGTGTGTGTGTGTGTGTGTGTGCGTGTGCGTGTCAATGTGCGTGTCAATGTGCGTGTCAATGTGCGTGTGCGCATATTTCCGACAGGATCCCTATGATGGTTACTTGCAGACTATACCAGGCACGGAAGCACCGCGGTCGCAGACTGGCTATGTTCCAGTGGAAGACGCGTTCGAGGAGATCACATCAGAACACGACACAGCCAGTGAGAGCAGGAGTGCCCGCAGCGACGACGACGGAGATGACGCTGACAGCGCTAGCGACCCGGAGGACACAACACCGCAGATAATCGTATCGAGTAGGCTAATGCAGAGCTTGGTCAGGCCTATGAGTGCATCCAACCCAGCACTACACCAACCACACGTAAGCGGACAACATTGCACTGAGCAAGCTGATCAGTACAGGTCTTCCCCTGTACTCTATTGGGATAATAGCCCCCCCCCCTCCCCAACCCTCTCTTGGAGGCACAATGTCACATTTAAATTTGCATGACATCATCACTTCGAAGCCCTATAAGTGATGGGAGTCACACGCATACAATAGTTAGTGTGCTTGTTGACAGACTTTGGTATAGCCTGCGTTTGTCCCTCAAGGCTGGCCACACCGAATCTCTGCTACAATTGTGAATGGCACTAAAGTCCTGCTTTCCATTTTTGTATTGTATTTAGATGGAGTCTAGTAGCGTGGAATGCTCCGTTGTGCACAAGTCCTGCGATGCCATCTGCGTGGAGGCAGTGTGCGATATCTCAAAGGAATCGTGTCAGCGAAGCAGCTCCGCCGCACTCTCAGATGCGGACTATGCGCTTGCATGTGACCATGTTAGTATGGCAGCAGGCTGCCAAGCAGAGGCAGAGGCTGTCGCGTCAAGCGACAGTGAAGAAGGGCATGGTGAACGGCACAGCGAGGCAGGGTTTTACAGTGTCGACGAGGAGTAAGAGTAGCAATGATGAACACACCAATACATGAAGGTTGCACCGAGGACAACATCACATGGCATGCGCACAGTGCATCTCAGAAGTGTGCCAAGCATGGCATGTGCACAGTGCATCTCAGAAGTGTGCCACCACACATGGGCGGCTAGTATTGACACTGAACCAGGAGATGTACACCGTGCTGTCTGTGGCCCCGTCACACTGGTTTGATCATCCACTACGACCGCAAGCAACAATATTCTAGCACAGGACTCTATTATGAGTATTACCCAACGGCTTCCACTACGTGTGCCAGGCTACGTGCAATTACAACAACTCTTAGGGCAGATCTATACTATGAACAGCAAGTCATTCATCAGCTATGTGATTTCTTGATTCGAAACTTGTCTTAAATTAGCTTTAAAAGATGCACTGCCGTTTTGTCAAAACTTGAGAATTCTCTAGGATCTGCTTCATATACATGCTAGCAATATGTTTCTTCAACTTGGTTTCGGTGAGATTCAACCATCATTAGATTAGGACAATAGGATTATCAATTTTCGTCCTCCATTCTCACGAGAATAAATTTAGGATGCTGTTATGAGTGTTATCACAATTTAATTTTATTCACATATTGGATTTTTTCACTTCCGAAGTAGCGCTCAATATTACGGAGGATTAGCAAGACGAAATTTGCGTTCGCGTTCGCTCTCCAAGGAAAGTCGAACTCAGTGACGGAATTCGCGTTATGAGAAGGATTACCAAACAGAATTCGCACTTGCATGACGTTGACACGACGTACATTGCGTACAGACACTACAGCGTGGTAAATTTATGACTGCCCTGACACGAATCCGCGATTCGTGTTCCGACTACTTTTCCGAACGAAAAATGCGAAAGTACGCAATCCAGTTCGCGAACTGAAAAATGTTTGCGAACGCGAACGCGAATTTCGTCTTGCTACAGTCCGTGCGCCAAGTTCAAAAAAGTCGTCTAAAAGTTGCACTTTTATTTGCAACCGCGGGAAATTTGAAGACGAATTTAGTGACATACCGAATTATTCTCAATTTTCGACTATTGGTTACCTCGAGAATACAGGCTTATCCTCCTATATCGATTGCTTTTGCGCCGTTATGGTGTTATAAGGGTGAGCGATGAGCACATTTTTCGAAAGTGCACCTCGATATTCGACATCTCAAGTCGTTCCGGTGCCTTTTTGTTTCTCTTCTCAATTTCCCATTTCGTAAATACGTCGCAGGAGATTGTGGGCCGTCTTATTTTGCAAGGCTCTATCTCTGATAAAACTACGCGAATGGGCGGACAGATGGTGTTGCTATAGGCCAGGAAGAAACCACGAGTGTCCGCACTGTGACCAAGTCCAAATGGGCCGCCAAAGCCGGGGCTCGAAACTGCATCCTGACAGGCAATGCGGACCATGTGTAGCCTGCCAAGATGTTCCCCTTGATGGCAGATATGCCCACCCCGATACCACGCAATGCTGGGAATATGCACATCACCCTACAATACCACGAAATGCATGTATCTGCAAGAAATGCATGAAAAGGCTCATAAATCATTCAGCAGAGCCAATGCCTAGCGCCTGTCACTGACAACGTGCATGCCTGCACAGCATGTTGCAGCACCGGCACCAACACCCGCAACAATACCAGACTGCTCAGTAGATGGTTGTGATTTGCCACGGCATGTCACAGTTTCATTACAAGCAGTAGAGCTGGCCGAGAAGCTTAACGTGAAAGTAAACGCAAACGATCAGCCAGCGGGTCTCTGCAACCGGCATAACATGCAGCTACATGACAGCAACAGGCCCACATGCACCATGTGTGGCGCACAAATAAGGGGTGTTAAGCGTAAATGTCCGAACGTCGGAGCAGTTCAGCGTCAGCTGCACACTGAGCGTGGTCTTACGGTCACCGCGGATAGTGCTTTTTGCCTAGCCTGTTATAAAGGCCAACTGGATATGGTGGACAGTCAGACTACTGACTTCAAGCTGGAGAGCCTGGTGCAGAGCATAACAGACGAAATGCACCAATGCACCTCACCCGAGGAGTCTGCATTGCTGGCAACAGCAAGATTTGTCTGTCTTGCATTCCTCGAGAACCGTTCTCTTCTTCTGGCAACGGCTGCTGATTTCTTCACCATCCAGCGACTGCAACAACCGGTGGCTACTGTCCAGCCTTATTTCGAAGCTTGGCGCTCATCTCAGTCATGGGTCATATGGTACCAGTAAGAAACGAGGTACGCTCCTGTATCGTACAGGGTGTGACACAGTTCTGTGCTTATACAATTCCCTCGCCGTTGCACGATCCCAGACCCTGAAACACAGAGCACAAAATGAAACCCAGCACACACAGCACACAAGCCAACCCAGTGGCCCATCATCCTTCGTATCAGAGCTGTCGGCTGCAATGCACTCATAAATCAAAAGTCAAGCACAAGAATTCAAGCACAAAGAGCATAACGACCTAACTTCACTGTCGGAAATGAAGCTGGACGCAGTGGTGGATAGTGTGGACAGTGAGTTGTGGGGAAACATTTGGCTGATGATGTACGGCCAATCGGAGTCAGAAGGAAGTCAAGCATCCAACCACCGTGCAAAGATGATCCGGTGCTTGTTTGTTCTATCATGCATGATGCATGCAAGCACACCAGCATGCACTTACCCTTTCCAGCTTGTTCTTTCGGACATTTGTGGATGCACATAGCAATTCCAGCGAGCTCATGCGAGTACTAGCTCGAGTCGGCGCAACAGCAGGTGGCGACTCCTACAAGCGATATCAAAAGACCATCATGGATAAGAAATCAGAGCTCGGAATGAACAGTGAGATACCTCACGCAAAGTTCTCCATTGCAACAGTGGATAATATCGACAAAAACGAGCCAGGCAGGCGAATGTACTACGGAGACCAATCAAGAGGCTTTCATGGTACATGTACATCTATTCAGAGCATCACACCAAAGCCCATCAGTGGCAATATCGTCGCGTGCAACAACATAGACCGAGTGCCACATCAAGGATTCCACTGTGCATCACAGCCTGCCGACACAAGTGAACCACAGGGTATGCGAGGCAGGCTGAGGTCCCGTGCAAGAACAATGATTGAAGGCCAGAAGCCACAAGTCGACCACCAGAGCACGCAGAGACACTTACCTACACCCCAGTCACAGCTGGATGATGCCATTCAGCCTGATTGGCCCACTGGACCTAGTGCTGTTGATGACGAGCGCGCAAGACCATCTACAGAAAGCACAGAGAATCCAGAAAATACGGCAAAAATCTGTGACACAACTATCACATATGATCAAGATAAGGCTGCAAGTACAGAATGTTCAGCATGCAACACCCAGCCCGCGCCAGATGACGCGCGCGTGTCTGTGTGTGTGTGTGTGTGTGTGTGCTTCTATGGCTTCTGCTGTAGCATCTTTATCATCGCCTCCGGCGATGGGCGTCCAATGGTCCAATGGTGTGTGTGCGTGTGTGTGTGTGTGTGATACGTGTTTGTATGTGTGTGTGTGTGTGTGTGTGCACGCATGCGCGCGTGTGTGAGTGTGTATATGTGTGTGATGCTGAATTCGAAGACACATGCTCTCACAATGCATTCGCACATGCTGCGGACCCTGCGTCTCCAGCACTTGCTTTTCTTTCAGGACCTGCACTTCTGTGCAGTTGTGCTAAACTATATAAAAAGTTTCTTTGACTATGTACTCCATCTATAATTATGTAATGAACGTCCTACCATGGTACATACAAAAGAAACTGTTCCACAGACTACCTTCAGCCAGAACTTTAGCAAACTAGATCAGCAGCCAGGAATACTGCTGGATTTTGATTAAAATCTGGGCCCCAATCACACGACTTACATAGAAATTCCGTATAGATGTCGAAGACAAAACAGCAAGGGGACTAGTTTGCAATGTAGAGGTGCCCAAGGAAAATAAGCAGCCAAAACGTCCTTGTTCAAGCACAATTACTTTAGTGCAAAATTCCACACAATTCGACATACCTCCACGAAATTGTGGGCCGCTCCATTTTGCATAGCCTGATTGGGATGTGCTTTGGGAATCCAAACCCAAATATATCTACCTTTGGCTTAGAGCATAAGCCGAGAGTGTCCGCTATATGCTATCCACTCCAGCACGACAAGCAAGTTGATGGTACGATTACGACGAAAAAATATGTAGTGCAAACACAGGTCTTCATGGTCTACAGTTGGGCGCAACGAACCTCAGCTAAAGTGACATAGGTGACAAAGGGACATACCTCAGCAGCAAACCAAGTTATGAACAAGGATTCCTCCAGCACACGCCAGTTCAGATCCAAATAAGGTTGCAAATTCCCAACAAAACAATTGTGTCGTCGTCATCTTTTTGCACCTCGATTTTTCCCGCGGTTGCAAATAAAAAACAGGCTACTCAAGGGCTTGGCGCACGGACTGGCTAATCCTCCGTAATATTCGTTAGAGCAGCTTTGAGACCCTTTCAACTTCTAATAGAAAGCGAGAACACCATGTACACATATATACAGGAAAGTCAGGAATACTCAGCTATGTAGCAGCCATGATGCCTGCGTGGTGTCTCAGTTTGAATAAGAATTATAAACTGGGTGTCCTAGGTCCGAATGGTTGCAATGTCTTTGGCTGTGCAATATTTCCTAAGGAAGTTGTAAATTCAAAATTCTGAAGGACACCTCACGCAGGTTCATTATTCATAACGCATTTGCAGGCAACTCGCCTACACTCAAATTCCCGACGATGGTCGCAGAGACCGAAACATTGACAAAATTACCGGATTGTGTGTGAAATGCAGTGCTCTACTGAGTGTAGGCGAGATGCCTGCAAACGTGTTTTAAAAGCTGTAAATTTCATATGGAACGCTTTACTGAGGAATCCATGTACAATTAAAGATAGTCCTGACATTGTAAATATCATTATCATCAAGAGTATAATGATAACCATGATAACCCCGCCGCAGCCGGGAGATATGAAAGCCCCTGGCTTTCAAGACTCCCTGCTTCACAATAGGCCTGTACATGACTACTGTTCATGTTACGTACGTACAGTGTGTACAATCAAGAGTCCATAAAAAGATGACTCCTGGCACAATTTCAATACAAGTACAATCAGTCAGGAATGAATTTCAAGTTTCTCCCATTTTCTTAAAATTGATTATGTTACCTTTTTAGGCTTTTCCAATGCTAAAAGATGATGACAAACTGAACGTTTGTTTACTATGCATACCAAGGAGTCATACCCAACCAGTGATTTGGGTACCGCTCCCCGGTGTACATGTACACGTATTCTGCCCACTTTTGGAGAAAAACAATACAATAAATTTTACTCAATCTGCGGACAGAACTGTTTGTTTATGTATTTTTGCTTCGAACTACTTACTTTTGTTGCAAAAGGGATCCTTCTTTCTACACTTTGCAGATAGGGTAGCTATTGATAGCTGTATCAGGTGGAACGGTTGGTATCAACCTGTCAGCTCTGGCTTCCCGAAATAAATCTACAACTGCAGTGACTGTACAGTGTTTGCAAGAGAAATACTCACTCAGAGAACTGTTGACATACGATACTCGACACAAGGGTATATTTTCGCATGTGGCCCATGCACACATGCCGCGCCGGGGAATATGCGAATGGCACGACATCCTCAGCAAAAAAAGGAGAAAGAAGAAAAAAAAGTCTACAGCACGAGGTATTCCCAGGCGGTCACCCATCCAAGTACTAACCTCGCCCGACGTTGCTTGACTTCGGTGATCGGACGAGAACCGGTATTTTCAACGTGGTATGGCCGTAGACGAAGGTATCAGCACTGTGATGGGTTTTATCCAGTTACTAGTACTAGTAGGTCTACGTAGTAAAATTCTACAGTACAGATTGGTGATCATCAGGTGATCGATGATCAATCAGTGGATATTTTGTGCAAACAATTGTCTATGCCTAATTCTCTCTACGAATCAGGCTTTCCGTGAACCATGCAGCGGTGTGCGCAGTTGACGGTGACCGTCCTCAACATTGTTCTTGGCTTGTTTTACAGCCTTGTTGGATTGGTGAAGGTCTATCCTGCGCTTTCTCCTGAAGTCCACAATGAAATGGTATGAAACTTATTTATTTATTTTTGTTTTTGTAATACACTGTGTAGAAATGATACGCAGACACAGGCAACAATTGGTACAACTCAAACGTTTTCTGATGACATCCATCAAGAATCAGTCACCACATGCACTGTAGGCACACAACAGAAACACAATTAGAATACCGTAAAGTCGTGTATAAAAGCCGCGGCTTATATGACTTGTTGGGGGAAATTTTGCAGGCTTCTACCGTACTGGCAATATATATGGTCGCAGTGAGGCCATGAAGCGTTACATTGGCACATGTTTACCGCACGCAGGGCGTTACATGCAAAGTCGCACAGGAGCCGTTACACAGGTTTCTATATTGCCGCAGTCCTTTTTTTTTGCCACGCGGTACACGTGCTTTCACAGTTTTCAGCCTTTGCAGTGCAAACTTCAATGAAAAGATCGCCGCACCCCGCCGGACGCGCGTTACGAACGCAACGAAAATTTGTCGCGCGTTACGCCGCACCCCCCTGCGTTACGCGTTACGCGGCAACATATATTGCCAGTACGGTATATGAGACACTGACAGGCTTCTATACAATACAGGTATTTCTATGTATGTCAACACTAAAACCAGGCTTATGTGCCGACAGTGCATCTAGAAAAATAAGGCTTGTATTCGAAACAGGCTTCTAAATGAGACCGGCTTTTATACAAGACGCTACCGTAGTAGGAATTAGAATTGGGCAGATGAACCTTCAGGGAGAAGAAAAATGTGCGTTCCCCTGGGATTTCACTCTTCCGTTCGGGCCTGGTCAGACTACGACAAAAGGCGGGCGCCTGACGCCAAGAGAACATCATTCAGGATTGTGATCGCGATCACACTATTTTATGCTGTGCATGACACAAGGTCAGTATTCAAGACGAGCATTGAGTAATGTTCCAAACATAGATTCATATTCATTGATCCTGACATTTCCTCAGCGTCTGGTGTTTAATTCATGCAACTTGTTTTTCTTTTTTTTGGGGCCCTGGCCTCCGATTGGAGCGGAAAAGCGAGTCTGATTCTTCCTTGTCGGCATCAGCATCAAACCTTGAGTTTTTCCGTTGTAGCGCCAAGTCACTATGGATATTTGAATTAGACTCCCAGAATCGGTTTGTTTTGCCACGGTCTGACCAGGCCATTACGCTCCCTACTTCTAACTCTATACATGTACTCTTGCAATAGACCCCCCCCCCCCCCCCCCGGGCGCACAGTGATGAAGGCCGTGCAAGATGTGTACAAGCCTGTCAGAAGAAAATTAGTACAGTCGACTCCTGATATAACGAACGACATTGTGCAGGATAATTAGTTCTTTATAGACGAAGTTTGTTATAACAGACATGCACTTATACTCGTACTGTGGGTTTGAGCTGGGACACGGACAACGGTTCGCTATACAGTCAGACCTCGCTTATTCAGTCCTCTTTTATCCGGATCCCTCGCCATCCCAACGAAAACCATTGGGTACCGATTTACAGCATATGTCATGCATACATACAGTATGTGTGTTTGATTCTCCGGCTCCCTCGCCTATCCGGATATTTTTGTGGAAAACGGATGTGTGCGGTTAAGCGAGGTCTGACTGTATCGCGAAATTCGCTATCTGTGACTTCATTGTAAGTGGAGTCGAGTGTACAAATGGATGCTGCACCTTTTTTTTTTAGATCTGTAAAGCATGAAGGATGGCTTGAAAGCGACTACCTCACAACCTGATGGATCACGTGTTTTCCAGAGATTGTGCGAAGAAAGTTCTGCAGCATGGTACCCCGGAATTTATGGCGGCTCGTTTCAGGGGTAACTGCATAGCGACGGAGAATGGCCTCCTTTACGCGGTCGTAGCTGTCAGCCTTGGTGGAGGCAAGTTCCGTGTGTGCCAGCAAGGCCTTGTCAGCCGGTTGGGGGCTTAGTAAATAGACCCAATCGTCCAGAGGCGCTCTATACGCCTGCATTGACCGTTCCAAACTGGTAAGGAATGCCTCTACGTTGTCCCCAGGGCGCAGCTTAGCAAGTGGCACTTTCTGGGAGAATCGCCGTGTGGCCTGATTGATTTGCACTTGTGCCATTTGCGTCACCAGCTGTGTGAGCATCGACAGCTGGGACAGCGAGTCGACATCGACATCGACATCGACATCGGCCGCGGAACTCTGCTCGTGTTCAGGGGTCTTGGTATTCTTAATAGTAGCTTGCTTTAGAGCATTGGTAACTTCCTTCTTAATGGGTTTACCAATCTCTTCAGTAGTGGGTGGCAAAGTGGTGACATCCTGCATTTCCTCTGGAACTGTTGCTTTCTTCTGCTTAATAAGCGTCTGGACAATGTCCCAAGTAATGTTGTTGGATGTTTTCACTGTAACCAGATATCTGAATGGATCTACTGTCAGCTGGGACATGTCGCCAGTATCAGTATTATCTGCAAGTGTATCAACGAGTAGGTCAAAGTCACAATGGGCCATATCAAGGAGTTCTTCAGCGTGTTCTTTGTTCTTCTTCTGTAAATCAATTTGGGCTTGAGCAAATTCACAAGACTCGATTAATGCTGAGGCTGTTGAAAGCTTGTTGAATTTCTTTCTTAAGAAATCTGGAAACGTTTCCGAATCAAAAGCTACTTGCCAGGAAGTTACTTTCTTACTTTCGTCAGCTAGGACTTCGCGGCTCGTGAATAGACGGTTCACAATAGCATTAACGTACCGTTCGACTTCGACAGCAGGTAGTGGCGATGCTCCTGAAATGATGAAAGTAAGCTCTTCAGCATCATCGGCAGCATCATCGGCAGTTGAATGGTTGTGGGCATCATTAGCGGTGTCAACGTCTGTTGTTGGTGGGCCGTCTGAGGCGTCGAACTGACCATCAGTATCAGTAGCATCGGAGCGGCGACGTTTCGCGGGATGATGGGAAATACCAAGAGTGTTGGGAGGCATAGTGTATTACTGAGGGTGGTGCTAGGGTATCGGAATTGAATTATACATGCAATCAACCGACACAGTAACAAACGAGGCACAGATTACATTTTGTTAAGACTAACCAGTTTCACCAAAAGAGGATCATCAGAGTGAGGAGTGTGAATCAAAAGAACACAATTTATAGTGGACCATTTGTGGTCAGTCCATGAAAAAACTGGACTGATCTTCTTTTTTAGTGTTTGCACACTCTTGGCTGCTGCTGCTGTGGCGCTTTTGTATTTACATGCTGCTGCGCTCTGTACGGCTGCACTAGCCGTGTTAACTGTCGTACCCAGATGCACACATTCAATCCCTGGCTATGCTTTGGAATTGTTTTCGTTGCCTATGTCCTCATCTCTCTTCGTTTTGTTTTCGCTGCCTGGGCTCTCATTTATCTTTGCGTGCTTGCTTGCTTGTATTGCTGAGGGAACATATGCTGGTTTGTATTCGTGGGTCCCCATGGTGCATGGGCCACGCGTACTCATCCGGCGGATATGTGTGAATAATAATAATAATAATAATAATTTGTGGTCAAATTTACTATACAAGCTGGTGCTAAAACGCTTGTAGCACCAAGAGAAGCTTGGGGTAAAAAATATAAATTGTGTATTGTTGTAATCTTATAAATAAATAAAAATTTCACGGTTCGCGTGAGACTCGGCTGGAAGCCGAGTTTTCCGCATCCACCGTGGGAACGCCACCACCCTCTAGGATCAAAGGCGCAGATGCAGCGCCTAAACGGTGGGAGGTGAGTAGATCAGACCCACCACCAAGTGGTCAAAGACCGAAATCCCATTAGCTGCATCCATGTTGTAATCTTATTGTACAGTCAACATCGCTTATAACGGCATTCGGCGCGGCATCAAAAAGTGTCCTTATTCGCGAAGTGTCGTTATTTCCGAAGTCTCTTTATATGTATCACAGTTGGAAGGGACTTTGCTCTGGGCATGGAAATGCTGTCGTTATTCGCGAATTGCCGTTATATCCGCAGTCGTTATTAGCGAAGTTGACTATATACTATATTCTTGACCTGTAGGAATGAACCACATGGATGTAAGTATTATCCTAGAAATGTAGTCGCGAGTAGGGTGCGAGAAAATATACATGAGGTCAAGTAGCAACTGCGGACTGAATGGTCTATTAGTATTGCAAGAGAGTATTTTGCAGGGTGCATTGCAAGTGTGCGTATGGTAAAGTGTGTATTGATAGAACCATGTGGTGGGATTTGAACCTTATGGTTTATACAAATTTTGGCAGTGTCAATTGACTACTATTAAGAATACCAACACCCCTATGAAGAATATGCCAAAGAAGAAGAATTTGCCAAAAAACCTGACAGTGACAGTGAGCAACAGGAAACAAAAGGCTATTGCCCGCCGAAAACCGAAAAGACATTAGCAGATCTTCGTTTATTGGGTTACGGCTCTAGCTTCCGTTACACTACTCGCTTGACTAGTCTAGATAGTATCACAGCTGATTTCAATAGACTGCAACAGAACATTAGATGAAAAGATTGTTTTGAGAATAATGATTTTAGAACTTCAGCGTCAAAATCTACTTTTATTCCTGGCTTCCATCTACATTCTTCCAAAACACCAGACTGTGTGACCTCCTTTAGCATTTCCTCACACAGAATCAGCCTTAATCCAGTTCAAAAACTCCTTGTTTTCTGATTTAAAAATTGCTCGATCTGTCCTTTATCGAAAAGCTAATCTTACCATTGATGAACAGCTCGCCCCGGAGAGGCTTAAAGCCCGATTGACAGTGCCAAAATAATTTTTATAAACCATAAGGTTCAAATCTATGCACCGCATGGTTCTATGAATACACACTTTACCATACGCACTTCCAGTGCATCGATGCCCGTACAAGTTGAGGGTGCCAGAAGAAGCACTTTTGGTCGGATTTCGCCAAGCGCAACTGCACTTCAAAGTAGGTATGCGCTGCACTCTCTGGGATGGGCTGTGTTTCTGAAGAAAAAAACGAATCTCAAAACCACCCTGCTTTCGTCCAGAATTATGCGGGGTGATAGGGTCGTGGAAACCAGGTGCTGTGAAGCAGTTCTTTCACCAGCACTTGCCTTGCCGCACCTGAACCGGATCCCAGTTCTCGGCGCTGAGCAATCCGTCTGCCTTTGCCTGAACTGCGTGTATCTCCTACATGCATATTTCTTTCCTCTTTTGTTTTTGTCCACAGAAATCTAGTTTCCCTGGCCATGCCGAGGTCTCACCTCTCAACCTTGTCGGTGTGAATCTCGAACCTGACACGTATATGTTTGCCATTGGTGCCACGGAGCTGTGCCTTGGTATTTTGCTCATCATCGGGCCGTCAGCAATCAAGTAAGATGTTCTGCTGATCTTTCTTACATCCTTTGATGGTTGACCACTTTGGTGATGGGTCTGACCTACTCACCTCCCACCGCTTTAGGAGCTGCATCTGCGCCCTGATCCTTGACACGGGGCTTGAGGGTGGTGGCGCTCCTATGGATGCTGAAAACTGGGTCTATCCGAGTGTCTACGCGAACCATGATTGTTTTCGTCTGATATTGCTTTTAGATGTACTTGGAAGTTGAAGTACAGTTGGCCTTGTGGTCTCTTACGAAACACCAACTGATGTCGCTCTCTTCCAAGACTAGCTTCCCGCTGCTTGCTATTTGGCTTTGAGTCTGAGTTACCCCAGCCTTACGTACAGTACTTTAACTCAATATGGAAGACCTGCAAAAAGTGTGCGAAACCGCTCTGGGGTTTTTTCATCTGACGTTTCTCAACCCTCCTTGATTAATACAGGAACGCTTGATGCACTCAATGCGAGAATATTTGGCCACCATGGGAACTGGCGTCCCTTTTGTTAACCTTGTGTTGTAACTAAGTTATGTTGCGACTTGTTTGATTGCCAACACACACACACATACACACACACACACACACACACACACACACACACACACACACACACACACACACACACACACACACACACACATGCGCACACCATTGGACCATTGGACGCCCATCGCCGGAGGCGATGATAGCGATGCTACAGCAGAAGCCATAGCAGCTTGTGCTGGGATTGCACCATTCAACAGCTTGCAGGGCTGAATAATTGACCGCCACTATTTACCCTGGTCTACACCACACAGCTATGAAGTGGCCTTTTTCTGGCCAGTGAATCCCTACTTTTTGGTCTTTTTATTATTATAATTTTTTCCCGCACACACATCACACCACATACTCCGGCATGCACTGGCTGCATGCGCGCACACACACACACACACACACACACACACACACACACACACACACACACACACACACACATACACACACACACACACACACACACACACACGCACACACACATGCGCGCACACACACACACACACATGCGCGCACGCACACACACACACACACACACACACACACACACACACACACACACACACCTGTACACATGCACATGGTCTAGTAGAGTACATATCAGACCAAACTGTTTCTACTCCTTAGCCTCGTGCACTGATGGAGATCGTCAGGAGACCATCACTGCATGAACCTTCGGAGTAGAAACAGTTTAGCGTGATATTTCACTGCACTCTGTGTGTGGTGGTAGGTAAGACACACTTGTAGTACTGATGACTGCTGTACTTGCTAGTACATGTACATGTATTAGATAGGCGTTGCTTGGTTGGAAACATGTTACAAGGTGAGAAGATACACGGTGTTGAAAAACAGTGCTCCTTTAAATAGTCCTTACTACGGCTAACCGTGGAGGGTTGTACTAAGGAGCACTGTTTTCAACACAGTGCATCCTCCGCCTTTCAACATACTGTCAACCAAACAACATAGCTACTATTCGTGTTGTATGAGCCCCCCCCCCCCCCGCCAATGACCTCGACCTGTTGTCATGGTTACCCCATGGCTACTGACGTCTAATGCCTGTTTGTTTGTGTGTGCGGTGGTGCGTGCAGGCTGCTTAGTAACATCATTCTCCTGGTGATCATGGTCGGGGCAATACACGCGCACGTCGCCCAGAAGGACGGGAAGATGGTACCGGCCATCATTGCGTTCGTCCTGCTCGGCTTCCGGCTGATGTTTGCCACGTCGTTTCCATCCTACGCCCTTGTCGATGAAGAGGAGAAGAAAAAGAAATAGTCCGCAGCACTGCGCTTTAGGTCAGTGAGGTATGATGTTATTGATCATGACTTTTTATCTTTAGTTTATTCCAAAGTTTTATACTTGTCAAGTACCCGTCTTTATGTTGTTGTGCGGCGGCATGTGCTGCTTGTTCTTAGCCTTGTCTGGTGTTGTTTTCTGCTAGGTGCTGTTTCCCTTGAATACCTCGTACTTATTGTTGATGTCTCTCGGTGCGCCAACACCCTGTCAATGTGCCGGTGTGTGATTGTCGGGCGCTTTCAAATTATTTTATTCTCCACGGGAGTACTAGCTCATTGCAGTATTTCTGTTGTTTTCTCCTTTCTGCTGCATTGCCTGTGTTGAGCACATTGCAGCAATGATATCAGACAATGAGATGTGATTTTTAGTTTGCTGAAGCGTGGATGCTTTCAAGCACTCTGTAGTGTGGGCCTGACTCATCTCTCTCCGCCGCTTCTATGTCTTTGAATGGTCGAAGTTTATGATTATAGCATATAGAGTCGTCGTGGATCGAATGTGAGCCATGTGTGTGTGCGCTTGGGTGCAGTTGAATAGTTTGTGAATATGCAGCCTGGAATCATGCATGGTTTATGTTCTTGTGCTCTCTTCTCTGGGATTTCACAGCATCTTTGAACAGGTGTAACAAATCAACTTCTGCTTTGGTGCTGTTGGTGTGTGGTGTGCGGGCGTATGCCTATAGTGTGTATGTGGAGCATGGTATGGAGCGTAGACACACGTATGCGTTCATGTGTGCGTGTATGTTGTTATCACCGGAGTATCTGGCTTGCTGTCTGCCTTTTGGCTTCAAGATGATTCTCTGAAGTCGCCATTCGCAATGCATACCGGCATGCAGTCGTATGGGCCCAACTATGTACGAGCACAGTAGGACCACTTTCTCAAGTCACCTACATGATCATTTCTATTCCTTGAAATCTTCCTGTGGCCTCTCTCTCTCTCTGTGAACAAAAAATCAAAACCTTATAGCGTGTTGGTGATGCAGTTGTGTACAGGTATACGCAGTGCTGTATGCATGTACAGTAGAGCACCGGTTATCCCGCACTCCGGGGCAAGGGCTGTCTCCAGGAGGTTCGGATGGGAAGAATGTCCAGATAAGGGAGTAGTTGCACGTATTATTATTATTATTATTATTATTACCGGTATCTAAAACATGCATATTCCCGCATACAGTAAAACCTGTCAAGGCAACCACTCGGATAAGGCGACCACCTGTCCAAGAGGACCACTGAAACCAGGATCAAGGGATGCTATTTCCAGTCAAATGACCCTGGATAAGGAGACCACATTTTGAAGGTCCCTGGAGTCAGTGGTCGTCTTGGACAGGTTTCACTGTATTTTCATCATTTTTTATTCCGAGTCTTCGACAGTGCAACAGGAACTACATAGGTGCACTCCACCAGCTCCTCAAATGACACACGTGTATGTAGTGTGAACGACGTGTGCGTCTGCCTTCGCATGAACGCTGCTTGCATACTCTGCATAGATCTCCTTGCAACGAATACTTGCGGTTAGCATGGTTAGGGCACGGTCACCGGGTCAGTTCTTGTGGTTTTTCGACAACTACCATGCATACTAGTACCCGTGCATGTACATGCAGTGATGCACATGTACAGACAATGCTGGCAACTGAAATGCGACCCCTGAGCGGTGCGTTCACATTCTAGCGGTCTCTATTTCGTAGTTTTACACTCCCGTGTTGGGTCTTTATGGTGTAGGCGCACCGCTCAGGGGGTCGGATTTCAGTTACCAGCACTGTACATGTACATGTATGTAGGGTCTGTAGTCGTTGAGCAGCACTATTCCGGCACGCCCAGTAGAGAGTACTAGCTGCAGGAAGCAGACTGTGACTCCCAGCAGCTGCAGGAAGCAGAACCTCCACTGACAGGCTACACACCTAACATGTTGATCGGTTGACAGCATGCATGAGCGTCGCCAACCACATCGGCACATCGCCCCGTACTCCCCTTTGCTTTGTTGTCCATTGTCATTTCAGTTGTCCTCTTCCCCTGATTATTAGTAGGGCTGTGTTTGCTACTATACTAGTAAAAACAATTTTTTTAAATGTAATAACAACAATGCAAGGGGGAGGACGCACTGTACCACGTGTGCCTATCCAGGCTACAGCCTGCTACACATGTACGAGTCGCTCGTAGTACTAGTAGTTCCGGGGTGCCTGGGCAGATGTGGCAATACCTTCAAAGTCCTTGGTGATGTGGCCAAGGCAACAGATGGGCGCACAGCTCACTGTTTTCCGTGCAGGCGTATGAAGCGGCGCTCTTCCCGGCGCTAGTTGAGCTGACAGTCTGCTGCTAGCTGACGAGTGCTGTTTCCTGTGCCTTATGTTTGGTGGTATACACGGATGTTTGGTGGTATACACGGATGCGTCGTGCTTGCGGTTTGCGTTATGTCGAAAGTGGCCATGTGCACAAATAAACTACCATTCTGGCCAGAGAGATCCGGCCTCATGAACAAAGACTTTCAAAGTAGTGCCGGCACTGCCGCGCTCGAGTGAGTACTAGTAGAGTGCTGTGTGTGGCAACACCCCGTTGAGTTATGCCTAGGACTCTTGATAATATTATTATGACCTTTGGTATGAACTAAACTACCAATTTTATGTCCCCTGGAGGTTGTTTGTTTGTATTCTTTATTTAGAGTGGGATGTCCAAAACAGGCCCTAGCCTAATAACAATGGTCCCACTAGTGAGGGAATGACGGAGTACATGTCCGCTGTACTGTTCTGTATCAAGGCCAGCCGGCTCAAGCCTGCATCCCTCACATCCACTCAAACAGCTCATATCGATCAAGCCTTATATTGGGCTCCCGCAGAACCGCCCCCCCCCCCCCTCCCCCCACCACCACCACCCTACGCACACACTACATTGTCACATAGCACAACTCAACCATTCGCTACCCTGTTATTGAGCACTCCTGCTCGTTTGGTCTCGCGAATCCAAATAAAATCAATCAAGCCCAAATACACAGGCCTGTTTTGGAACTCCACTTTAAATAAAGCCAAACAACATACACATGTAGTGTGTATGTGTGTGTGTGGGGGGGGGGGGAGGGGGGGGGGGAGGTGGTAAGTGAACACCAATGGCTTATACGAGCCTCTTGTACATGAAATGTGGCTCACCAGCTATACTCCAGATCATAGTCATTCTACCGTGACGGCACAGTCAGGCACATGTTCACTTTGTACTTGCGTATGCATTACCATGGTGTTTGTTTGTTTGTTTGAAGTTTTATTTTACATCGCAAACCAAACGGGCATTGAATGATGCCCAATATCGTGCTGCACTGATGACTATGTTATACATGACATGTATACCAGTTGTAACTTGTATACCCTGGAATCACATTAGTATTACATTATACGTGAAGTTAAGGTTTGATGAAGAAGAAATTGAAGAAGCATCTAAGACTATGACTATGAGGTTTTATCGGAACACGGCTTTAAAACGGTTATGTCGTAAATGTATTCTATTTCTATTACTTCTGTTCTATCTATACGGCGGTATCGGCTTGACTACTCACTCAAAAACAACGCACACTCACCACTACTCCTCTCTACACGCTCTACATAATAGTGTTTCCTACGCTACTCCTCTACACTACAGCTCTGCTGTATGTCATACCCGATGCTGCCAGTAACTCTAGGACATGGTTTCGCACATTTTGGGCCACAGGTCCAGGAATTGTGAGCATACTACCACCGGTATGCTGGCAAGTACAGGCACACTACTGTTGTTCCAAAAACTATTACATGTACTTGTCCTTGAATCATTACCCTAGCCGACAGCTACATGCACTTGCACTAATGAGTATTGTTAGACCACGAGCTCGCACGAGCTACACTGGACTCAATCAGTTGCTAGCCATTCCGTTCTATTCCTCCTGTGTGTGTTGTGCTTCCAGTTCAAATGGTAGCGGCGGAGCAATGCAGGACCATAGTCGAGTTAGTTGCTGTACTGGGGTCATGACGGTTATTGGGTGCATCTTGTTCTCCAGTGGCAGTGGCAATACTGCCAGACTCTGCAGCTAGACCGCCTGTAGTGTATACTATACTAGTTGTGCTTGGGTGCGAGATTTCAGTCTGCGCTAAAGCGTGACAATCGGATGCTTGGAGCAGCTCGGTGGATGCTTGGTCACCAGCCTGCTCTTGCTGGTGTTGTTGTTGGTGGTGGTGGTGGTCCGCCTCTTGTACGACATCGTCGCCATGGACACTTCTGTTGGCATTGCCATTCCTGGTATCCTCCTCCTCCTGTAGTTGACTTGTGAGTTCAGCTATGTGGGCAGTGGCCGCTTTCAGAATATTGATCTTACTGACTATGTTGAAACAGCGCATGTACGTCTTGGCAATCGGATCGCTACGGATCAGACACAACTTGAGCTGCTCAAACGCCTGGCTTGTTTTTCGGACGCGATCGTGTTCTCGCCGACGTGCGTTTGCCTTCTGCTGATGAAGCTTTTCCATGCGCGCCGCTTGTGAGTTGAACGAAGTGCACGATGCAGGATTGATGACAGTACCTCTGGCGGGACGGCGGGGCTTTGTAGTACGATGCTTAGGCTGCTGTTGTTGGCGTGGGCGTTGTGGACGGTGTAGACCATTTTGGGGGATCGCCATCGGAATAGTCGTCTGGTAATGTTGAAGCTGTTGCACTGAAACTGTGCTGGCTGTGCCATTGACGGACACTGAACTCGTAAGCGTGTTTCCCATCGATGGGTAGGCCTTGCAGGGAGGGCGTACCATAGGCGCTGCGGATGCGACATGGGTAGGCCCTGACGGCGGGTGCACTGCCATCAGCTGTGTTGGCAGTATATCATTAGCCATCGCCCTTGACGCCGATTCGCCAAGTATCATACCCATTTGCCACGTGTTGGACGCGCCTTGGCCCGCCTCCTGAACAGCTTGCGCTTTCGGTAACGACCTTTCAGCCAAGAGTGTCGAGTCGAGGGTTCTTTCCACCTCATCTGGTGTCAGAACGGGAAGTGATGGACACTGGGACTCAGGGGAGTGTAGAATGCCATGCAGCCAGCACTCCGCAAGATCATTGTGTTCCGAGGAGATTGCACATCTACCCGTGCTGCTGGAAGGCTGAACATCTCCGCCAGTTTCCAGCAAGGACTGAGTCGGGTGGTTTAGCCGTGTGAAGGACGACGCCGAGTTCTGGTTACTGCTGCCGAGGCTTGTTGTCTTGGCAGGAGTGACTGGATCAGGAAACCGATAGTTGTCATTGGTGTTCTGTGCGCCAGCGGGACACGTCGTCTGCCAGATATTTGTGACGCAAAGAGTCTGCCCCAGCGAAATATTATTGGTTCTGCAAGCGATGCGGGTACTACTGTCAGTTGCAGGGCTATTTGCAGACACCATTGGGCTGTTGCGGGATGGAAACGGCGAAACCAGATTCCCAGCATAACCATCCATGATTTTTTGGTTCGCCGTTGGGTCTTGCAAGGGCGCGAGTCTTTCACAGTTCAAACAAGTCCGCGGATGAGTAGGGAGGAAACTAAATCACAGTGCACAGCCGTTAACCACTGCTTCGTGCTAGAAGTTGTCCTGCGGAAACTTTCCGAACGTCTGCAGGCAAGGGAAAGCGAGGGGCAGCGGAAATGCGCGCCCAAATCCTGACGGGTGGTGTAGGACTGGCGTTCAGGCGAAGCACTGCTGGTGTTTTTCAAGCTGCCATGACGTTCTAATGCAGGTACGACCCAGGCCCCAGCTGGGCCCGGGCTACCTCTTTTTACCATCACATTCAGTCTCCAGTATTCACACTGACCTGTCTGAGAAACCCTCGGAGTCTGAGACGGACAGAGGCTTTGTACGCGCAACCGCGATTTCGGGATATACTGTACATCATACTGTATAGTAGAAGAGCATAGTCGCTTGTCTTTCTGCGTGGACTTGAGCTCGGACAGCGCCCCATCACGGCATGGTCTACATTGAGTTTGTATTCGATACGCTAGTATCATGCGGTGTTCTCTCATCGGTCTTGGCGAGGCAGGCTAATACACACACACACACACACACACACACACACACACACACACACACACACACACACACACACACACACACACACACACACACACACACACACACACACACACACACACACACACACACACACACACACACACACACACACACACACACACACACACACACACACACACACACACACACACACACACACACACACACACACACACACACACACACACACACACACACACACACACACACACACACACACACACACACACACACACACACACACACACACACACACACACACACACACACACACACACACACACACACACACACACACACACACACACACACACACACACACACACACACATACACACACACACACACACACACACACACACACGAACACACACGCACACACACTTGTCTTTGCATCATATACTCTACCCTGCACGCACCCAGGCTAAACTACGTCCTCAGGCTCAGGCCAGGCCGGACCGAGCATCTGATCGGGAATTCCCGCGACCTGCGTGTTCCCGACACGTGTGCGCGTGCAGCGCAGTTGATGCAGCTGCGCAAGCCACGCCTACAGTATAGAACGAGAGGTCACATGTGCGCAGCCTGGCCCTGCCACATTGCGCTGCTACTAACCATGCTGTGATATGTGATAGGTAGCCATGCAACAGGCAGCATAGCAAGGTACTGGCGCGTTGTGAGCTTAGAGTCTAGAGATGCGTCGCGCATTTTTCAGCAGAACGTCCAGAAGCCAGGCGCGGCCAAGCCTGGTCTGCAGCTGCCCATACTGGTCGAGCCAGAGCGGAAGCAAAATGACGATCCCCGAGGCCCGGGCCAACTGAGCAGGAAAGTGTAACGTGATGGTGTCCATTGCATGATGTATACCACAGGGAAAACGTGTGTACACGTGACGTTATGTCCTTGGCGGAATCCGGCGTCTTTTGTATGCCCTGACCAATTTCCTCCTGACTACCCTGACTGTATAGATTGTATGAACTAACTAATAGTAATATTTGCATGCAGCTCACCCTAGCATAGCGCAAGCTGAAACCACGCTTGCGGAAGCCGTCTCAGTGATCAAGTACGGTTGCGCATGCGCTGCGCACATCTGTTTTCTTTGCCATGCTGCGTGGCGAGCACAGGAACCCAGCGAGCGCGCGGATGGCTCAAGTTGTGGGCCAAATCGTCGCTTTCGAGTTCGATTTGGTCTCGCGCCGTGCATGACGAGCGGTAGACACCTAAAGTCCTTCCGGATGGTATTATGATTCGACTGAGCTGTGAGGTCATCCTCGGCTGCTGCGTGATCTGATAGGTGGAGGGCTCCATGCTGACACGACTCGAGTCGGAGGAATTTATCCAGCGATCCTGCCATCATACCGTGATCATGGAAATGGAGATGGGAACAGGCCTGTCCATACCGGCTTGGCCAAGCCACCAGAAGACAGTCTGCTCTCTATCCCTTACCTTATATAGCAGACCACGAAGAGATGAATTTCGGAGAGGGACACTAAACTGCGAAGGTCGTTGCCAGTGGCATAGTTTGCCGTCCGTCGACTCCAGAGGACGGTCATGTCGTGCTCGGACGTCAATCTACTAAGAGAGAGCGATGAGAGTGAGATGTCGGACGCGGGGGCGAGCAGTGCAGGCCTAGGCCTGGACTCTGACAACACGTCAGTCCTGTCCGGCACGGAAAGCTCCATGAGCCGAGCTCCAACTGAGGATGATGATGATGTGGCGGACGATGAAATTGTCGACGACGGCAACGACCAAGAAGTGGATCCGGACGCCGACGCAGCCAGTTGTACGGCCGTGCCGGATGAGTCACAATCGGCCGAGTGCCGCAAGTACTCGTTACGCAATCGCAACAAGAGAAGCGAAGAAAGTGCAGGAAATGCGGACACAACAATCGACGCCACAAATGACAACGCGAGGAACGCTGAAATGAGCAAGTCAAACGAAGACACGAGAGACAAGCTGAAAGGAATATCGGCTGAAGATGGCGCAGGAACAAAGTCAGTCAGTGCAGCAATGCCGGCAGCACCTACACAAAACATGGCAGCGCACATTACAAGCAGTTTCCCCGCAGCAGCCACAGGCATCGTGCCGCAGAACCTCTCGAATGCAGCACTGGCGGCCGCCGCAGCCAGCTCAGTGAAGATTCCGTCGACGTACACATTCTTCCAGCCTAGCACGTCTACTATTGGCCAGGGCAGTGAACCGTTCACACGCAGCCGTGCAGCTAAACTGCGTGCATCCCTTGCCATACAGAGTCAGATACAGCCAGTGGGGTGTACAGTGTCCAGTGGCCATCACACATCGCTAGTCAATCACGCATCACAGTCCAGGCTGGGTAGCCACACGCAAGCACCTTACTTCCCCGGCGCAATACCCACCGTAAGGTCAATGGAGACGGCACCGCACTCCTACATCGTCAGCCCGTACTTGCAACGCAGTCCGCCAAGTGCAGCCGCCGCTGCTGCCGCCGCCGCTATGTCGTTTGGTGCGCCGCGCTTTGTCAGCAGTCCTCAGTTCCCTCATCAGCCATTCAACATGGAAGACGTGTCGCAATTCTGGTCGCCGAACCCGCCCGACATGACCAGCCTTCCTCTGTTCCAGGCCGGAGGTCACGCGCACCCGTTTCACCCGTCCTTCCCCAGTCCGCACAGCATGCCGCACACTCCGGTCACAATGCCGCCCACCGCCGCGCTACCCCCTGCTACGGCCACCACTGGCGGCGGTGTTCCGGTACCGGGCTCGGGCCCAGCAAACAGCAGCAGCATCTGTGCTACCAGTGCATCAATTATGACAGGAATGACCGGTCTCTTGCCACAGACACCTGCAGCAACAAGCAGCACGGTCACAAGCACCAACACCATGAAGGCATCCATGGGATCGTCCATCGCAGCTGCCGCACACAGCACTACGCAGCCAACGACGCGCTCCGGCAACAGGCGACATCACAAGTCGTCGGGCGGCTCAAGGCCGGGCGGTCGCGACTCTGGCAGCATGTCCAAGGCTGAACGACGCAGGAACAAGGTATGGCCGTATACTGTTGGATTTGCGCCACAATGTTGATGTACCCGTAGAGTGAAACCTGTCTAAGACAACCGCTCAAGAGACCTTCAAAATGTGGTCTCTGTTGCCAGGTGGTCTCCTTATCCAGGGTCATTTGACTGGAAATAGCATGCCTTGCTCCTGGCTGCAGTGGTCTCTTTGAACAGGTGGTCTCCTTATCCAGGGTCATTTGACTGGAAATAGCATGCCTTGGTCCTGGCTGCAGTGGTCTCTTTGAACAGGTGGTCTCCTTATCCAGGGTCATTTGACTGGAAATAGCATGCCTTGGTCCTGGCTGCAGTGGTCTCTTTGAACAGGTGGTCTCCTTATCCAGGGTCATTTGACTGGAAATAGCATGCCTTGCTCCTGGCTGCAGTGGTCTCTTTGAACAGGTGGTCTCCTTATCCAGAGTTATTTGACTGCAGTGGTCTCTTTGAACAGGTGGTCTCCTTGACAGGTTTACTGTATAATGTCATTGTATGTGATGTGCTGGTCGTACTCAAACTGTAGTGTTTGCATCGCAGGGCATGGGGTGGTGTGATTTGTTGACTGGCTGCATGTTCTGCAGTCCGACACACTCTGATGCTTGTTTGCCATAATTATATCCCATCCACGGTTCCTGCCAAGAATCATAGTACTCTGAGAGAGAACCATGAATCACCGTCCGGAGTGCGAGCACCAGGTTGTCTCAATTTCACCGGCCTTACTGGCAAACGGCTCACTGACCTAAAAAAGCATATTGCCAGTGCTACCTCATAGGTTTTTTGTATGGTACAAATCCAGGAAATTTGAAAAAAGATCGAGCCAAAATTAAGTTGCAGATATCTTTGCGCATGGCTACACCACCTTGTTACGCACTGTGGATAAAACGGAACGTGTTCTTAATTGTAACTCCGTGTTTCACACCAGCAAAGAGCGATCAGCAGACAGCAATGTGTCCCATTAATTTTTGCCCACCACAATATGTGACCAGGTAGCTGTGGATGCAGTGCATTGAGCAATATGGCAGCAACAGTACCTGCCCGTGTGCACGTGCTGTTATGTAGAGTTCTACCATACACGTCAGGCAGGTGATTCTGTATTCAGACCTCTGAAGTGTGCTGATAAAGCCAAATATGACGAAACGTCGCTGTCCACAGCTATGGGCGTTCTGTAGTTACTGAATCTCAAACGGGCCTCTTCGCCGGAGCTCCTAGTTATGGCTGAACTGATCGCAACGAAGTCTGCTGAATAATACTGTATTTTAAAACAAAAAGAGGACGGGAAAAGTGTTTTAACTCTGAGTTTCACATACTAAGCGCTCATCAGAAAGCAGTAATAAGTAAATCTGGATACTAGTTGTATTTTAGATCGGCTCCAGTAGCATCAGATTAAGAGTGCTCCATTTGCGATGCTCTAATTGCGAGTCATACAACAAGCGGTTGGTATGAAGTTATGTGAAACAAAGATTAGTCACATAGATCAGAGGGGACAACCGACAAGTAAAGTTTTAGGAAGTGGGCTTCATTGTTGACTTGATTCAAAGGTGATGAGTCATGGTAGCTGCAATCTACGACTGTGGCTTCACGGCCTGCGATGTCAGTTTGCACCGCACCTTGACAACAAACACGAAGAGAGGAACGGTATTGCACGTCCTTGCACTCCTTGTGCAGTTTTGAACGCTCTGGGTGATATACTCTGCTTTTGCGCAGATCTAAGTGGGACTTCCTTTCTATGGAACGCTAATATCGCATACAGAAGACAATATACATCCAAAGTTCCAGTGTTGCAATTCTAAACGTGTTCGCTTTTGCATCAATTTTCATTGTTATGCCATGTGCAGGCAAGCATTCGTGAAAGGAAGCGTGTTGTAAGCCTCAATGATGCTTTCCTGAACTTGAAGCGGGCCATGCCGTTCGTTCCGCCCGACACGAAGCTCAGCAAGATCAAGACGCTTCGCTTTGCAATCCGGTACGTCAAGCGGCTGATGGATACGCTGGACCACGGCGATGCGGGAGAGCGGCAAGGTGGGCATGCGATGGCGCAAGGCAGTGGCCAGTACGATGCCGATCGCCTGGATCATGTGCACTTTGACACCGGCGAGTGCTTCAGCTCGTATGGCGGCGCCTTCGATGACTTTGACCTGGAGATGGACTTCAACACTAGCTCACATGCATCGCTACCCGATGTGCCGATCACGATCAATGATTCCGATCTGGATTGCTGAACACTGTCACCACCCAACACCCGGCTAAATGGCGTCACCAGGTGCTGCACCGGGTAACCATGGTAACAATTGAATATCTACACAGTGTGCAATGCCTTCTAACGCGGTCATGCACATTGCAGTACAGACAAGAACACTCTATTCAAATCTCTCAAAATATGATGAACTTTTTTCAGTTGTCCTAATTTCTACACGTTCTATATCAACACATTCATGACATTCTATATCCTTCAACAAAAGTTCAAGTCAAAGATCAAATGAAATTTCCCAAGCTATTCTTTCTAAACTTCTGATTGCACTTTATATCGGATTGAAGACCACTTTGAGACCAAATTAATATTTTCTTTTGGTCCTGTCCACTGGCATGACGTCATGACTGTATGAGCACGGGCTACTCTCAGTGTTATTCTATTCACCGCCTTGATATTACAACTGCATCAACCGTTGATCAGATTTCAATTTGATTCAAGAATTCGAGTATCACTTTCACAAGTAAGCTGAAGCAATCCAACTTTCCCTGGTTCATTTGATAATAAAATCAAATGAATTTATCGTACGAGCATCAACAAGATGTCCCGGGAAAATTCTCTGCCACCTCACAGGTCACTCTCAATGCTGGCACCCCGGCCTATGCCTATTGGTCGCCTTCATCATATCCGGTGTCGGTCATGTGATATTAGGCGAACGAAGCCGGCCGGCAAGCTCCCACGGCATGCATATGAAACAAGAGAGCTTACAGGCACAAGTCATTGGTTTGTTTTCATAACTATGTAGAACATTATCGGGATTTGTACGATGGCTTGGTGAGCCGGGGCACAAGGACCGTGATATACGCCCGTTCACTAGCCACTTCATAAGCATCTTGATCAGATGTGGTTAGTTTGTAACTGGGAAAACTTCGAGATACTGCGGGAAAGCGTCTTGTCACTTCATTACTAGTACATGTGATGCTAACATACAGTACACACACTCACTGCATGCTAGGCACAGAAAGATTCTGCTCTGCTCGCCTCGATATTTTGCTGCAAAATGTTGCTGCGAAATCTTCGATATTTTGCCGAGCCTGGCACACGAAACTCGATATTATTCTTGCTCCATTTTGCTCCGGAAAACGTGTACTTTATCCACTTCCCGTACAACGTTTCATAGATATGGAAGGATCGGTTTCTCAACATGGGTTTCCACGCACGTGTCCCAGAGTTCTTTCAAAATCATGTCGATCCACAGTGAATCCCGGTGATATTTCGGTGACATTATCTCGTCCTGGGCAGTGTATCCTGCTGAACGGGTAAGAAACAAGGAAATCCAAGTATCAGGCATCGATTTTACCCAACATCTCGATACTTTGCTCCGATTTTGCCGGCAATTTCCGCTCTTTCAATTCTTCGATATTTCGCCGAAAGAATTGCCGGCAGGATCTGTCTGGGCCTAATGTATGCACTGTACATGTCGTGAAGACCGTCACATGACCACTTGCTCACAATGGACCTACGCCTCTTGGCCTCCCACAATACCACTTGGACACGTGATACATACGTAGGGCCCATTTCTGCGTGCACATGCACACCAACCCACACACCCACCTACACACCCACCCATCCACACACCCACCCACACATGTATGGTGGCCACTGGCCACACCAGATGCATTGCGTCTCTCTGTGACGACACACGTCTTTGGCACAGCGTCAGACAAGATCAGATGCAAGACTGCTCAAAGACAGCATGAAAACACGGATTGCGGGTTGGACGGAAAGGAGTGAATCAATAGGTTTATTGCTAGAAGCCAAAGTTAATGGAAATATTAATTTCAATACTATGAAATTATGCAAGGTGGAAATCTGACCAGGATCGGGATAAGCTTTAGATGTATTTCAAAGAATACAATACACAGAGTGTGATCACTAATGAGGGATGATGTATAAAACGTCCTGCCGCGGCTGTCCAAACACTGCTGATCTGTAGTGATGAAGCCAGGGAGCATTGCGAACACGGGAAGTAAGTAACAACGTACTAGCTGATAAGATAGAGAGCAGTGATAGCAATGGAGGTGGTGACCATCTTGGCATTGAACGGCATTATTTTTTCAGGAAAGTACAAGAATAGTGATATTATCTCAGATACGCACATCAGTGCACAGAATGACGGTCAATTGCCATCGGCGTAGGTGCATTATAACTGCTACAGGGAATTTTCTGCTGCAGAACTGCCATGCAACTCTCACCAGTAGCACGAGACTTGTGACGAGCGTGTACTCAGTAGTGTGGCCACTGGAAGGAGCACTGGAGCCAGGAAAAATACAGCCAGAGGCACAAGTTGCACGCACAGCACCTTTCGAACAGGCATGACCATCACAACACCGACCCACGAAAAAATAGAAGTCGAGCAACCTCTGCATATCTCACATCATGATGATATTCGACTGGCGCAGAGCCGCCGACGAATGACGCTGCGACTCCATGACATGTGCATACAGGTCCTCTCTGGGCGATCGTTTCCCGGCTTTTTGTGCATGCTGTTTAGAGATGGCGCTCTCGCTGCAGACAAACTGCTTCTCCACCGCCGCTGCGCCTGGCTTCCGGCGTTTGCCATGCTCGTGGTACAGGCCATGATCAGCGGACACAGACTTTGGATTGGCGTGTGTTGGAGTCAGAGTAAGCGCTGACCGGCAAACAAGGGGGCTTAGGAGATCATTGCCACTATCACCACTGCCGCCGCCAATATCTTTGTCCTCCACTGGCCTAGTAGCGGGTGGTACCCGTAGAGAGGCTTTGGCAGCAATGCCCGGTGGACTGTATGCAGAGTATCCTTGAAGTGGCAACTCGCGCTGGTTACCGGGACGGCCGGCCGAGAGAGAGCGAGAGTTTCCAGGCGATTCTGCGATGACACCGTCGGTGCTAGTTCCATTGCCGTGTTCATCTGCAGTCGACTGCTTAGCCAGACCCGGCGGCAGTGTCTTGCCAGCAGGTTGGCCATGAGATGGCTGTGGTGCGGCCAAACATCCCGCCACCGTCAGCAATGTATCCCCTGGTTGATACTCAGTGCTAAGGTCCACGTCCTCCGATGAAATGAAGCTGGCCTTCTTTCTCCTCTGGGTCCACTGAGAGTCAACCTTGGTGCTGCGGCCTGAAGGCGGCGATGATGATGAGTAGAACTCACTGCCAAAGCGCGTGGTCTTGCCACGGCTTAAGATTCCCTTCCTCGGTGGTGCAGTAGCGGGTGGTTGTGCCTGTGGGGTTGATAGCGTGCGACTCAGGGATTTGACGTTGTCAAGCAAGCGCTCCTGGGCACCAGCAAGTTCTGCGTGCCTGTGCTGCTGGCGTCGATACAGGCAGATGGCCAAGATTAGCAGACCGGCTAGGCACACAAACCCTACTATGCCGCAGCTGATGAAGATAACAGGTTTTACTCCTCCGGAGGGTGCTACTGTTGGTCGTCTAGTGCCTCCGCCATGCGGGAGTTGCTTGCTTCTTTGATTTTCACACTTTGATTCCATGTTGCACCCTTCAACTGCACCAGCATACAAGAGCAGGTACATAATAGGTCAATAACAAGAACAAAAGCTGGGTCACATCCAAGCTAGAAATGTTACCTCGAACATTGTCATTATTTTACAGATGTAGCCTTGTAGGAAGGGCGGAAAGAAGAACCATGCCTTGCTACGCTAACACAAATGCTCTCTCTCTCTCTCTCCCACTCCCTCCCCTCCCCCTCCCTTCCTTCCTCCCTCTCCCTCTATCAATATTTGTCAATCTATCTCCTCCTCCTCTCTCCCCCCTCTCTCTCTCTCCCCTCCCTCCCTCTCTCCCCTCCCTCCCTCTCTCCCCTCTCTCCCCTCCCTCCCTCTCTCCCTCTCTCCCTCCCTCCCTCCCTCCCTCCCTCCCTCCCTCCCTCCCTCCCTCCCTCCCTCCCTCCCTCCCTCCCTCCCTCCCTCCCTCCCTCCCTCCCTCCCTCCCTCCCTCCCTCCCTCTCTCTCTCTCTCTCTCTCTCTCTCTCTCTCTCTCTCTCTCTCTCTCTCTCTCTCTCTCTCTCTCTCTCTCTCTCTCTCTCTCTCTCTCTCTCTCTCTCTCTCTCTCTCTCTCTCTCTCTCTTACTCTACAAGTAGTCATTAAATTAATTATTCGCCATCAACCACACCTGTGTTGCGTAGAATGACATTGAGTTAATCTTTTTAATGCCTACCTTCTCCCACAGTGCAGTTGGGTAGACCGAATTCAGCCGCTTTGCTTGAATTCAGCAGGGCAACATCGTCAATAGGATTCTCCTCCACATAGCTGCTGACGCAGACACGTCGGGAAATGCGACAAACACTTAGATCAAGCCAATCCCGATTGTCCGGGATAGCTCCTGCATGTCCTTCACATTGCCAACTTTGCTCAGGAACTGCATTGAAAGAAACATTCAAAACCACAATCCAGAGACAGAACATCAACTCATATCAAATATAAATATGAACTACCGTATTATCTCCATCACAAGCGCAGTCTCTTGTAGAAGCCCAGCCTCTATTATAAGCGCGCTCCAAGAGGGCTTCGAAGATATACAAGCGTAGTCTCCAATTTAAGCGCAGGGCTTATAATGGAGAACTGTATGTGCATAGGTCAGAGCTGCTCTACCTGTAAACTGTACGGGGCATGTGCATAGGTCAGAGCTGCTCTACCTGTAAACTGTACGGGGCATGTTCATAGGTCAGAGCTGCTCTACCTGTAAACTGTACGGGGCATGTGCATAGGTCAGAGCTGCTCTACCTGTAAACTGTACGGGGCATGTTCATAGGTCAGAGCTGCTCTACCTGTAAACTGTACGGGGCATGTGCATAGGTCAGAGCTGCTCTACCTGTAAACTGTACGGGGCATGTGCATAGGTCAGAGCTGCTCTACCTGTAAACTGTACGGGGCATGTGCATAGGTCAGAGCTGCTCTACCTGTAAACTGTACGGGGCATGTTCATAGGTCAGAGCTGCTCTACCTGTAAACTGTACGGGGCATGTGCATAGGTCAGAGCTGCTCTACCTGTAAACTGTACGGGGCATGTGCATAGGTCAGAGCTGCTCTACCTGTAAACTGTACGGGGCATGTGCATAGGTCAGAGCTGCTCTACCTGTAAACTGTACGGGGCATGTTCATAGGTCAGAGCTGCTCTACCTGTAAACTGTACGGGGCATGTGCATAGGTCAGAGCTGCTCTACCTGTAAACTGTACGGGGCATGTTCATAGGTCAGAGCTGCTCTACCTGTAAACTGTACGGGGCATGTGCATAGGTCAGAGCTGCTCTACCTGTAAACTGTACGGGGCATGTGCATAGGTCAGAGCTGCTCTACCTGTAAACTGTACGGGGCATGTGCATAGGTCAGAGCTGCTCTACCTGTAAACTGTACGGGGCATGTTCATAGGTCAGAGCTGCTCTACCTGTAAACTGTACGGGGCATGTGCATAGGTCAGAGCTGCTCTACCTGTAAACTGTACGGGGCATGTTCATAGGTCAGAGCTGCTCTACCTGTAAGCTATGCTGTAGTCACTGTAAATATACAAATTTTCGGCAGCTATTTAATTTCGGTTATATTCGGCACCGACCCAAAACGCCCGAATTAAAACGCCGATGAAAATTTTCACAGCATCTGTCCACTATACCATGCCCTCTACCCCACGCTGAAAATAAATCGCCACCGAAATGTCAAAAATCGTGAAGTGCCGAAATTTTGCAGCGCCGAAATTTTGTATATTTACAGTATATTTTAACATTTCCTTCCAAGGAGGCTTTACTTGTACATATTAAAATTAATTATACGCAACAACTGTAACAAGGACATGAAGATTTTATGCAGCCCCATTTAGATGGATCTATTAAAGTGCTACAAAATCCATTGCCTGGTTCCAGCTATTGCAGTGTCACTGTGTGTGTGTGTCGTGAAAGTCTATGGTTCGTCTTGGGAAGAGCTGGTGTCCCCGATAGACTTGTCCGCATTATCCAAGCTTTTCACGACAACATGAAGGCATCATTGGTACTGGCGGGAGCTGACGTTGACCCTATTGATGTAAACAATGGTTTGCGTCAAGGATGCTGCATGGCACCAGTCTTGTTTAATATCTACATGTGGGCTGTGTTCCAGCAATGGTACAAGGCGATTGCAGACATTCTGGATTTCGGGCTTCCAGTGGCGACGAATGCTGGTGGTCGGCTACTATTCCGCAGGTCACGTACGGACGTTGTAAAACGGCACAACGACTGCCAGTTTGCTGACGACTCTGCACTGGTTGCTACCTCCCATGAGGGTGCACAACAGGCTCTGGCTGCCTTTGTACGTGTTGCTGGCGCATTTGGCCTGAAGGTGAATCTCGCCAAGACCAAGGTTATGCCGGTCGGCTACGGACCCACAGCACATGACCGCTTGCCTTAGATGGTAGTGGGTGATATTGTTGAGAGCGTGGCTGACTTCAGGTATCTCGGCTCCATCGTACGTACACATGGTCGATCGGCTCATGATATCAAGTCACGCATTGCTGGAGCATCGAGGGCCTTCGGGGCGTTGCGTCGTACGGTGTTCATGGACCGCAACCTATCAGTTGCCACTAAGTGCCAGGTGTATGAGGCATGTGTTGTATCCCTGCTGCTCTACTGCTCTGAGTGCTGGGTGCCGCTGAGCCGGGATGTAGCCGCCCTCTCGACATTCCATACGAGATGTATTCGTTCGATCCTGGGCATCACTCAACTTGACATCTGGACATCCCGCACGACTAACACCGAGGTTCTGGCAATCTGGAACTCTGCCAGACAAGACGATCTACCGACCCGGCTCCTGCATCGCCGAATGGAGTGGCTTGGTCATCTGTGCAGTATGGAGGAGGAGCGTACTCCGCGTCAGCTGCTGTTTGGCGCCCTCTTGCCGACCCGTCCTGCCTGTGGCCCTCGGAAGAGGTGGCGTGACGCCGTGGGAGCGGATGGTCGATGCCTCGACCTGGGCGATCAGGAATGGTTTGACCTGGCACAGGAGTGCAGTGAATGGCGAGGGGCATACTCCAGCGTTACTTCATCTGGACCACGCCCGCAACCACGAACATCATGCGCGGTCTGTGGCCGGTCACTGTCGAAGAGTGGTATGGCCTGACACAAGTGCAAAGAGGAGCATAGCAAGTCGATCGCAGATCAGATTGGGAGCAGGAAATGCCCGGCGTGTAAGAGATGGTTCAGGAGCGCCGGAGGCCTTGCTGTCCATGCTGTCCATAAGTGTCGACCCGACGACGATCGTTCTACAGGCACAGTGGCGGACCCTCCTTTGTCTGCGCCCAACTCGGTTGCGGCAGTACCAGTGCCGGCGAGGACTCAGCTAACACTACCCTGCTGCCAGGCTCATTGCAGCGCATGTGGCAGATGCTGCCGATCAAAGAGGGGTTTCCAACTCCACAGCTCCGCAAAGTATACCCAAACTCTCGTTGGCCGCTAGACTGCGGAGCGTGCTGCGTACCGTATTTAACGACCTACCCCATGTCTGTCGGCCCCTCATATGAGGGGACATGTGACCGTTTTATGGCAATGTTCAGGACAGGACAGAACAGGTGTGTGTGTGTGTGTGTGCGCGCACGCGCGCGTGAGTGTGTGTGTGTGTGTGTGTGTGTGTGCGTGCGCATGTGTGTGTGTGCGTGTGTGTCCCATAGAGCCACGTCACTCCCTTGTGACAGGGAGCCCTGTCACAGTCATGCTATAGTAGTAGCATTAGTGTGTGTATGTGCATGTGTGTGCATGTGCGCGCGTGTGCACGTATGTGGATGTGTGTGTGTGTGTGTGTGTATGTGTGTGTGTGCACGTGCATGTACGTGTGTGTATCTCTGCGTGTAATTAATTTCATTTATTGATTTCACCTTCCCGTGGCCAGGGAATATAGGCCAATATGGAGGGAGGGGGGGGGGGGGGGAGGGGGGGGCATAGCCAGCCATGGCAGTAAGCAAAAACAATGCAAAAAATATTACAAATTACAAGAGGCGATAACCTACACAGGGCGAGGGAAAGAGAAACAAATCTGAATGAAGAGGTAGCAGAATAATTATTGTGTTTTTGGAGCACAAAGACAGTACATGTACACGTGTGTGCAAGAAAATCATCTCCATTCTGTAGAGGTTTGTTTGACAGTGGAGTATCAGACACCCAACCGGGACTACTGATATGGTCTGATGTATTTTGTGCTTGAGCACGTACGGGAGGTTTTGCAAGACCGGGAAACATGATCTCACTTTGGCAAGGTCTGTAAAAGTAAGATGATGGTGAGATTCTACAGCATTCTCTCTTGCACGCTCCTGATCCTTGGCTTACCGAATTTCTTCTCAGGCCTGTCTTTGTCTTGAAACTGTACCGGACTGCCGTTGCACTGTACCACTGGCTCCACACGGTCCAACACTTTAAGGGGACTATACTCGTCCGCTGGCACTTTGAAGCACCGGCGAGTTCGAACCATCCAAGTACTAGCAAGTGGGTGTTGAGTCCATGGCATCCACTCTGACCAAACACCAGGCACAGCTGAGAGTGTACAGTATAGGAAAAACGACAGAAAGTAGGCAGAATTGTGAGCATTGAAGTACGTCCTGATTACGTTAATGGTCTTTTTAAACATCTCCGAATATCCCGCCCAGAATTGAGAACCCGCCTCGACGCAGATTTTCCGGCAAGCATGCTAACCATGCATGTTCGGTTCTAAACTCGTTGGTTCGACTATCATTCCTGTGCTGGTAGTATGCACAGTCAACCGTGCTTACATAGCCTGCCCAGCTTAGCATGACATGTCAAGGGCAGGCTACCTCCCTATTGGCAACCCAACCTGCAATGAGATCTCGATACCACTTGAAAATTGAAGTTAGCAGGTCTAAATAGCTGCTTTGAAGTAAGCTGATCAACACCTAAAGAATGTGGTGAAAGCAAGACACAAAATAATACAATGAGAGCTGCTGGTGCGCCACCCTCATAAATCACAAGGCAACAACTTGTAGTGACTGACCACAGTAGATGGTGCAGTTGAGTCTCTGTTCGAACTGCGGCTTCATGTTGCGCAGATTTATAGGCCGCGCAATTTTCTGAGCAAAGTTTGTGAACAAGCATGACTGACTTGCAATAGCTGCAGAGGGAGAAACACGCATGCACACGCACACGCACACACACACACACACACGTGCACGCGCACGCACACACGCACACATACATGTAATTGACCACATCCGTGACCAGGGCGCGACACGACTAATGCACGTTGACAAATCGTGTCATGGAAGCAGAACAAACACAAAATCATCGATCGGGGATACCAATAACAAACTTCACTTGGTTGATTCCTGAATAGTAGTGTCAGTGCATGTGTCTACTTCAAGTACGGGATGATTCATAAAGAAAAGGAAAGAAAGCATGTGTACGTGTAGTGCATGTGCAATGCTCTGGTGAACAACCAGCACATCATCCAATGTCTTTTATAACTAATTACTTGATGCAATTCTTCCCTGACGTTGTTCTCAAAACCATGCAATATGCAAGTGGGTCTAAGGAACAGTAGCAGCAAGAACATGGGAATAAACACCAGAGACTGCCGTCCATCCACAACCCTAGGAGCCTAGTGTACTTGTTTCCATGCAGCTTTCCGGAATAGCGTTTGCCAAATAGACCGCAGTTGTCAAAAGGCACAGCTTGCACTCGGTCGTGACAGCGTTCCTGTCACTCGAGTTGAACCCTTGAACCTTTGAGTTGAACCTTGGTGTGAAAATTGTAGCCTGCAGGCACGGTGACCAGGCGACTGGTGTACGCACGAGCATGTGTCCGCTTACACACCCGTGTTCGAATGGGAATAGGGGCCGAATGCTGCATTGCAGCCTTTTCGGACCAAAACTGGTCGACTCAGCGTCCACAAGACTACAACATATGGACCAATCGCAGTCATCCGTGCTTTTATAAGAAGGAAACAGCGCCTTTAGTGACATTTTGCATACAAATCCCCATCTAGTAGGGCGCAGTCACCCAGTTTCGGTGGCAGTGCGCAAGTTCGATTGGGAATAAAGGAGGAAGGAAGCGTCTCAGCTTCCTCGGACCAAGACCATTCGACTCAGCACCCCGAAGACTACAACTAGTGAAAATTTGATTTTAGGGTATACTTCCCCTTTATATCAGACCATAGTTCTACGTAGTAAACGTTTTACCTACTAATTGTAATACTCCCTGGTAGTGGTCAAACAAATATTCGAATATTCAAACATTTGTTCGGTTTGTCACATTCGCAATATTCTCACATTCGAGTATTCGTGAAGTCACTTGGAAATTGGAATGCAGTGCATTTACATACATGAACGTCAAACATGCAGTGCAGTGCGTACAGCCTGCCTGTAACTTTGTACTGCATGTTTGCACATGTATGTGCATACTGGACTGCCAATGTTGCACATGACATGTATGAACTTCGAAGTAGCCTTATGTGGCAGTGCATTTTACGTGGCACTACCGTTTGTCATACTATCAAATGACTGAGAAGAGGGCATGCGATGTCATCTGTGTTACCAAAAGAAAATTCGCTCGTTCGTTCGTTAAAAGCCAAAGAATATTCGGCTACTAGGTTTTGACATTTGTTTCACCACTACTCCCTGGTCGCTACAGACAGCAACATGTTTCAATATTTAGGCCAAGGTGGGGACTGCTATGACTTCTGGGGGTGAAATTGCTTGTGCACTTCAACTGCCCGTGCCGCATTTCCCCATAAATATACATTACTGTAAAAGCCATATATATATAACGAAGTGCTAACTCTAACGAGTTAACGAGGCCTGAGAAATCTGTCGTTAAAATAGAAATCGTTATACAGAAATCGATACATATACTGTCCTATTGAGCGTTGAGAATGAGTGAGAATCGTTACCTTTGGTACACGTAAGCTAGTCAATCTTGGGAAATCGTTATATATGCGCCTCGTTAGAATAATGGCTTTTACAGTATTGCCGTAGCTATGCAGAAGACGTTACTTCAGTAACGTCTGGCGCTAGCCAGGGTCCACACAGCTTTAATTTGGTATTTGTTTGTTTGTGTCACGCCTGGCGCTATCCCGTATCTGTCCCGTACCGTACCGTACCATCAAACACAGCTGGCCACATACAGCTGGCCGCAATATTCAAATAGGGCTTTCAAACGCAAGATCATAACGTGAAGCAACTTGGAAGAATGAGTATGAATGCGAAGTGTATGGGGGAATGTATGTAGGGCGATAGTGTGGGTTCGAATCCCAGGTTATGCCTGATAAAAATAGGAGAATTGAAAAATTTATAACATCTCTATGCTTTTTTTGCCTAGGTCATCAAGGCGGTAGACGATGTCGTATTACCCTCGACCGTACCTGTCCCGTACCGTACCGTACCATCAAAGACGGCTGGCCACAATGCATATTCAAATACTTGAAATAGGGCTTTCAAATGCAAGATCATAACGTGAAGCAACTATTATTACTTGGAAGAATTAGTATGTATGCGAAGTGTATCGGGGGATGCATGCAGGGCGATAGTGCGGGTTCGAATCCCAGGTTATGTCTTAAAAAAAAGGAAAAATTTATAACTCGGATGTTGAGCCATAAATAAAGATGTGTTGAAGCTAGGTGTCAGGACGTCGAATGTCTCAGTACTCTTGTCAGTTTTGTGCCTAGTTCGTAGTTGCACTTTCTGACTGTTTATAGTATCCAGTTACAGTGATGGAGAGTTACTCTTAACTCGTAAAAGTTTACAAGAATTTATAACATCCCTATGCTTTTTTTGTCTAGGTCATCAAGGCAAAAAAGCATAGCGTAGGGCCCTGAACTTCCAAGCTCTCTCGTTGATTACGCAATATTTGAGTAGTTCAATAATATTTCCCATGAGTTTCTGTGGGGACAGTGCAATGTATGGCACTTCTTTGGCCATTCAGAGTATGTGCAGTCACCGAGCTAGCTGCTCAATGACATCCGATTGTGCCGGTAAGCCGCAGTGCAGTCCCAGACCTGCCAACACTGCGTCGCACACTGCTGCAAGGTGCTTACCCCTTGAGCCTATTCTCGGCATGAGATCAGATTTCATATTGAGCCGAGCTATACTTTCAAAGCACAACATACACGAGCCTAGCTATATTTTTTTATAATCACAGCATGCATGATGAGAATGTTTCAGTGAGATGTATTATCTTTCGCTCAAGCCTGTGAAAACTTAAAAATAAGTCTAGTACTTTTTCAGGATGCTCATATGACCTTGGGAGCACCTCAGTTTAAAAAAAAGTCAATCTCACTGAAACGGTATAAACTGTACACTGGTTATAAGTTAAATTTGTTTGTAGAGTGTAGTCTCTATTTTATTAAAGCCTCTTATGCGGGCAATCACAGAACATGATTTCCGACTGGCCTGACCGCGTTATAAGTTAAATACTCACTATTTTTGCCCGTCGGCATTGGACTGCTGTTGCTGTTTTGCGACGGTGCAGTGTTCAGTGCTTGTCCACTGTATTTCCAGCGGTAATGCAGACAATGTGACAGCTTGCCACGTCCATACACAAAACAGCGGCACTCCTTGTCGTTGACGGTGGCACCCGCAGTGCAGCATGCCCTCAGACAGCTATGGTCGTGTCCCTCTCCAACACCTGCAAAGCCGCTCCCGCCACCGAGTACGGGGGAGATGGGCGGGGACATGATTTGCAGGCGCAGCAGCTTCCCGGAGGTTCCATCGCCGGTTCTGGGCTGCAAGCTCTGCTGTGCCTTGTACTCGCTGATATCAAACACTGCCAAGAAAAACTGTAAGACAGCACCCGGAATGGGAACAATTGGCCAACATGTCACGACCCATGTGGTAAGAAACTCTTAACAAAGCAGCACAAACATAATCAGCCACCTAGCTGATACCTATCACAACACTGCAGCATCATATTGCGCAAGACAGCATCATAGTGTGCAGGACCAGGGAGCCCTATACATACCTGGTATGTGTAATATACCTGATGCTTGTATGTGTACGGTTCCCCGGTGCAGTACTGCATCATATTGCACAAGACTGCACCATCTCCCCCAGCAGCATACATAGCCCAACTGAGTACAGCACCACCCCCCCCCCCCCCTCAGGAACATGGACTTTTCTCTTACCCGGACTTTTTTCTTTCGGCCCTGGAATATGACAGGAAGGTCAATCCTGATGTGGTCGAGGTTGATCATTTCTGATTTCGTGACATTGATCTCCAGCTGTCTCACCAGGGGTGTTGCTCCAACTCTGCACCACCTCATGAAGCCCTTGGCTCTATGTAGACTAATGTTCCCCAGCGATGGTCCTAGGCATACCCTCAGCAGCAGCGTGCAGTTCGAATGAGTGCAGAGGTCAAGGATTGGAACACCGGGGTACTCGATGTGCAATGAAAAATTGCCTGGTGTACGCGGCATAGCATCTGACAGGCGCACCTGAAAGAGTTGAGCATCATCACAAGCATATGTACACAATCACATAGGCATGGATGTGCACACATGCACACATACACACACACGTACACAAACGCGGGTGCGGGCTCACACACACACACCTCAGACCTCAGACATGCCCATCGCGGAAGCGATGATAGCGAACAGCTATGTTAGACATAGCAACTTGTGCTGGGATTATACCATTCAACAGCTTGCAAGGCTGATGAATTGACCGCCACTAACTAACCTTGTTACTTTACTAGGCTAGCACATGTTGACCACATGATGAAAAATTAGGATCTGCCAGTCCACTCTTTAATAATGCCATGGTGACGAAGCTTCAGTTAGTCCAAACTAATGACTTGACTTATATAACGATGCATCACCGTCAGGCACTGGTTCACTGTTCATAGGCAAGATAGCTGGACAGTGTGTGGCCGCAGTACATGTGTGTGTGGGGGGGGGGGGGTATTTTGTGTGTTTGTGTGTGTGTGTGTGCGCGCGCGTGTGTGCGCGCGCGTGTGTGAGAGTTTGTGTGGTTGTGTTTGCGTCTGTGTGAAGGGTATGTGTGTGTGTGTGTGTGTGTGTGTGTGTGTGTGTGTGTGTGTGTGTGCGTGCGTGAGTGAAGGCAAGAATGTGTGAGTGTGTGATTGTGAGTGTGTTATTTTTTGTGTGTGCGCGCGTGCGTTTTCAGCGGCCGTTACATGCTCGCAAACCGTGACATACGTATATACTCACTTTTGTTGTGGCGTTGGTCTGACAGACGTGATCCTCATGACCGGGACCCTGACAAGACACCATCTCTCCGATCAGGGCAAGACCCAACACAGCAATTGTAAAAGCAGCCATTGCATGAACAGTCTGTATCTTCGGAAAGCACCAGTCACACAAACTTGCAATGTGGCTACCTGAAGGATATCACTTTAGCACACAGTGTTTGCAGCGGGGCTTTTGCCAACATGCAGGAACACTTCAGTAAATCATAACAAACAGGGTGCTCCAAATCACATGGTGTCTCAGAACAATGTCAGCACTTGTCAGGCAGAAGAAAGAAAACAAGTCTACATGTATTCATATAATACACACATGTGCATCTACCCCAAACACACACACATACACACACACACACACATACACACACGCACACACACACACACACATACACACACACACACACACACACACACACACACACACACACCAATCTGACAGGTTTGATCCCCACGGCACGAATGCACAAGGCTTTGCACATCTGGCTAGCAGCTACATAGTGGTCGTCACTGATAAAAGCTGACACGCCGGTAACGCTGCTTTCCGTGCACTAGACCATGAGAATGTCTCTCAGTCATGAAATGCATGCTGCATACACACCTGGTCAACAGCTGACCATAAGGCAGGAAGAAAAACAACACCCCACGTATGCATATTTAGCATGAAGTAAGCCCCGGGGCAATCAACCGAAACACACGGGGAAAAAGTTCCATGCTGACCACCTGCACGGTATAGTGTTTCGTTCAAGGTCAGTATAGACTTGTTCTTAAAGTGCCAATTTAGACCTCCAATGCAGTTTCCAGGATAGAGTGTTTCACATCTGCCACATTGCAATACAGAGCAGCCATGTTGGTTCCAACACCAAGCAGCCGAGCAGTGCATCTCTCGGTCACATGATATCAGCCATGTAGGCTCTATTGTCCACAGGCCATGATCACTTTCTACTTCAAGTACATAACACTAGTCAAATGACGGTGCGAAAGCACTCTATGCCAGTATCAAAATCTAAGTCGGTCGCGTTGCCATGTGCCCAGTACTATCTTACACATATGCTTCCAGATTCACTACAGATACTTCACTCGCATATAGCCCCCTGGCCCAGGAGCAGGAGTTCACGATTTCCCAGGGACTGGGTGGATAAGAATGCCTTTTTTGTACGTCATGCAGCTGAGTGCTGGTAACGGAGTGTACAAGAAAGAGGTGTTCGCAATGGGGTGGATTAACCATTCCGGTAAAAACTTGAATTGTTCATAGCACGGCAGCGTACATATACAATAACTATTTTATTGTCTAGAAAGTGGGTAATAATTGATTTATGATTTATGATTACTGTGAAATGGACTATATAGTGATGCAGTATTAGAAGCAATTCAGTTTCTTGCATTCTTGGGTATGGAATTTAATCATCTTCTAGCCCAGCATATTATCATCATTCAAGTCGCCCAATGGTATGTGACCCTGGCGTGCGTATGTCTGTTCAAGGCTCAGCTCAAGGTCAACTCAAAAAGGAATAAAACAAAGGGTCACTACAGGAACGTGTTTGTACGCCATGCAATCATGGACAGGTCAACTTGGCTGTGTCATTGCTGTCTGCGTACCACACTTAAAAAAATAAAAATAGACAGGTATACTTGGCTGGTCATTGCTGTACGAATATCGCAATGCAATCGCAATCAATCTCAGGGTGAGAGGTAGAATCAGGTCACTTTAGCCTTCCAGTTTGCCCACTGATAGGGCCTCCATGGTCTTATTCTGGTACATGTCCACAGTCTCCACACACACACACACCTGGAAAGCCAACACCTTACTTCATTGCAGAATCCGCTTTCTACTTATCCATATGACAGGAACGTTAACGCCTCGCTTGGGGGTGTTGGATGACGCCATATGGATGGATCAGTGTCAAGCTCAGTTTACCAAGTTATCAAGCCGCTCACATGGTTTCAGAAAGCCGCCATGATGAGATGCCAGTAGAACAACTTGTGCTTCATGCTACTACCGCTCGCTATTATGGAGTTGCCACTCTGCCAGGATGTGCTCAAGACTATTTCTGTGCAGCGAATACAAAGGCACAGCAAAATCATGGACCAAACAGTTAAGGTATGGACAACAATCACAATTGTGTACACCGGCATTAACTGCCAAGATACCGGTAAGACACATGGCAAAGCTACTCGAACTGTCTATTTCGTCAATCTGCAGATGTGTGTGGGTACACAAAGAGTGTGTGTGTGGGGGGGGGGGGGGGGGGGATCCCCACATCTTCTGGAAATCCCAAGCAAAGGTTTTACCAGATGGAAAACTTCCCAACGCTTCTTTTTAAAATAGTGCACAGATACATTGATACATTGGACCAATCACTGCACACGCTGGATTTCCCACTCTAACATTCACAGCATTAGTCACTTCACAGTAGTCTTATTTCACAGTTGCACACACCATCCATTCCTGCAGGGAAATAGCTTCACCTGCAGGGAAATTTAAAACTAACTCTTAACGGCATGTGAAGAACTCGTTGTAATTGAAGTGCGAGATACTCTTTGAAATGTCTATAAACTCCAACACAGCCAGTTGCGTAAAGAGAAATGCTCCAACTTCAAATACAAACATTGGTCTCTACAGTCTTTACTATGGAGAGAAAAGTCAATTTTCTTGCAGTATAAAGACCACTTGGTAGATAGAAAAGTTAGAAATGTGCAACACACCCCAGAGTATAATCCTAAAGACAACCATGCTTCTGCACTATTCAGAGCTTCATAACATGAGCAAGGAGCAAAATATCAGGCGTATATATAAAGGGTGTTGAAGCAAGACAACAGTCATCACCTTTGCTAAGAACAGGGGCGTCGGAACGGGTGCAGCAGGTGCCAGTTTTCCAAATCTACCCCGCCTTTTCATCGCCGCACCTATGTCGAATACCTTCCGACGCTCCCCCCCCCCCCCCCTCGCTATGGGGCACCATAGAGGGTCCAGTACAGAACATGTCCCTACCTTCTTCTTCTTTTTCTTGCCTTTGGCTTTGCCTTTGGCCTTGCCTCTGCCCTTCTTTTTCTTCTTCTTGCCGCCCGGTGGCTTGGCTGACAACCTCTTGATGGCTTTCAAGGTGTCAATCTGGATGTACGGAGTCACTGTCACGTAAATGTCCTTGTGACCAGCTGCAGTTCGAAGCAAGACAAAGGGATGCGGTTGCGGAAGTGTAACACGGGAAGTCTCTACAGGGCTGGATTGTGGCTCTCCGTGGGGGTGTTAAAGGTACTACAGTGGAGATTGGATATAACGACACGCTCCTTCGGGAGAGAACAAAATGTCACCATATTCGATCTGTCACTAAACCCGATCTTCACAAAGGACTTACTAAACGACTTGGGCAACAGAACTGTGTCGCTAAACTCAATCTGTCGTTATATGCAAGGTCGTTATATCCGATCTCCACTGTAGTCCATATGTGGTTCGCACACCTGTTTCCACTGTGATGAATATCTACATCCAATTTCTTTCGTTCGGCCACTTAACAGGAAGAGAAAGCAAAATATTTACTTACTGCATCTGGTTTTCCACTTTTCTGACAAGAACCCTCTATTCATTATTGCAACACCACATTTCGGCAAGAATACGTGCCAGTTACAATCACACGTGAGCATGAAGAGGCTCAATCATTAAACTCGTTACCAGTGTGTATTGTTCTGCTAACCTTGCTTGCGCCTCTCCAGACCTTCCAGGAGTTGAAAGGCGGGATAGTCGCCAAAGCGATTGTTGTGGAAATGAAGCTCCGCAAGAGGCTCCCAGCCTTCCACCATCCTGTAAGAGCACATGGCAAAAAAAGGTCAGCTTGCCTAAGAGACTAACAGAGGGGGGGGGGGGGGGTAAACCCAAGGCTTACTGTAACAACAGTTCATGTTGATTAACATTCGGGAAATCAACCTACCTGATTTTTTAATTCCATTCAAGTCGTAATTGGTGAGTGTGTAGGTTGGTTACATACGCTCATAGCGTGCATACGGTGTCCAGGGTGCTTCCAATGCATCAGAAGAAGAGCATTTGCAACCGGAGCACTGACATGCAGACATGCCTGATACTGTCAGGCAGAGCTGAAGCATGCGTAGAGGTGCTCCATAAGGGCAGCAACACAGCATGGAAACCCCTGACAAATCATATCCAATGAAGCGCCTATAATTCTGACTTGGCCACGTGCAGCCCGCTCTGGCTGTTGAACCCATACAAAACACAACACAGTAACACATCCAATCCATCTCACTAACATTGTTACGACTTCCATCATGATAGCGGGTCCCTGTTTGCCAGCTTTGCCGTAGCAGTCTGCCGAGTTGCCGGAAATCACGATACGACTGAGCATAGGCATTGGGGGCGGTGGTACCTACAATGCAAGTAAAATTGGCAAAACATGAATTGAAACGTCCATGAAGCGGCATGTCTCCACAATTCCGTATTATTCAATCAAGATACCCCTGATGGTTGATACATATGGTGGTAAAGACACACCTGGCAATATGGCGGTAAACACACGCCTGCCCACACACGCTTTCTAGGCTGCAAAGTTCTGGCATAGAGCTCTCCTTCTCACCACCACCACCACCATCAGTTCGCGCCTGGCGCATATTTATCAACCATAAGTACAGCTGCAGTGGTGTCTTCAACTTCATTCTCCCAAGATACCCCTGAGGAAGAGCAATCCACAGGCTACTAGTTGTCGGAAACCAATCGCTGGTCGTACACATCCATAATGACTCTAGTCAGGTTAGCCAATGAAATATTTAGATACTTTTGTTCAAAGCGACTGGCTGTCCAGGGTTACCAATTGTTTTTTTTTTCGAAAACGGTTTTGGTATTTTCTTTTTGAAAGAAACAATTGGTAACCTTGGACGGCCCCTTATAATAGTGGCATACATAGAAATGAACTTGTACCAGCAGATACCTCTCTAGCCCACACACAGATTTTCTCACAAATAGTGCGCATTGACCATCAATAGCAGACTACACGTCTCACCTTGAACGAGAAGCGCTGCAACGCAAGCTCACACTCAGCCGGTGGCTCTTCGCTCTGCTCAGGTTGGCCGTGTGATGGGGACCGGAACACTCCCTGCCGCCGAGTTTCTTGCTCCAAGCGGTGTGCGGAAACGGCATCTTCCAACTCTCTCTTCGCCTTTGTGTAGGCCAGGTACTCGTTTACGCGACACATGAACGGCTGTAACAAGAAGAGAATACCTTCGCACTCCAAACTGTTGCCTTCCAATGATAGGTCTCTGCAGACACGAAAGTACCGACACATTAAAGTCCGAGTTGGTAATCAGACAAGCGTGCCAGAATGACTTCAAGTATCCCTTGAACAAACAAGGTGAGCAATAGTCAATACAACCTAGCTTGAGAGAGCGGAGTCCTCCGGTTCGATAGAGTGCTCAATGCAGAAGCAGAGCAGTAACACACGAGTCACAGAGTACCACACGTCTGGATTGTTGTAACTAAAAGTTTCATGCCAGATTGTCTGAAGATTTACATTTGGCATGCCATCTGGCATGAAACTTTTAGTTGCAACAATCCAGACGCGTGGTACTCTGTGACTCGTGCAACCTAGCTTGATATGTGCAAGAAATTGTTTGATGGCCTGGCTAAGTAATGACGAACCGGCCACAACACGCCAACTCGTGTAGGCATCCCAAGCCAGGCTCAACATGACTGGGGATTCGGACGTGTTGAAGAGCTCATCCGGGAGTTGTACTCAATACGGAACCATTATACACCCGCTTTACTGGTCGCTACTCAAAGATCTGGCTGAAAATTGGGAAAACTGTGAGCACCTTACTGAATAAACTGTAATACTCTGAGCCTTACTTGAGTGCCGAGTATGGTAGCATTTGTCCGAGAAGCCGTCCGCAATTTGCTCTCAGTCCACAGCTGTCCATGCTCAAGCTCTCCAGAGTAAAGTTACCGCGAAGGCTAGCGCTAAGAGCCCCACAGCCTTCCAGTCCAAATCTAAAATACGATGGACACAGTATTGCAATCAGACCAACACCAATATCACCGTGTCCGGTAGCAAGTATCAGGAGGCGCTTTAACCATGCTCTATTCAGAAAAGGGTCTCTATTAGGTGGAAATTAGAAAACATCCTTCCGCTTCCAAGCAGGACTTGAATCTGGTACTCTCTGTTTCTCAATCATGGTCTTACACCAAACCCACTATGCCTGCCTGCGAAGCGGAAAGATTTTTTCCAGCCGTGCTGCGACCCACAGTTAATTGGGAATTCGTGGCCTGGCACGAGGGAAACATGGATGCAGTGAATGGGATTTTCGGTCCTTGACCACTTTGTAGTGGGTCTGATCTACTCACCTCCCACCGCTTAGGAGCTGCATCTGCGCCTTGATCCAAGAGGGTGGTGGCATTCCTGCGGATGCGGAAAACTGGGCCTTTGGCCAAGTCTCACTCGAACCGTAAATTTTTTAATTAGAAAGTAAAATAGGCCTTGCCTTTGGATATATGGCTTATAAAGACCTGAAATACAAATCCTGGCCTTGGATTGGTTTTCAACTTTTCATTTAAGTCTTTATTGGACATTAATCTACGGTCTCAACCTTTACTATAGACACGCGACAAGCTCCAGATGCTACAAAATACACTTCTAACTGAAGATGCCTTTGGTGCCATAACTTTTCAAGTCAGTACGAGGTAACGGACGGTGGCGAACAATGTGACCAAGTATGACACACATTGGTGAATACAGCTTTCCCAAAGGCCGCAGCACCACTATAGTAATGGTTTCTTGTTTACACGTGTGCATACGTATGCCTCCAACCAAATCATACTATGACATCATGTAGTAGTCGGTACTAACATGCAAAACAAGTGCATATCAACAACAAAACAGTCATCTCTCCCCTTTCCAGGAGGTCCAGAACCGAGCACTGCCCACAACATTGCTATGTCCGTAAATACGATTCACATGTTTCAATGCGGAAAGGCCAGAGACCTGGCATAGCACATCGCCATGTCCATAACAATTGGCAAAAGTGCTCGTGGTAATATTTCCATAAAACTCACCCATAGTGTGCCCGTTAGATTGAGGTGCTTGAAACTTGGAGTCCGGATAGGACAGACATGTGTGCACGTGTACTAACTGAGATTCACAGGTAGGGTTTGCACGAAAACCTCCTGATGGGTGTTCATTTTATCTTTGGCCTAGAGTATGTAGTGCCTAAACAGTGAACTAGCCTGTATTTCTTTTCTCAAAATAAAAGGTTGAATACCTTTCCAAGAATAGATACTAGTAAGTACAGCACTTGAGCAGCAGGTAGGTTGATTTTGATATCGACTTGTACGGCCAGTTTACAGGACACACAAGTCCAGAATCCCGTCCGGACCTTGCCCCACTAACATGCACAGTAAATATCACCAGACACGGGTTTGGCCAGTGCTGGTATATTCATGCTACAAGTACTCACGGTACATAGTCCAAGCATAGTGCCTTCAAGTGTGTCAAAGGAATTGACCTGATACGAAAGAAAAAAGAAAAGAAAAAAAGTATTACACGCGTGAAAACTTTCTCGTTGATGTCCGGAACCTGGAGAATTCACTCATTCCCATGATGAGTTTGACCTTCATTCACTAGATTCTGAAATCCTTAAGCCATGGGGACCCTTGAAACGTGGTCACTGCGTAGTCGTGCGTACACATACTACCCTTGTCCAGGGTCAGATGACATGAAATGATACCCTTTGATTCTGGTTTGTGGGGTCCCCTCTAAAGACAGGAGGTCATTGTATCAGAGGGTTAGCCTGGAATGGCTTCCTAGTATGTGGGTTAGGATTGGGTAGCATACTCGCAATGGTAACGAGGCTTGCTATTGGCATAATAATCTTTCCCCATTGGCCATTGCCGCAGGGGCGGCGGAAGGTATTTCAGTGTGGTACGGTCAGCCATCTGAAGTACAATTTGCTCGTGGGGGAGGGGTTAGTAAACCGACATTTTTGGAAAATTAGAGCCCAGATCAGTGTATTTTATTGACTCGCGGCGTGACTTGGGCAAAAAGTGGTACGGTCCATACTGTAGTGACCGTACCGGGTCCGACGCCCCTGGTCATTGGACATGCTGGATGCAGCGACTTACCGACTGAGAAAGCTTGCAGACCATGCGCTTATGGTGCAGTGCGCCAAGTCCAGAGTCTTCAGTTTGTTCAGCGGCTCTGGGTGGTCAAGAAACTTGTTGACGTGTCTTCCCTGTGGCAAAACACCAAAGGGGCGGGATGCGTACCACAGGGTGCAAAAACGGAAACTTTCACACTCAAAGGCGAACATGAATGTACAGGAAGCTAAAAATTGGGATGAGAGGAAGTTCTGCTGTAACTTGCTTGCTCACCTCCAGAAATTTATACAGACCAACCTGACTCAAAGAACAGGAATAACCGTAATTGAATCAACGGAACATTTGACTTTTCATGTAACAAATAGTACGAAATAGAGGTAGCAACTTCGGCGTCAATTGAGGAATTGCGCGTTGCTATTAAGGTTGGACCTTACACTTTTCCTGTTGACTTGGCACTTGACCGACTCACGACTACCATGCAGAGTGCATAAGACACCCGTCAAACCTTCGACTCCACAAGCCTGCGAGAAAGCACTCAATACACAGTGTTTCGAGGAATTCACCCTTAATCTTCAGTAGGTTGATGAGATTTGCGCTCCAGGAGCACTACATCTTATCGCACTCCAGTCATTCGAACATCACTAGAGACACAAACTTACAGTGACGCTTTATTTGCAGCGCGATAAAAACAACTAACAAACTCCCAACAGCAGGGTGAGTCAGTGTCACCTATTGAGGTCCACAGCATGCGCTGATGACTATTGGCCATCCACTGTACATCGCAATGAGTGTGTTTGGAGGCAATAACAATCTGAATGGCCAACAATCCTCAACGCCTACTATTCACCTCCATGGATCACACCGACTTGTGCTGCTTTCTGGAGTCCGCGAGGTGTTTGTTGCACTGGAAATCAAGCGTTATGGCAAGCTTGTATTCCAAGTGATATTTGGGCTGCTGGAGCGCTATAGATTGTATTGCTCCCACAGCACAAATACCAGTAGCCTACTGAAGCTCACCTGAAGAGGGGTGAATCATCCGAAACATTCCGTATTGATGGGGGAGTGGTACTTTGTTACAGGTTTGACGAGTGGAAGATGGAATGAACTTTGCATCTGCTCCGGATGGCAGTCATCTGTCAGTTAAGTGTCAAGTCGGCAGAAACGTGTGAGCTCCCACATGGGGAGCAACACACAATTTCTCTATTATCAGCCAAGTCGTATGGTTACCAGTAGGCAAATATTCCCAGTCTCACAAGGAAAGAATTGATTGAGCAGTTATGACAATGGCTTACCAGTATGGCAATAGCTTGGTCAGTAAGGTCACAGAACCATGCATGAATATGCTCGATATCCTTGCAGCCGGAACGCTCCAGAGCCAGCAAAAACGGCCACAGCGCCTTCTCGCGCCTCGGTATTGCCGACTCGAATCCGGGATCGTCGTCTTCATCGTCGTCATCGTCCTCACTGCTGCCATCCTCACTGTCGCTACCTAGTGCAGCTGCCCTGGATGGTGTTGCTGCCGACTTGCGCGCTGTACCCGGCGAATTGTCTTCGTCATCGCTGTCTCCTCCGGTGGTGTTTCCCGGCAGTGTCATACTGCCAGCCACACTCTCATCTTGGAAAACAAACTGCACATGCACAATGAATGGGTGAATCAGTCAGTGTGCCAAAGCGTAAAGAGCACTCTAGTGCGCCATGACTGTACGACATTCTGTACGCACAGCAAAGATAATGTAGACCACTCAGGGATACATTCCAATCAAACACAACACTGCTAAACTACAACAAAAACCCATTCGTTGACCATTGCCAACATTGCGGCCTACAGAATTATTTCACCTCTTCTCTAAATCCTGTAGAAAGAAGTAGGCATGGCTTGCTGGAAATGTCCGAGTTTCTGCTCAACATGAGAATTCCCAATAAATATTTCAATTGCGAATGTTCGTCCTCACTCAGCAGCAGACCACAAATGCGAGAACAAGCATAGCATGTTCACGTTTCACTTACTCGATTTATGGTTTTGCCTCCTTCGACAGCCTCTCTGAGCGGCGCCAGAACGCTATCCATAGCCTCACTGTGCACTTCTTTACAACTGCTGATGTAGGCTCGATAGAGTCCCAGCGACTCCGCACCAGCAGTGCCAGGAGCCGGTGCGAGAAAGCCTTCAGGTGTCCGCTTCACGGGCGTAGCATCGCTCTTTCCTTTCCCCTTCTTTCCTTTCTTGCCCTTCCCTTTCGACGACTTCTTTCCCTTGCCCTTGCTCGACTTTTTCCCCGGCATCTTGACCTCACATCTGGACTGAAGAGCGCTAAAACATTGAAAACACTATGCCATCAGACGGTAGTTCCTAAAGATTGCGAGCTAGACTTTACCATGTTTACGTTTACTACAGAAGTAGCAGCGCGAGTGAGTCGTCTTCACGGTCACCCACAAAATAAAAATAAAGAGACAGAGAGAAGTAGAGTAACCATGTTGACAGCATCTCGTCACATCTCCTGTCCACTAAATGCATTTTTTCGTGTTGTCCTTCGTTGCTCTAGCGACAGTGCCGTTTTGGTCTTGGCTGATGCGTGGACAGGTCTGAGGAGCTAGTTCGACTCCCTGATGCGTGGCCACTGAGTGCGTTGATTGGATTGCGGCCTTCGTGACTCCACTAACTGACAGCATTCCATCGCTCTAGCTTTCTTCTCCTGAAAAGACAAGTGAAAGAGCTGCCATACATTTTCATTTCAAACGCACATTCCAACCAGCTGCAGGTAAAGCTACTTCCATCGTACAGTTTTTTCCGAGATGAAAGAGTTTTCACTTAGCCAGAACGTGACCATCTCGTCTTGTCCTGAGTACATTAGTCTGACCTGCTGCCGCCAGCTCCACGTCCTGGCGTGTACTTGGGAGAAGAGTTGGAAAGTCAAAATAGGAGAGAGCAAAAAATAATGTCGTTTTTCACTGAAGCGCAAGTAAAGGAGTACAACGAAAATGGCTACATCGTCATACGCGGATTGCTCACAGCGGAGGAGGTAAGTCAGTTCTGAAATGCGCAGTTTCAGATGACGGAGACGGGGGTTGAAACACCATTACGTGGGCCCCAGTCCCCAGCCGGCCCGGGCTGGACATAGTCATAGTACTAGTATTATTAGTAGTCATCGAGCGCGCGGCATCCTGGGCAAGATAAGAATCGATCCATGGTTACCATGTTACCGTCGCACTGAACGATCGTTGCCCTTACACTTTGCAGGACTGTCGTTGGTGTTTATGTGAGCGCCTTCCATTCTGCGTCACCCATGACGTGCGGTGACTTTTGTGCTGTCCAAGGTTTGCCAAACCAGGGATGAAATGAAGAGAATTATCGACAAGTGGTATGACAATTTTGAGCAGACGGGTGAGGAGGGCTCAGCATGGGAGGAGATCGTCAACCGAGACCCAGCGGTGAAGAGGGGAGAGCTAACACCAGGCAGTCGATATCGAGCTGTAAGAAGACTGTATCGAATGGCAGCGCGGAAGGAGGAATTCTTCGTCCGGCAAGCCAAACATGAGAAGGTAAGAAGAAATCTACACCTGGCAAGCTAGCACTACAGTATCCCTTATACGGTGGGCGACCTTTGAACCAACGCCTGACTTTCTAGATTTATATAAATTATAATACCATGCAAAGGTGTACTAATAACTTCATGTAGCCCATGAAGATATCAGTTAGGACCGTAAATCTTGGGGGATTCCTATAGAAAGATAATAAATACATGTAGCAACAAACTGCAACAAACTGTATGCGTTACTAGTGACAATATAGCAACTTCAAAGACGGATGCACACAAGTATTTGTATGCTCTGCTATATGCAATACGATAACTGCACGATTGGGAAGCCCCTGGATGCATACTCGGCACAACACGCATAGCCAACTAGAGCTTCTACGGTCCAATGTGGGATGTGGGCCTTGTTATGAAGCAAAACGTGTGACGTTTAACCTGGGAAAGTTGCATCTACAAATTCCAGAGAGTGAATCTGCATTTATATTGTAGGACAAAATTCAGCAAGTTCTATAGTTGTCCGGGCATCAAATCAATCAAAGACAGCCCTCATTAATTTTATGATAGACGTCTGCATAGTGAACTTGCGGGAAGGCTGACACTGGCGTTGTGTGTTGTGTGTGCTGTTTTTGTGAATGCCAGCTACACCTTTATTCAGTACACCCAACTCGCAACACACGAACAGTCCTTGTCTACACCACGTACTGTAAATTGTCCAAATGTTCACCCAGGAGGACATCGTCATCCTATATCCCTGATGATGCTCTCCTGGGTGAAAAAATTGGACAGTTTACTGTACGTGGCGTAGCCAAGGACTATTCGTGTGTTGCGAGTTGTCTGTACTGAAAGTATGACAAGGCTACAATGAAGTTATTAAAAAACAGTCAGCTACACTGTGTATTGAATTTGATGTCTCCTTTCCTGTAGCTTGTTGATGCATGCCAGAAGCTCATTGGCAATGATATCCGACTACTTCAATCAATGGCTTTGCTCAAACCACCTGGTAAGACCTTCCAGCCATTGCTGCTCTGAAGAATGTAAATACTAGCCCAGCCTTAGGTATTCAAGATACTGTGCGTTTTTCTGTGCACCCCTCATCAATACATGTGTGTTGTTTGGATATTTCGGTGTGTGTAATGGCTATGGAGGGTTGCAATGTGTCAGCTGTGAGCGCATGGAGGAGAAGAGGATAAGAGATTGTTGCATTATTGAACAGTCGAATAGTACCATTCACATTTCTATAAAAATCGTGAACGGTACCCTTTAACACTGACCGAGACCCTGCATTAAACAGATAACCTGTTGTTGGATTTCACTGAACAGACCTAAGGAAAGGGGAGCAGCTGCAGCCATGTCCTGTGGGTCTATGCAGAACTTTCTTTTCCCATTGCCATCTTGTGCAACTGCTCAGGCACGGCGGAGAAGCGCTGGCACCAGGACAACGCGTACTTCCGCCTGACTCCGCTCGACATCATGGTAAGTTTCTGTTACTTACCAGGGGCGTCGCACACGGTACGACCATGTTCGTACCATTTCTCGTCCAGGATGGTCCGCCAAACACTTCATCCGAAAAAGCAATAAAAGAGAGCTACAATGTGCCTGCTGTGGGATTGTTTCCCCGGGACACCCCCGGACCCGGTTGTACCACACGCCACTGCCCTGTGATGCATCTGCTCACCCTCTGCCGCGGTGCACGTGATGTGGTGCAGGTGACTTGGGGACTTACTTTGTGTTTCAATTTCCTTTGCAGGGTTGCTGGATTGCCATTGATCGGACTTTTCTGGAAAATGGATGGTAAGGTGCCAAAGCGTTCCTACATGCATTACCTGTTTTGGACAGAAAGACTATGGTGGGAAGTGATTCGAGACTTTTAACTCACAAACCACCTCAATGTACATGTCATGTACCCTAGACCTTGCCTCATATCGATCGCAAGCATGATTGGCACAGAGCAAACACTGTGAACGTATATGTAGCAACATGTTCGATGGCTGGGCAAAACACCGGTGCGTCTGAATTTTACTGGGTGAACATTCTACGAATAAAAGTAGACCTTCTTTGTCACATCTCTATGTCTCGTTGCGTTGCCTTGAGCCGTGCGGCCATTGTTGCTGTGTCAATGTCTCTGCAGCATGCATGTTGTCAGCAAGTCTCATCACGCTGGTGTTGCGCAGCACAAGGTTCCCGAGTGGGCACGTGAAGATCAAGGTGGTATGCTGTACAGCCTTGCAGATGCTCCTGAAAGTGCTGAGGTATGAGCGGGTGCCAGGCGCTGTGGCTGCATGTTGAGATTCCCGTGATAGGCATCTATTTGCCTTTGGAAAATCAATAAAATTAGATGAAAGAAATGAATGAATGTGAAGAGTCTTTCTTGAGTAAGGAAACACTTAATAATATTGCTACTTCGTAGTAATACAAATGATTATAATAGCAATTTGAATAGGTGGTTACCAAGACAACCGAACATCTCAACTTCATTATATTAGCCTGCTTAAAAATGTATGACATACATTTTCGGCGCTCCGACACATTGTGTCGGAGCGCCGATCGTGGTGTGGTTCTCTGCTGCAATCATGTTTTCACTATATATGGCTTTCAATAGTCTTTCACGGCTGGACTGTGACGGATTATACAGAGTGTGTAACTGGTTTCGAAACCATACATGATTTGGTTCTTCTCCTTGTCTTGATGGTGTAATAGGTGACAGCATTGCCCATGGAGCCTGGAGATGCTCTGCTATTCCACGGAGCATTGAAGCACTTCACACCGCCAAACAAATCCAACTGCGAGTAAGTTGCAGTCCACCTCATCAATACTAACCTCGTGGATAGCAACCCTGGCTATGATACCAACTCACCAACCTCATCAATACTAACCTCGTGGATAACAACCCTGGCTATAGCAACCCTGGCTATAACTACCCTGGCTATGATACCAACTCACAAACACCGACATAATCTTCAAACCTAGTGGCCATTTGGCTGCATACGTCCAGCCTCATGAATATCACCTACTTGGGAAAACGGCACATTGCTCATGCACAATCAAGGGTCGTTATATTCGCAATGGTGACTCTATGCACACACACACAGTAAGAACAAGTGTTTTTGATGTACTCGGTAATGCTATTCGATGGATTTTGTTCCGCCACACCAAAGCCGACCGACCACCTTACGCTCTCAAGCCTGAGCACTTCACGTGTATTCACAGCAACACGTATGCACCTGATAGTATGATGTGCATAGATTCATACACGAGACGTACAGCATGTATGAGATACTTCGAAGTAGTATCTCATTACCTCAGACATTCGGTATATACGTCTCGTGTATGAGTCTGGACGTAAAGGGAGGATTTATTGTGTCTGTGGGACGCTACATATTTTTACTGCCCGTACTAATCCAAACTTCCACAGTTCCAGTTGTCAGGTGTTTCCCTAGCTTTAGTTGGCTGGAGCAAATGTAGAGCCAGTCTCCTCCACAAGCCTTTGAAGTGAGCAGGGTGTGTTTGCATATGTGGGTACGTGCATGCGTGTGTGTGGATGCGTGCGTTTGGGTCTTTGCTATTTCTGTCGTTGCTGTAGTCGCTATGCAGTTCAGTATCACTATGCAGCTGCTCATTGTCAGCCAACTGTGTGCCCAATTGACATGGAAAATAGCGTCCAAGCTACTGGAGGATCTGGTGATGATGATAAGCGACATGCTGCATTTGACTGTGATCCGTGTGTGGAACCACAGTTCTGGTTCTTCCGTAAAGCGGAGATGACAGTAGTGGGAGAAGAGCAGGGAGGAGTGTATGTATGAAATGTACTTACACCACTGCTGATACTGCATGACATCATACATTCATTGTGTAGGTATTCAGTATTAGACTTTACTAGGAGGGGTTCCAGGGTTCCGCTGAACCCCCTAAATTTCGTAAAGGAACTACTGCCACCATATGCGTGTCCATGTACATGTATCAGCGCTTCTTTTTTGACTGGAACACCACTGTAGAGATCGCTGGATCCGCCGCTGGTGTTGTTACTGACATTTTGAACCTCGCTCGTTCGCGATTTGGAAAAGGCAGTAAGGCACGGTACACAATGATGCCTTAGTGCACAAGTATGTGTTATTGCATGTGTGCATGGGTCACTGTGTGTGTGTGTGTGTGTGTGTGTGTGTGTGTGTGTGTGTGTGTGTGTGTGTGTGTATCTGTGTGTGTGTGTGTGTGTATCTGTGTGTGTGTGTATGTGTGTGTGTGTGTATCTGTGTGTGTGTGTGTGTGTGTGTGTGTGTGTGTGTGTGTGTGTGTGTGTGTGTGTGTGTGCGTGTGTATCTGTTTGTGTATGTGTGTCTGTCTGTCTGTCTGTCTCTTTATCCTTCTGTCTGCACAAGTCCAATAGTAAATACCTTTTTATTACTTGAGAAACAATTCCTTGCAACTGTGGTTACTGCATCATTACTTGACCCATCCAGATCTTTATTGCTTTATTGCAAATCATTTGCCAGGGCATACTTGAAGTGTGTTCACACAGCTGATACATACTTGTATACTTCATGATAATTATTATTATGTGATCAGTTTTCTGTAACGAAATTCTAGATCTGAAGACCTGTTGTAGCTCAATTTATGACACAATGTTGTTGAATTTCTTGATAAACGGCCTTCCGTGCATTCCACGGTGCCGCTTCTTGATAATGGTGATCTGGGCGAAAATTTAGATTCGGACAAGATTTGGCTACATAGTCATTTCTGCTTCGGGCAAGCTTGAACGGAAGGCAGGCAATCAGTATCATTCTCCTGCAATCATGGTGACAATGTGACGATAGCATCATGCACGTATAGTCATCAGTGCTAGTCATCAGTGCTACAGTCCATTCAGAAAAAAATGAACTTCTAGCTTTTGGCCATAAATGGGTCAAACGTTGAGTTTTTTTAGAATTTTTTTCTGCAATCCTCTATGGAATCCTCTTCCAATTATGTTTCTGAAGTTTTTTTCTCCAAAAAGCAAGCCATAACAAGAATAGGATTTCGGCCAGGTTTTGCCCCCAAAGCATTGAATTGGGAAAAACCATAAAAATCCAGGCCGTTTGACCCCGTCTGCAACAGTGCATTGTGCGGTTCGAACCCCAGTTCAGGTACCCTTTTTGGACCCTTTTTCAAATTTCAAATTTCGCAGCACTGCACTGTGTACGATGAAATCACGAAAAATCGCCAAATACGGGAGCTCGCCAGAGCCAGAGCCCATCTTTTTATGAATGGACTGTACAGTCCATTCATAAAAAGATGGGTCCTGGCTCTGGCGAGCTCCCGTATTTGGCGATTTTTCGTGATTTCATCGTACACAGTGCAGTGCTGCGAACTTTGAAATTTGAAAAAGGGTCCAAAAAGGGTGCCTGAACTGGGGTTCGAACCGCAGAATGCACTGTTGCAGGCGGGGTCAAACGGCCTGGATTTTGATGGTTTTTCCCAATTCAGTGCTTTTGGGGCAAAACCTGGCCGAAATCCTATTCTTGCTATGGCTTGCTTTTTGGACAAAAAAACTTCAGAAACATAATTGGAAGAGGATTCCATATGGGATTGCAGAAAAAAATTCTAAAAAAACTCAACGTTTGACCCATTTATGGCCAAAAGCTAGAAGTTCATTTATTTCTGAATGGACTGTAGTCATCAGTGCTAGTCATCAGTCCCCGACCTCCACCCCTACTGGGCCCTAGGACAGCTAGGTGGTGTCGCGCATATACAGTTCGCAAGTGAAACCTGACCATGAATCAAGGCCAAGGGCGCAGGCCAAGGCGCGTAGCGCCGAGGCCTGCGCCCGCGGCCGTACGCATGAGCTTTGGCTGCAACTACTTCTTCTAAAAAAAATGGCAAGAGATCCGTCCACCACGTCCCCGACCTCCACCCCTAGGTGGTATCGCGCTTATATACAGTTTCAAAGAATGCCAGTGAAAACATGACCATGACTCCGATGAGCGTACGGCCAGGCAGGCCCAAGGCCCGGGCGCTGGCCAAGGCGCGTAGCACAGTAGTCAGTAGATCTACGCACGAAGCCTTCATGTACTGATGTAAGCGAAAATTGATAAGATCATCGCGTGTCACCAAAGGAGTGATACTGATAGTGTAGCCACCACGTCCCCGACCAACCTACTTGTTCTTGAGCATTGAGCAAAGAAAAAAGGAAACAGGTCTAGCCACCACGTCCCCAACCTCCACCCGGCTATGTGGTATCGCGCTTATTAACTTATAGTTATACCGTCTACGCGGCTCAAAGGATGTAAGTGGAAACCTGAAACACGATCATAGAGTTTCTGGCAGGACTTTCCGCCTTCATCAAGGCCTCGTGCGCACGGCCGCGGGCGCAGGCCTCGGCGCTACGCGCCTTGGCCTGCGCCCTTGGCCGTATGCACTCGGCCTTGATTCAGCCATAAACTTATGATAAAGTCCTGCCAGAACTCTATGATTGTCTACATCACTCAAGTGAGTTTGCGCCTTGAACCATAAAGTCCTGCCAGAACTCTATGATTGTCTACATCATATCGACGACAGTTGTGAGAGACACTTCGCTAGTATGCATGCATGGAGTCGTGAAAGAGTTTTCATTCCCCCCTGCTACAATGTACCTGGTTATGCTAAGAGACAATGGCATATTCAAAAGGAAGTGTTTGCATGAGCGTGTCACAATTCACATACCTTTTTTTGCCAAGACTACTGGCAAACCAGCAGTGCTGCATTTTGTTTTTTGTAAACAGGGCGTAGTAGTACTACTAGTAGTATTGACTCACATAGATTGGCTAATAGTAATACTCGTACTCAGTATTACTAATACTCATTACTAATAGTAATAGGCCTAGTGCACTGCCCTCAATGAAATAGTCCAGTCGCGTCACTCAGGTGCGCGCCGGGCGTTGCGCAGCCCTAGACCTGCGAACACTGGGCTGCGAAAATGGTTCAAGGCGCAAACTCACTTGAGTGATGCTGCATGCATTTCAGATCAGCAGGAGCCAGGTGTACTGCATCTGGCCAGACCAGAGCCACACATGTGCCACAGTTTTGTGGGTTCTATGAGTATGATAATGATCATACTTCCTGCAGTTCGCATGCATGGCTAGTCCAGACTCCACTTGGTCCGGCGTTGGTGTCCCGTCAAGGAAATACAAGCGGCAAGCCAGAAACTAGCTTCAGCATTGCAGTACGACTAAGACCAGTAAGCATGGTAAGAGCTCAAACCGGCCAGAGCCTGTCCTGAGGTAAACCTGCTTGCAGCTGCTCCTCATGATCAGAATTAGGCAACGTTTACAGGAGAGCGGTAAAGATGTCGCTGCTACTAACGGACGCCCAGCTTGCTGAGTACAAGGACAATGGGTACATTGTCGTGCGTGGTTTGCTAACGCCGAACGAAGTAAGGTGACTTGCAGTAGAGTGATCTTCAGTTCTTTGAGAATTATTCCTGGAAATGAATGAATGAGTGAATGAATGAAACCTTGAAGGGTATTCCTCTGCTCACTATAATGGTGATGATGACATCATGTGGTAGTTAATTTGTAGCGGAGTCTGTCGCTACCACTACTCCTTTACAGCAGACTCCTTATAGAGATCGGGTTATCTTTCTTCACTCATGAAATCCTGGAATAATTTTCCAATATTCTTGGCAAACTTTTCAAAAAGGGCATGCAGTTCTCCTCGCTCACACGAGTTTATAACGTAGAGGTCAGAAAATACGGTGCTGCTCAACTAGAGTGAAATCCAGTCGTGTCACTCAAGTTTGTGCCTGGCACCACTTCGCAGCCCAGTGTTCGCATAATATGTACTTGTACAAGAAGAGGGTTTATGCATTACAACTAACTTTACTGTACTGAGCAGCACATCCAAAGCCCACATGAATAGAAACCACGTTTATCATCTTAAATTCAGCTTGGCTAGATTTTCAAATCTTCAATCTCCACCTTTGTCTGAATGGACTGAAGTTAGAAATAATTCAATGAATTAACCCGCTGTTGCTATTATGTATTTCATAATGTGTACCCGTAGGTGGCGGAAACACGAGAAGAAATGCGGCGTATGATTGATGATTGGTACGACGACTTCGAGTCGAGCGGCAAGGAGGGTCCGGCATGGAAGGAAGTGGTGCAGCGAGACCCTGCAGTGCAGAGAGGTGATCTTGTCCCGGAGTCGCGCTACCGAGCAGTGCGCAAGCTGTACCGCATGACCACTACAAGTAGCTTCTTTGAGAGACAAGCGCGCCACAAAAAGGTTTGATGTCATATCTGTACTTACTCAGCGTGACATCACTTTGTGCTGGAGGGAGTACAGGGTTGTCGACTCATTTAGTTACATTTTAGCATACTGGTAACTCCTGAGGCCCTCTCTTACACGGGTTCAGTCAGACCTCTCTTATTCGGTCCTCTTTATCCGGATCCCTCACCATCCGGAAGAAAATTGTTGGTTACCGATTTACAGCATATGTCATGCATACAGTATGCGTGTTCGATTATCCGGTTCCCTCGCCTATCCGGATATTTTAGTGGAAAACGGATGTGCGAGGTCTGACTGCATATCCATTCCTGGTCGGGTGAAGTGCCCAGCACACCGCATCTTACATAGTGGGTTGTCATTGCCTGAAACGATCGTAGCAGTGCCGGCGTACCCAATCCAAGGATGGCTCCGTATTTATCAGTGGTGCCGCATTGTACTGGTAGTTGTGGTGATACTGGCATGCCACATTTACAGAACAGATTTGGGTCAAAGAAGACTGCTTTGTATTTTCAAGCCAGCTATTGAGTGGTTGATATGCGGCTGTATACTAGTAATGCTGGTATGTTTATTCAATCACAGTAACACCTGTTAGAAACAACCACTGTAATCCTTGTAGTCTTTAGAGACCGGTCATCTCAAGGCCCTGACCATGTTTCAACTACAGTCAACTTCGCTTATAACGACACTCGGCAGGGCATCAGAAAAGTGTCCTTATTCGCGAAGTGTCGTTATACCCAAAGTCTCATTATATGTGTCACAGCTGGATGGGACTTTGCTCTGGGCATGAACATTCTGTCGTTATTCGCGAATTGTCGTTATATCCGCAGTCGTTATTAGCGAAGTTGACTGTAAACGTATTTCCCCGATTATAAGTCACACTTGATTATGAGTCGCACTCCCTTTTCAGGTTTGAGCCATGCTGTTTCAATATAGTCACGTGGGCAGGATGCCACACTCGATTGTAAGTTGCTCTCCATTCTCTGCCCTTGAAGTTTAGTGTGAAAACGTGCGACTCATATTCAGGGAAATGCGATACATGTAGACCCGGCATGCAAAGACCACCGCCTGTCTTTAGAGGCAAGTGTCCAGTGCATTACAGGGTGGCTGGTAGGTGCATATACCATGTATACCGGCCTGACTCCCTCTGTTTCATGATTGTATCAATTGTGTTTACTGCAGCTTGTCGAGGCATGTCAGCAACTCGTTGGAAAGGACATCCGACTACTTCAGTCAATGGCTCTCCTCAAACCGCCAGGTATGGGGTCTCAAAACTGAAAGAAGGGCACGGCCAATTATTATTTAGCGGTGAAGTTTGCATGTTCCATGAAAAATGTATTTCAAATGCAGTCATATAATGTAGAATAATATATTTTCGTGAAGAAGAGGTTAGTGTGACTTCGGCGATGCAACACACAATTCCCCAAAATATATTTTTATAAAAAAAACTAGCGCCCAACGTGGGGCTCGAACCCACGACCCTGAGATTAAGAGTCTCATGCTCTACCGACTGAGCTAGCCGGGCTGCTTGGTAGGTTCAGATGCAGCATATCCATTCGAATTTGCCACTGTTCTCCACATTGAGCACTATGACTCAGGCAGGCACAGCCGTATTTCCGTTTCCAAAAGAACACTTGCGCATGGAACAGGAGTTGAGCCAAAATCCTGTGTCTGTATTTGTTTCACTGTACGGTATGCCTAGGAACTTTTGTCAAGCTCTGAGCACATTTCTGCATGGAATAGGAGTCAATGCTAACTCCTGTGTAAGTGTGTGTGTGTATGTGTATGTATGTGTGTGTGTGTGTGTGTGTGTGTGTGTGTGTGTGTGTGTGTGTGTGTGTGTGTGTGTATGTGTATATATGTGTGTGTGTGTGCATGTGTATTTTACTGTACGGTATATGTAGGAACTGCTCAGAAGCGCTGGCACCAGGACAATGCCTATTTTCGCCTAACACCGATCGACGTCATGGTATGTGCACGTACCCTGCCTTCTGTGGATTGATGCATCACTGAGTTGTGTTTCACCCGTACACCATGTACATAATGCTCATCATGTTACTGATCCATTACTCGCATTTGTCAGTTGAGATGATGCAAAGGGGAATTTCTGGGGAAACCTGACCGTCGGACTCGAACCAGGGACCCTCGCTACCCGATGCTCTACCACTAAGTTATGGACTAGTCGTCATCCAAGCAGACACTTCAATATGTTCTGTTTACTGATCCATGCACCACATACTATTCTTTCTCAGAATTCGGGGAAGCATTCGCCCGACTGTAATTCCAACACGGCGCTGCACAAGTGTATGAAATTGATCCGGGCGTGCGGGTATCCTTTTTGTTGCTTTACGCAGGGCTGCTGGATAGCAATAGACCCGGCGTTTGTGCAGAATGGATGGTAGGTGTGTGTGCATGTAGTGTGTGGTATATGAGCACTTGGAGGGAAAAAAGGTAGCAGAGTTCATGGGATTCGAACTGACAACATGGTGATATACCCTCCCGAAACTAGTGCCTTGAAAATACAATTCAGAAGGAGACGGCTTCAGTGGCGGTTATTATCTACGGTAAAACCTGGTTTAAGTGACCACCCCACGGTGCAAGCAAAAGCGGTCGTTAAAGCCAGGTGGTCTTTAGAACCAGGTCCAACAGGTTCAGTGTAGAGCTGTCCGTGCATGGAAAAACGGTCGTTAAGAGCAGGTGGTCGCTAAAACCAGGTTTTACTGTAGTTGGCAGACGAAAGGGAAATATTCATGTCGTGCACATGCATGTAGTACAGGATGGTGACACAAAGGCAGAAGAGAACAGAGACAACCGGCTAGGTAATTGTTGTAACGCTGCGTGGCGGTCAGCTGTCTGAGGATTGCCTTAGCTGTGCTATGTGCATGAAACGCAGCGTTACAACAATGACCTAGCCGGTTGTCTCTGTCAGTTCTCTTCTGCCTTTGTGGTAATGCTTCATCCTTGTGGTGGTGAGCACTCTAGGTAATCTGGGAACTCTCACTATTTAGTACATGATGGTGATATAAGTTACGGTATAGAATGGTTTCACATCTTGGTCATGTGACTAAATTTGTGCAGAACGTCATCATGTCATGTGGACAGTGGAACCAACATGGCCAATATCATGTGACCCATAGATGCAGGGGTTGAGTGGAGGTGGAACCGACATGGCTGTCTGTATGGTCATGGGATAGACGTGAACCACTCCATACAGTTAGTGACATACGCATAGACATTGGCATAGCAGTATCCTTGGTTTGATGTCAACTGGCTCACTGACTAGGTAGCAGGCACAGAAACCAAAATCAGATTACATGTACCCATTGCTGTTAGCTGTGAAGTATATTTTGTCATTCAAGTTGTCGTCGCTGAACTTGAGGCCTTATAGTTGAAACTGCATGCAATGCGGAAAGTACATCTATTTCAATTTGTATCGCGCCTGGAGAAGATAGGAGCATGGCTGGCTTGCTAAGTGTATGCGAATGTGTTGCAAGGACGCCAGAGACTAATGTTCCTCAGGCCTTTCCAAGGTTTGACACAACTATAGCATGTTTATCCTCATGATCTTGCACGGTAATTGCGAAATGATTTCGTAGTGTGTCGTGCCTGGCTTGATTGTCCCTGCTCTATCTGCACAGCATGCATGTACTGAGTCAGTCCCATGGCAATGGCATAGCACTGCACAGGATGCCGGAAGGGTCGGAGGGCATGACCGAGCAGGGTGCCGTCCTGTACAGCTTGGCCGACATACCCGATGAGACGCAGGTAAGAGTAGCCATGTAGTGGGAAGACACCACGGCAACATGACATCATGACACTATGACATCATGCCATTATGACATCATTACACTGTAAAAGAGGCTATAAGTGTAAAACATCACAATAATAAATGTCATCATGTCACCATTACATCATGGGGATGTGAAAATGTCGCGAAGTTCACAGTTTATCACCTCTTACAGTCTTAGTTCACATGCAGTTGCATGCATACCTGTACTTTAAAAAGCACCATGGAACCATGGCACCATGACGACTGGGAAGGTGAAGGTGATAGTGCCACAAAGTTCACAATTTATATTTCAACGTCTTAGTTCACATGTAGTTGCATGCTGTGCACTTTAATGACCAATGGTGAATGTGCTATCCTCACTGTTCTAAAACTAGCACCAGTGCTCATGCGCAACATAAGTGCATGTGCGATGTTTTGTCATGCTGTGCAGTTTTACTGATCTATGGTGAATGTGCTATCCTCACTGTTTCTATAACTAGCACCCGTGCTCATGCGCAACTTACGTGTGTGATGTGTTTTTGTCATGCTGTACTGCCGTAGGTAACACCATTGCCAATGGAACCAGGGGATGCACTGCTGTTCCACGGTGCCCTCAAACACTTCACACCTCCCAATAGATCTAACGTTGAGTAAGTGAGAAGATACGCGTGCGAAACACCGGCAGTTATCTGTGCTGACCATTGACTGTTTTCCGTCATTTGACTGCTGTGTTCATTGGAGCATTGCTGCTAGCATTAGCCTGTCCCTTGGTGTTGGAAGACATTCTCCCTTCTGGACCTGTGCAAGTTACGACAGCAGTGGACAGTTAATCAGGACATCCACTCAGGTACAGCACCCAAACTGTTGCCCCCCCTCTCATCCTTATGTGGCTAAGTCTCATGAAAAGTGTTGGTGCTGCACCTGAGGGGGATTCTGTACTTCTTCAATGGCCGCTTCTGTAATTGCTGATATAATGAAGAGCGAAGCCGGGTAAGGTGACTAACGTGATTGTGCTCTGTACTGTTAGCTTGATTACTCTAGATCATGTGCACTATTTGAAAAAGTCCGATTCTGTATCTCTTGGTAATTGCTGACTGTTTTTCCAATGTTGTATGGCCTGGCCATGTAATTTCAAGTAACCACTCATTATTGAGATACAATGATCGTCGTTTTGCTATTATGCTACGTATGCAAGCCTGTAGTAGATCACGTGCCTGTGCCGGCTCAATACACAAACGTATGCTGTTTGCCGGAATAGGTCCTTCAGTGCGCATATGCTGCAGTGTTTACACCATTCTGTCCTCACTTATGCACAGATATACAGCATTCCCTCACTAGTGGGACCATTGTTATCAGGCTAGGGCCGGTTTTGGACTTCCCACTCTAAATAAAGAATACAAACAAACAAAACTGAGAATTGTTGCTGTGCTCACCGAGACCTCTGCAGTTGAAGTGGGAGCATCGTGCAGCCACAGTCGTGATAAGCGTCATTATTTTTGATGACCTGATGCAGGTAGTGTAGTTGTCCGGGGGAAGATTTGGATTGAACTGCGACCTCACTCACCCTTGTTCACATGGGGCTCTTGAAGGTAACCGTGACTTGCAATTAATTTTGCTGTTCTTACATTAAACTGGCTCATTATCTTACATTGCATTCTTTGCTATTTCTGTCGCTGCTGCAGTCGCTATGCAGTTCAGTATCACTATGCAGCCGCTCACTGTCAGCCAACTGTATGCCCAATTGACATGGAAAATAGTGTCAAAGCTACTGGAGGACCTGGTGATGATGATAAGCGACATGCTGCATTTGACTGTGATCCGTGTGTGGAACCACAGTTCTGGTTCTTCCGTAAAGCAGAGATGACAGTAGTGGGAGAAGAGAAGGGAGGCGTGTACATTTGAGTGTACTGGTGTTGAAGTAGATCATGGCAGGAACGTGGAACATCTCCAAAAGTCGATTCGTTTGTCTTTACTTCATTTCTGCATCCTTGAGGTGATTTGACTGTGTGTGTGTGTGTGTGTGTGTGTGTGTGTGTGTGTGTGTGCTTGATTGTAGGTTTGTTGGCACATATGTGTCTCTGAATGTGTGTGTGTGTGTGGTCGTGCATGTCCCGTGTGTATGTAGTATGTATGTGCGCACCGTTGTGTGTGTGTATGTGTGTGTGTGTGTGTGTGTGTGTGTGTGTGTGTGTCTCTGTGTATGTGTTCAAATCCCCCCCCGTGTGTCTAATGTATGTACATTGATGCTGTGTTGTATATGGATTAAATACTTGACGAAGAGTATTAGCAGAATTTCTAAATGGTAAAAACCCTCACCTTATACTTCGAAGTATATACTCCAAATTGCCCAGGACAAAGAGGTGCGCAAGACGCTGGTAACAATATTGCGAAGCTTGCTGGACTGTGAGCTTGCTGCGACCCATTGTAGAAGTCGGAGACCTGATGTGGCTCCCCTGTTTTGGGCTGTAGTGGTTTGTGCAAGTATCATACAGTAGGATGTGCTTGTGATGTGTAGGTGTGTCAGAGTCAGGAGAGTTGTGGCGAAGAGAAACTTTGCGTCTGCTTGGTCTACTTCTGGAAACAGGTGGTGACTGCGGTGGGGCTCACGCGAAGAAAAGATCCTAGCAGACAGGTTCAGGATGACCGTGTGTTCCCGAGTATAGTGATGGTGGGCGATAGGTGTACGGCCGTGCACGCGTGGCAGCGTGTTTGTTTAGACGTCACAACACTGTGTTGTTGATGTGTGTCTGTTTTGAGGGAGTGACAGCGGCGGTGGTTATAAGGGGCTGGAGCTTGGAACAGTATTGGTGTGTGTGGCTGGTGTATTGGGATGACATCTCAGTCGGGAAGGGGTTGGAATTGGCACGGTGTTGATTGCGGTAGGGGTGTAGCATCTGTCGTTTCACCTGTTGATTGATACTACAATCTTGTGCTGGTTTTCTTGTGATACCCTATGGCCTGTGTCAATAGGCCATGCGGCCACCAATTGGAGTGTTTGAGTGTTGTTATGGCATGAATCAGCAACATCTTGTGATGAGCACCTTGCTTGAATCAATACACGCCACCCTGTCAGCAACAAGAGTGTATTTTCCATGGAGGCCCATTCACACTGCTCGCCACCTCTCAGTTGTCGCCGATGACATGAGAGTGCATCCCGCATGACGCCCAGGGTATCGCTGGGGGCCAAGCCGCAAGCTATTACACTGCCAAGATCGTGTCGTTTTGCGACCACGACGCGCCTCATGCTGAGAAAGGGTTTCGTCATTGGTAACAGAACCGTCCCAAACCGTCCGTGTTTGTTAAGCTGCATGTATGTGGACGGGTGGGTGGTCGGCTTGTCCTAGACAAGCCACTTCGGACTGGTGGGCAAATGCCTGCAGTCTTTCCCACGCTCAATACGCGCTCGATGAACGTGTTGACAGGCCCGATCACGCTAGCTGACATACCGATGCACTGGTGTCACGCGAGCAGTGTATACACGACGGTATTCCACTGTAACAGGCACTGCAATATGCCACAATCAGTACAGGCCAGACTGACGAGGTGACCTGATCATGATCATGTGTGTACAGTGAGTGGTACATTAGGCCTGCTCATACACACACAGTCCCTCCGGCTCTCTCCCCGCGGACGCATTCCCATGCTTGTCTGATTCAGTGTTGAACCAAAACAGACATGCAGTCATGCTGGTGATGGTGTTGTAATATGGTGTGCATGCTTGACTTAGTCATGTATTGTCCTATCTCCGTAACGGACCCCCGTGGAGATTTTGGAGATTTGGTGTTCCTAAGTCAATATTGCGGTTGCGCAGATGCTCAGTTGAATGCGAAGCTGCTTTCCGGGGTAATGCTGACGGAACCGGTGCGAGTGTGTGTGTGTGTGTGTCTCTGTGTCTGTGTGGGTGTGTGTGTGTGTGTCATTCCACTTGGATGCAACCACTATTCCACGACTGTGTCGATTCTGGCTAGTTGATTTCATCCCGAACATGTAACTTATGATGGTCGACTTAGTTGACAGGATTTTTGGCCGATGGTGTGCCCCCCCCCCCCCACACACACACATATACACACACACACACGTACACACGTACACACACACACACATACGTACACACACACACACATATGTTCATACACAGATGGATATGTGTACCAGGCAGTACTGTCTACAGTAGTGGATATAAAGAATGATATGCACTTACACTAGCAGTTCACCTTTACCCCTGCATGTACACGAGACTGGACAGTGGACCCTTCTTTAACCATTCACTATATTCACTCTTCTCTGTGTTTTGCACAGATGGGCATGCCGTCTTCTGCATGTATTTCACCACCTTGCTTGCGGCCACGGCAACCACGTTGATTACTATAGCTACGCACCAGAAGATTGTGCCCCTGCAGGAGCCTTTCCGCGGCGGGTATCTCGGTGACGCGGCAACCATGCAAGCAAGTGAGTGCCGGTCCGAGGATTCTCTACCTGGGGTCTCCCAGGATTGGCATTGTAGAGATAGAGGAATGTGTTCTGCTTATCGTGTGTTTGATGATGGTCTATCTCCGAGAAGAAACCCTTTGGTTTGTGCCAGAAGGCATAGTAAAGTATTCGAGTAGTGAAAACTTGGAAGGCTAGGCATTAGAATAGTATACTGGGAAGATTTATCCATGCGCTGTGCCACGGGGCTTTTCAGGAGCTGGAAGGGACGGGCTGCGAGTATCCAGGAGAGTGTAGCCATGACCAGCTTGGTGGTATTGTGCAGCCCCTGGCTCGCGTGCGCTGTGTGGTGCCTAGACTCCAGCGCTGTTGGCAGTGGGCTCCGCTCGGCCGGACTCTTCCTCGCTTGACGTGTGGTCGGCGCTGACCTGTCAGGCGCGAGACCACGCTTGACACATTGCTTCTCTCTTGGGGTCTCTGCACACTCTACCTGCTCATGCATGCACTTGTCCACGATGCCAGCCAGAGTATCTGTCGGTGTGCATGCAACATGGCTTCAGCTAGCCCTTACAGCTATGCTTGCTGGAGCATGGACATGCTAGTCGTGTGGTCCAGTGGCTACAAAACTACACTTCCACTCTCATCTGGAGGTCATTCCAAACGTTGTACTGAAGAGAGTAAGACTGTGGTGTTTGTTATCATCTTTGAACCTAGATCAGGCAGACTCCCACTGCAGCCTATCCTACAGTGATTCTGAGCCTAGCTGGATGAGGCAGAGGCAGCAGCACTGCACATCGCTCAAGTAAAACTAGGTAAGTACGATGCCTGTGGCTAGACTAGACTGGCGCACGTTAAGCAGACTTGACACCGTCCGATAACAGTTGCATGGCCTGTAATTGGCCAAAGCAGCACGGCTAGAGACTCCTGGGACCTTCCTGTGTTTTGTCATGTGTCCGCGAAAACTAAGAAATCGCGACAATAACTCGGACTCTCTTCGGTGTTGGGTGTTGCTTGGGGTGATTGGGGTGATTGGCGACCCTCAGCGTCTACCCTGGTTTCCTGTGTGTAGTCAGTGTGGCGCTATGCAATACTACACAGTGTTGTATGTAAAAAAAAAGGTGCTGTGTGGAGCGTTAAACAAATGTGTAACAATTTAGCTTGGTTAGCTATACTTGGCCGGTGTGCACTCAAGATCCGTATCTGACATTGTAGTCGTGTTGTTGTGAAAGTCATTATAACGCAACTGTTCGAGGAACGTAAACAGTAACTGGTTAGAATTCAGGTAGTTGTGGGGGAGAGACAACAAAGATGTTGTGGGGGAGAGACAACAAAGATGTTGTGGGGTGATGCGAGCTGTGGGGGATACTTTTGCTTTGGGTCTTGGCAGTATGGTGCATGAACTTTGCGGTACCGACAGCAGGAGTTCTGTGGGTGAGACAAGATGACCATTGTGATAGAGCAGGGACAGAACTATGGGAAAACTAACTTAATTGGTTGTGTTGGCTTTCGAAAGAATTCCCTAGAGCCCTTTCGTAGCAACCCAGGAATAGAATGCTGTGAACAGGGTCGTAAGGAGCAGATTCAGGAGCAATGGTTGTTCAGTGGAGGTCGTTTGAGCTTTGAAAGCTCATTGGTTGGCAAGCTGGCATCCACATTGTCTGATTCTGATTCTGTTCACACAAGCGTACATTCATAGAGTACGTGTTTGAGCTATGCACGTGGAAGTGGTGCATCTGGCCATTCATTGCGATGGGGCCTCCTGGGCGGGGTGAATCGTATTCCGTGGCATACATCTTGGTGCTTCGCTGCCAAGATGCCCTCCTGGAGTGCCCGTATTTCCGACAACATTCTCCACATGCTTACTCCAGTGTATCTACCCTGGGATGATCAGTTTAGCTAGTAATTACTGCTCTGACCTCCCGGAGGGAGTGAAGAAGGGTATCAGGTAGTCAGGGACTGCTCAATCAAACAGCATGCACAATGCTACTAATGTTCTGATATGCACAGACCCACCAGACCCACCAGGTTGCTGTAAACGTCACTGGGTGGTCGTCTCATTTTCACGACCTCTCGCCAGCCTAGGCGCGAACACCGGCCAGGGCTCACAACACCACTCCACACTGCTGCGGGCTACCGGCCAGTTGGCGCTGCGTTTTCTACGCGTTGCGACGCCAAGATGGTCGGTGGCTTTCTCTCTGCTTGGTGCAGCTCCCCTCGCATTGCACTGGGCAGTGAACGGTTCTGGCAATGCTGTGCTGACTGTGCTTACACTGTCAACAGCCAGATGGAGTGTGGTTGTCCTCATGGATTTACTCACTCCATAGGGGATGTAATCTGTCAGGTGTACAGCAGTGATGCCTTCCACAGCATATGATTATACTTATAGAAGCTAGCCGAGTTTAGGCTGCTGATTCAGCGATTCATCAGGCTCTCTTGCTCACTGACTGTCTTTGTAGGCTGCTAGATCTGCACTGGCCATTACAGTGTATGTTCAGTCAAAGTGCTCCAGAACTGGGTCAGCTGACAGGATGTGGTGTTGAGCTGTCCGGAGCCTGTCGACCTGCTCCTATTTGGGCACTGCAGGTTTTGATGGGTGGAGAATGGGCACGTGATAAGCACAGGGGCAGTGTGCGTGTGGGTGGCTACTAGGCCCAGGCGAATCTGCGTCTGCCCAGGGCACGTGCAGCGCAACACGTGTTTCCCTGGTGTTGTTTGCCTGCGAGCGACACCCAACTGTGTTGTTTATGGGGTGAGAAGATCAGTAAATGTACATCCCTGGCGGGAACTTGCCCCCCGCTGCTGGTCCAGTAAATGGATGTTGTGGCAACCAAAATGGTGGTCATAGCACACTTCATGCATGTCCATAGATGTATGTCAGCCGATCATGATGTAGTTGGCAAGACCGTGTGATAATAGACCCTGGGATAATCATGCCTGACATGTGGACACTGATAAAGAGGTCACTCCCTCGACTCTGCACCAATCATTGTAAAATTGTGCTTCTTTGCACTATGACTACTACTTATAGTATCTGAGCTAAAATACCTGAATTGATCCAAGTTTGGTCCTACCCATATACCTGCTAGCTGATCGGTGTTGTCATTGAAACTTTGTCCATGTTTCTCTGCAGGCACTAAGTAACAGTTATCCGTGATAAGGATGGACAGCTGCGACGGCTTGGCAGCGTTAGCATGTGGCCGTGCTCAAGCTCCTCTCCCTCGCCGTGTGTGCTGCGCCAGGGCCAGTGGCACTACTACCAGTACCACTACTAGCACAGTAACCATGCGTGTCATAGTATGCTGCATAGTGGCGTTGCTCCACCCTACTGCAACCGCATCGCCCCTCCGTCAACATCTCAACCAGCGGACCGAGCCAGGGGCGACACGCGGACACCTAGCACAGTCCAGTGACGGTAGCCGGAGTAGTCGTAACGCCGACGACAGCAGCATTGCTGGCGGGTTTCCTCTGCAGCAGCCTCGGGTGCACGGTGCCATGGTGGAATCCCGCAGATCAAAGAAGACGGGAGTGAGACCGGTGCTGACGCAGCTGCACGACCGCATCATTTCCAGCACCGTCCTTAGCTCAATACCAGCCATGGCACCCGTGCCTGTCGTGCCCGAGAGACAGCAACGCCGACTAGCAGAGCACGACGTACACGTACCTCTTGCTAACACGGAGACCAGCGCTCCGTCGACTGAACAGGCCGCCGAGAACCCCATCGAGATTGCGGTGAGCCGAGAAGACGAGCAGCCAGTAAACATGAGAGGCAGGGAGCCCGTTGTCCAATCGCAGCATCATCATAGCCAAAGTACAAACCGGAGTAATCTTGACGGCGAAAGCTGTAGACTGAGTCGTATGAGCGTCATTGTTCGACGTGGCGGCTGTAGGAAGTATGTGCACACCAATGTCTGCCAGGGAACGTGCAACAGCAAAGTGAAAGCGGAACGACGACCGCCGTTCGTACAATATTTGCCGAAATGTTGTCAGCCACGCACGTCTAAACCAGTTGTGATCGACATGAATGATGATGAGTGCATCCAGCAACGCATCAAGAGGAAGAAAACGCGCCTCACCCGCTACACGAATATCACACTATTGGCTGCGACCAGCTGCTTCTGTGGCTCATGCTCTTTCTGAGCGTGACTGAGTGAATGCGTGTGTGTCTGTGTGTGTGTTTTGTGTGTGTGCGTGCGTCGTGTGTGCACGCGCGCTTGATTATTGTTTTGAGTGTGCGGTAATGTATCCGGGTGTATGTGCACATACATTGGCGCCCGTGGAATAGATTCTCTCCACCTCCATACTTTATGAGCACGAACGTTGACGAACCGTCCTATATTGGCCAGCCACTTCTTTGAAACTGATTGCTGCACGCTGCTCTTATTATACCAATTATTTTCAGTTGAGAAGGGCTGTTGGAGTACATTTTTAGCTGCCTGACACAGCCCCACCATCCACCATAATGTGTTTATGACTCAGCTTGTAATTATAATTACTTTTTAAAACTTCTCTCCATGCATATCATAAGCACTGAGACAGCGGTAGAGACTGACAGAGAAGCAATACGATCAAGCGGAGTAACATTCACGACCAGGTTATCTACCGTTCATGCACGGGACTGAGTGATACGAATTATTCTTATTCTACTTGAGAGCCACTCTTGATATTTTCAATGCCAAATTTAATATTCTTCAGCAAGGTTAATCGAGGCTAGAATATATGCCTACATTAATATTCAGAATCATTAAAGTATTTTTCCACAACCATATATAATTTTAATGGACAAGCAGTGTTAGCCGAGTGACAACCACCTGGTAAATTGGAAATGATATTCAGATACTGTGGCAGTAGCATTAATTTTGTTGTAAACAGCCCGAGCAACCAAGCATGGGTGTCCAAGAGCAGGTTGGATTTGTTGGAACACAATCATTCAGCAATTGTAGACAGCAGTTAGAGGTTACAGATTGTTTTTACGAAACGAAAAGTGTAGTATTTTTCAGCCCACACCCACCCACCGACCTTTTCTGCAGGTACATCGAATTCCAGTAAAATATTGATGTCAATTTTCGACACCCAGAAGTAACTGGGCATTCTCCATCTGCATTCAATAATTATTTTCAAAACGAAACTCCACACCCCAAACGAAAACTCTTCGTTCCGAAAATATTATTGGTAACCTTGGACGGCCCCTTATATACATTTCTGCCGGATGTGTTTGGACACTATTAATATTAATTTTAGATGCTTTTTCATTCAAGAGGTCAAATTTCACCAGTGGGCACAGGCAGTCCACACAACAACAAGCAGACGATAGTAGATTTTTTCGGATGAATACTTATTCAAAGGTGATCGTCTTTTTGAATGAATGTTGAATCAAAGGTGATCAGACTTCTCTGTAGCGATTTCAGTTGTCACAAGACGGGAAAATATATATAGTATCAAACAGTCTTGATAGCTGAGAGTAGATAACGGTGTGTGCAGTTTTGTGATGGCCGAAAACAAGGTTAGTTGTGTGGAGAGGAACCTAGGGCACAATGTTGTGCAAAAAAGAGGAACACTGGCAAAACACCAACACGTGAAAGAACACAGGGATGATAGTAAAAAAAGTAAGGTCCAGAAAGCTCTGGCCAACTTACAGCAAAGGAATGAACAAGGCGCAAATAAAGGCAAACACGAGAGAACACAACAGTCGTCATCACTAGGGAAAAATAAAGCGAACATCCAAAAAAAGCCACACCTCACCTGCACCAGCTTGAGGGGGTTAGCCCCGTCGAAAAGGGAGCTTGGGATAACAACGGAGTAGTAGAAAAGTGGTGATAATAATTGTAATGATAATACTCCGTCACACACCAAGATATTGTGATTGCCACGGAAACAACGACATGAACACACAGAAGAGAGAGAGGGGAGGGGGTTCTAAAACACGGTGGACAAACCACATGCGCATGAGAGCGACAACGACGAGAGCGACCAGTAATAAACAGCTAAGAGCAAATAGTGCAGAGCATGGTGCAGGAGAGTAAACAAGCAGAGTAACTAAAATATGACTTACCACTACCACTATCACACTACCACTTCGGATTAAAAACACACTAAGAACGTAACTAACGTTTCAAGGTGCCCGACTAAAACCATCCAACGCAAATATGAAGCGACTCACTAAAAAGAATATGGTGAGAATAGGTGAAAACGTAAAAAAAGTAGCACAGCAAACTACAGTGAGAAGAAGGACAGAGAGAGGTAAAACAAATCAGGGGAGGGTCTGGCAAGGGACTGGCTCTTACCCGGGTTTGTTGGACAACACACTGAGAGATACAGGAGGTGGCAATGTTTGGGGCCATGCCTGAGCCTGGAAACCGTAAACATAGTGGCGGGCGGTGTTGGCTGCCAACACACCAGCCAAGCGCTTGTTGTGTGCCAGTGAGCAATTGAGTGCTAATAGGAGGAAGATAGGTAGTCACTGTAGCATCATAGGCCTGTAGCTAATTCACCATTGGGACGATGAGACGTGGACATTGCTTGCAACTGCAAACAAGTAGCATCTACTACTGAACAACCCGTTAGGGGCGGCTGAGTTGCCATGTGTTGGGATGGAGGCTAAAAAGGGGCTAGAAAGGTGAAAAGGAGTACGGAGCGATGAAATAATTCATTCAGCACACCTAGGTTCCTCAATCTGTTTCTTCTCATAAATAGTTTGGATATAGATTTTAAAATTGGATACCGTTCAGGAGCCCAGCGAATTTGGCTCACAGCGCAAATCATAAGGTAGCGGATACGTTTAAACTGGATTTTAAGAGACCTCGATCGGATAGGATGGCGGGGTGGTTATAAGGTAGGAGAGGGGGCCCTTGGTCCCGCTCTAGAAAAAACACAACCACAACACCTACTACACGTTTTGTCGCCGAGTCACAGGACGCAGACCAAGCGAGAACTACCGGACTACGCAGCGCAATCTTCGGCGACACTACAGATGAACATACAAAAACACAACACACACAAACATCCATTGGTAAATCAAATGCCTATCAGAAGCGCTACATTCCATACGATCTATGCTTGGACTTTGCCAGGTCTAGTTCCAACAGGTGTGAATGTATATCTCAGGCAACACCAACAACCATGAAGCCAATGCAAGATTGGCACTTGTACAAGTCCTCATTGACGAGTGCCTGAAGAGCAGCACTACACTGTAGTGTGCTGGATTTTGCACAGCTGTGTGTCTTGCTAAATAGCACACAGCTGTGCATAACAACAGGACACAAACTGCTGGGAAGCCGGTTCAAGCATTGACTTGCAACAACAGATTAGCAAGAAAGCGTAGAACAGGCGCCTACTAGGCAAAAGCATGCGAAGAGGGGGAGTCACCCAAAGATACAATGGTACACATATGTGTGTGTGCGTGTGTGTGTGTGTGGGGGGGGGGGGGGGGGGGGGGTGAAATCACTCAAGAAAAGCAAACCGAAGTTGCACGGCAGGAAAGTAAAGGTACTAAGAGACAAGTATACCACGCGCGCAGAGAAAATAAACAAATTGACTTTGCACAGCAGGACAGAAAAGGTACTACTAAAACTAAGACACAAGTACACGTAAACTACGCACAGAGAAAACAAGACAACTGACTTTGCACAGCAGGACAGAAAAGGTACTAAGACTATGAGGCAAGTACACAAATACAACGCACACTGACTTTTCACAGCAGGACAGTAAAGGTACTGAGAGGCAAGTTTACAACGAAAACGACACAAACTTGGGGCATGCGGAGACTAAAACAAACCGACAGCTTCAAGAAACCATGGGGAGGGGAGGGGTAACAGTATCATAAGGACGAACATCTCACCCCAAAAGGTACAACACAACGGGAACGGGAAGAAATCCAGCATGACAGAATGACAAATCCGATATCATGTGCAATAAAAAACCGTTGTAAAATGAAGAGAGAGCTAAACACAACTGACATGCCAGGTATACTACCTAGCCAAACCAAAAGAGAAAATAACAATTAAAGGCTAAACACAAAACCGTGGCAGAACACCGAGTCCGCAGATACCGCAGGCGCCTGCCAACATGCCCCGTCTCTAACGGGAAAGGACAAATGCACACACGCATACAAGCGAGACCCATAGCCACTCACGTAGGACGGGAGCTAGTATCTGCGCTCTCTTGCTTGCTTCAAGGACACTTTCAGGCGCTTGGTGCCAATTGGGAAGCCGTTCATTGACGAAATAGCTAGTGTTGCAGACTGACGGTTGTCAAAACTCACAAAACCTACAAGAAAGAAAACAAGAAATGGTAGAAAGGAAGCAACCAGAAAGAAAAAAGGCCTGGTATAAACTACAGAGACTATAATTATTATTTTAATAATAATAGTTAAAACCCGTCAACCCTTTCTGCAGGGTAGTGCCACCAGAGCACTAAGCACTAAGGACCAGCGAAAACAGATCATTTTTACTCAAGTACTGAGAACACACACACATAAACGTCCGTAACTCTGGCATGGACGTCTGCAAGTACTGAGAACACACACACATAAACGTCCGTAACTCTGGCATGGACGTCTGCAAGTACTGAGAACACACCACATATAAAAGTCCGTAACTCTGGCATACATTCTCCAAACGGGACGTATGCATCAATTTCCCGCCATTAGGTTTTGCGGAGCAAGTCCACTACAACCATACACACCATGATACATAAAAGGTCAGGAACTTTGTGAGGTCATACTCATAAATGTGCTATGACAGGTTGTACCTGACAAGTATGGGGTAACTTGCCCTGCAAAAAAAGGTGAAGGCCATATTTATTATAGATGCATACCTCCTATGGTCTTTGGCTACTAGAACGAGAACGAGGAAAACGATCAGCTGAAGCACCAACAGTTTTCAGAAGGTTGGAACCCAGTTTAAGAGCCAAGTCGATTTGTCCCCAAGTCGTAGCGCAGTTGTGCAAATCCAAGAAAGTTCGCTTTCAGCGGCCATTCGACTCAGCTTGCTCGTACCGAGCTCAATGAAAAAGTTTTCCTGAAGGCCAGGACTAAATTGGCCCAGATATGATGACTTAAAAATGGAGATTCCACATTCGATTTCCATCATAACAATGATTCTACTTGACCAGTTGTGACCTTCGTAAGCTCCCTGGAAAGTTCTAGTAGAGAGGATCACAACGAGGCCAAACTCATCAAGGGAATCCATCACTGGTGTATCGAAATTCGAAGCAAACTTTGACTAATGAATGAAGTTCAGCGCAATTTGCAACAACAGCAACGGCCCAGACTTAAGGTGCGCATGCGAACGCCATGTACAATGTACACTGGGTAGATGTGCTGACGACAGCGTACTAGTGCATGCGCGGTAAAAATCACACTTGCACGCCGAGCTCAGGCATACGCCACACAGCACGCAACCGGCCAACATGCAAGATGACATGCACGCAACCATGGCTCGCAGTACATTTGTCAGTCTACGGTACGTACAACACACACACACCACAGGGCTCACCGAAGCATTTACTCTGATTCGTCTGCTTATCGATGAAGACCTTGGCACTGAGAATTACACCAAAATTGGAGAACAGCTGCATGAGGTCCGCGTCGCGATATTCAGCGGGAATATGGTAAATAAATAAGTTACAGCCGTCAGGTCCTGCAGCAAAAAGAAGAAAGCAAGAAATGAAGTGCGGATTACGATTCGCAAATAACACCGGTCCGTAAATAGGACCCAGGCGTACTTGTACATGTATACTGCACAAAGCAGGCGCATTCTTGGCCATGTGAATTTCTCCAAGAGGGGGCTACACAAGTTGCAGAATTCAGCGCTTGCGTTTCTATAAGCAAGTAAACCATTTTGCATGCATACTCGTACACCTGTACAGCAACAGAGACGTCCATGTCCAGGGAACTAGGCCGAATCACGTTACCGTAGGAAACAGCGTAACTGCAGCACAGGATGTATCGCACCAACGAGAAGCTACGAGAAACTGGTAGTTGAACAGCACTACTACACTGAAGCTTGTCAGCCGCAGGACACACTGGCACAACCCACGCCTCAGTTGATCCAGTGGCCGCATACGGCGTACGCTTCCGGTGTCAGCGTGCGCTTTGTGGTCGTTCAAAACAAACGGTAGAGGTGTTTTCTACGCACCTCACTACCTCCATGTAGCTCGCTGTGAAGCCATGCAGTAGTAGAGGCAAGAGATGGTGTCCGGAGAACGTGAACTTCAGCCCTGTAGCTGTTGCTGTGCCGCAGTGAAAAGCGGCAGAACTAATGGTCCAGGATACAGTTCCCTCTGAAGTTGTTTGGCAGGAGTGCCAACCACGAGTGCTTCATTTTTCTTCCTCCTCATTGCGAGGCAAATTGTACTCCTCATGTAGAGCCTCTTCGAACAGTATTTACTTTTCTGATGACCTCCACTTGCGTACTCTTTTGTTTAAAACGTGCAGCAGCTTGTTGCTCCCTTTCTTTCACCTTCGTCCTATCAACGACCTGCACTTTGAAACTTCACAACAGCTGCTCCAGAGTTACGGCAGCTGTGCTGGCTATGGTATATACATGGGACCAAGAGTATATAAGCCACCAAGAGTGCGCAACTCTACATATGGGGCCTCCGACGGCGAAAACTCACATCACGTGTCTCAGGTACGTTTTGTACTACGTACAACTAGGATAGTGTGCGCGCAATCCGAAAACCTGCCATGATCATGCTGCAACGCACAGTTAGTTTCTGCCAGGGAGTGTTTTTATTATTACTCTGCTGCTCGCTAAAAGCCGGCTGGAAACGTACAACTGCAACGCTACACCAATTGCCGTCGGCGAACCCCATAGAAAGGGTATCAGGAGTTGCACACTCTTGGGGGCTTATATACTCATGGGACGTTATAGGTACCAGGCACCAAACAATCACTACTCTTAATACTGGGTGTAGTCAACACACCAGGCCATACCAAACCTGCTACATGTGCAAGCATGGTAACTGTTTGTGTGTTTTTGTGTGTGTTTTGTGTGTGTATGTGTGTGTTTTGTGTGTGTATGTGTGTGTGTATGTGTGTGTATGTGTGTGTATGTGCATGTGTTTTGTGTGTGTATGTGTGTGTATGTGCATGTGTGTGCGTGTGCGCGCGCGTGTGAGAATGTTGCTCACCTTCCTGCTGATGTTGGAAGGCAGTTGGGTTGGGAATACCCTGTCGGGCCAGTAAGTTCTGGTACAGTGCTAAGTTAGGAACTACGCCAGCGCCTGCTCCTGGTGCTGCAATTGCACAACACACGTGCACACACACACGCACACACACACACACACCCAGGCATCCGTACACAGGCGCACAGGTAGACACAATCAGCATTGGCACATCATTTTGGTCAAATATCAGTAGGATAAAAAAAAAAGATTTTTCCGGTTTTTCCCTCAGACAGAATAATGATTCCGCGTAGGATCTTAGGGGCCGAAACAAAACGAAAAGATTTAGTGAGTCGGGGGAGAGGAGGTTAGTCTCTCAACCAATCGGGCGTGTAACAGACCATAACCCTTTAAACTGCATCCTTGTTATTCTCACTCCAAGCTGTGAGTACCCAGGTGACTGTGGGTGTCGGCACAGTTCAACACGCGTAAACAGTCTTTTTACACGCTCCCTGCTACCAGCGCGGGTCTTAACTCGGGACCTCATGTTCGCAGGCAGGCCTGCAAACCAATCGGCCATATGCGTCTCCGTTTGCATTCAATAATTAAATTCAAAATGAAACTCCAAACCCACCCAACCCCAAACGAAAATTTTTCGTTTTGAAATATTATTGGTAACCTTGGACAATTTTTCGTTTTGAAATATTATTGGTAACCTTGGACGGTCCCTTAGAAGAGACCTGTGGAAACACGCATGATGACCGGTAAAAGCGAAAATGTGGATCAGGATTTTACTTAATTTCTGAACAAAGAAGAAAGGCAACATTAATTGGAAGTCTGAAAGGGCGGAGATGCAATATTTCACCCTATCTATTTTCACCTTATAGAGAGACTCACCAGAATACTGCGCTAGTAGCTGGTCATTACTCGGTCCACCAAGTGCTACAAACCACACATGATACACACGCCCCACACATGCACACACACCCACACACAAGGACACACCCACCCACACACATGCACGGACACAAACACACACGGTTACCCAGAAAGATACACACAGGCACACAATGTTTACGTGGAGACACACACACAAGGACACACACACACACACACACACACAAGGACACACACACACACACATACGATGTTTCCGTGGAGCGAGAGTGGAAAGCCAAATAGCAATAACAATAACAACTCTCTCTTTTCCTCTCATCTGGCACTGGCCTGCAAGAAACTCTAGCATTACCTTGCGCATGTCCGCCTGAAAATGGGTTGGGTTGGAATAACATCGACTGTGCAATCTGCTACTCCGAACCAAAAGCACCAAGCACACAACGTAGCAAGACAATAGGTTCGTCCACGCACAAAACCAGAAAAGCACAAGGAGAGACACACAAAACACAGGAAGAAAGACACACAAGCCCACACAAACACACACACAGGCACACGCACACACACAGGCACACACACACACACAGGCACAGGCACACACAGGCACACACACAAATAAACACACACACACACACAAGTCAAGCAGGTAAGTGATCAAACATTACTAATGTGATCACGCAAATCAACCAGTAAAATAAACAATCCTCATCTCTAAACTCACATGTCCCAACTACTGCTTCTAGCAAACATGCTGTATGAAGCAAACTACATTACTGGCCAATGGGTTCTTGTTCACTCCATATCGTAGGCAGTGTATGATCACTCAATTGCAAGTCTATACTTGATGACATACGGACACTCAACTCCTAGCTTTCCTTTCCTTCTCCCACTGCCATAGTTGGCAATGTGGCGGTACGCACCTCCCTCATACACGCACACGCATGCGCGCGCGCACACACACACACACGCACACACACACACACACACACACACACACACACACACACACACACACACACACACAGAACACACACACACACAGAACACTGATATCCATACGCAACCAATTTACATGTGCATAGGCCGCCATAGCTCCATGTCCGCCGTTGACGGCTGCTAGGGCCAAGGGGTTCATCATGCCAAAGCTGATCATGTTGCGGTGCAGCCTTCTTGCGGTACGCTCGCGCTCAGAGTCGGCAAACTTGATGACTATAGGTGAGGAGGCACCCTGGAGGAACAGGCATACATGTACAAACATACACTGCTGTTGGGGGAAATTTCTGGAAAGAAAATTGAACATGCAAGGCTACATTGTATGGCTGCACAGGCACATGCTCTTATGTGCATGAGCGAATAGGATACGCGGCTGGAATCCCAATCAATGCGGCTGTAAAGTGAAGACATGCATACTTTCATAGCATTTCTGTGACACTTGTGTGTGGAGAAAGACTGCAGATACTTTCAATGTGTAGCGCGCAGGGAGTGCCACTTTTCTTGCAGGCTTGCCGCGTGGAAGGTGCTTCTTGTGTGCTCCAGACAACAGCTGCGAGTCAGTCAGCAGGAAGCGCGAGCTCCAATATAACTTGGGTTTGACCCATACACCGTGGGAACGGTCCTTTGCTCAACTTTCAGTATGCATATACCGGTATTGGTACCCAAGGTGCATGTCACAACTCCATGTAAGAATGAAAGCGTTTTTGACGTGCGTTTTATGTTGTGGGTTTATGTTTGAATAATTAAGATGTCCGGGGAATATAAAAGTAACAGTTTTCCTCAAGAATCATTTGACGTTCGTCCGGATTCCACCTGTACACGTTAGGAAAAACAAAGGCTACTAATGCATGCCCATGCAGTACGCAGAGGGCCTATTCTAGTCTGGCACAACGATGTGTGGTATCATTCCTCACCACCATTGTCCTGGCATTGTGCAGTCCCTTGATGGCAGACAGGCACTCCTCCTTGGACCCCATGCGTGCAAATGCACACGACTTGCTGACACCCTTGTCGTCACGTAGCACATTGCACTCTTCGACCGTTCCATACGGGCAAAGTATCTCGCGCACGTCTTTCTCAACGCTGTTCTTAGAGAGCATGCCAATAAAAAGCTTTCGCTCCTCTGAAAAATGTACAACACGAACACACAAACACCAAAAACCATATTAATATTATTATGAATCGCACGCAACAGCATTACATTGACACCATGAATATTCAGCAAAGCAACACCGCAATTGTCTTTTTTGGATAGGCTCTGACCAAGGCAGGGGAGCAAGTCCACGTGCACTAGTACTGTACTATTACAACTGATCACGAGCACATGTCTTTGGACATGACAAGTGGAAAGCAGTACCACGTGTCACCAAGTCAAACAGCGTATGGACATCAAGTATAGGTACTACGGGGAGTGAAAGTCGCGTACGCACGCAACACAAGAAAAAAACTTCTTCCCACATATCTCACGAGTAGAAATAAAGTGGACAAGACAACGCCACGGACCAAACCGGACACTTGAAGCGTCCATTATGACAGACATAAGACTGAAGTGGAGCAGTTTCGCAATCGGCAAAACACAGCAAGACTTACAATACACGAAAGTACGCACGGCGTGCACCTGTGTGTCTATGGCATAATCCGTAAAAAAACACATGCACGGCCCACCTGGAAGGAAGGGAACAAAAAATTAGAATAATCCTTACCTGGTTTTGTTTCATTGTTATCCGCTGGCTTCACCTGCAAAGGGCGCGCCATCTGCACCCGAACACAGAACAAAACAGGACAAAGAATGACGAAAAGGTACAGAGAAAAATGCTTTGACTAAACACCGTACACTTATACATAACATCAAAAAATACAGCACACGTGGAACATTTTTCACCGACTCGGACTTCGTACTGCATGCATTGGGCCGGTTGGGTACACACTCCGAAAGAGGACCAAAAGTAGACTAACTTACACCAGGGAGTTGGCGAACGTCATGGAGAGCCTTTATGGCCTTGTCCGCGCTGTCCTTGTTCTCATATGTTAGGAAGCAACATCCTGCGTGGCAAGTGAAAACATGAAAAGTACTACCAGTCCATTTCAAGAACATACAACCAATACATTTCAAGAACGGTTTTCAAATTTATTTCAAGCAACACCTCACATACAGGGAAGGTACAAGGCGAATTGTGTCGCATGTAAAGAACAATGCAACTCAAGGCAAGGCAGAAAGTCACCGTGAAGAAACCAATTCCCATTTCTACAATTATTTGAAAATTACTCACCTTTATGATGGTCTGTAACCCGGTCCTTGAGGACTTTCAAGTCCACGATAGTTCCAAACTCGGAGAATATCGGTTGAAGTTCTTTCTCAAAGTAGGACCGCGGTATCTGGCCGACAAAGAGCTTCACTGGCTCTTGGAGAACCCCTGGCTTGTGGTCTCCATTTGATAATCCATTAGTTGAAGCAGAGGGCGAGGAGAGAGATACTCCTTCGAGCTGACTCTGTACGGACTGCATTATTGACGGTGGTTCACAGTCGTCCGAGAAGAAGAAAATAAGAACCGGCAGAGCGAAGGTATGAGCTGAACTGAACTGCTAGATGTACGAAACAAGAAATGAAAGTGTACTTTACTTCGCACTTCTGTGCCGCCACCAGCAGCAAGCACAGTTTCAGATGCGAACAAGACACACAGCGTGGACGTCGGCGATAAATTTCTCAAACACTCCGTTCCTCGCGGATTTTTTTACTTCCCTGGCGCGAGTGGCCATGGAAACTCACACAGTGGATCAAGTAGATATCTGTCACATGTCGAGGCTCAAAATGTAGTGTAGCAGTGTAGACCACGGGTCGGAAGACCGTACAGGTCTACTATCAAGAGTACATGAAAACGGTTTTCATGTACTCTTGCTACTATGCATATGGTCCAGTATGGAGCTCAGATCAGATGTCACCGACCGAGTGTCATCAGCATGCTGCATGGATCATGCATGCAGTAGACAAGACAAAATACTTGTATTGTTGTTGTAATGTCTGTACACCAAGGACAGGTACTACTAGTAGTAGTAGTAGGTCTTGAATGGCATGATGGTACACACCCATGATTACCAAGACTGACGGCAAGAGACCATAAACTCTTGCTATGATCTACACGCCTCAAACGCACATGCACAGCCACAGATACCATGGATACAGGAGGGTAGCGAGAAATGGCAACTAATCTCGCGCGCTAGATGTGGGCTTCCGACACTGCCAGAGATAAGACAGAGTGTGGGAATCCCCGGATACCTCATGACTAATATCAAGAGTACATAACCATGATAACTATGTACTCTTGCTAATAATATTCAAGTGGCAAGATTGTGCGTGTGGTCATTCCACGATGCCTAAACACGAGAGCCACGCAAACAAGCAGAGCAAAATCCTGCATTGAATGAAAGCCATGGGATATGGCTCTAGATCTACCAGTGCTAGTAGTAGTAGTAGTACCAGAGATTCGTGAAAGTATTGGTATATTTACGACTCCCCTGATCTGACACTAAACTAAAATTTTACTTGACACTCAATGACAGTGTAGTCCATCGGCCAAGTCTCAAAATCGAAAGTGGTGATGCACTGAGCTTCCAACTAAACGCGACCATACCCAGCACGTAGAGAATATATCAGAGAACACTATTCCGTTTGTTGGACGTGCCGAATTCAGTCCAGGGCGTCGATACGAAGCGTTCTTCGTCGCCGAGTTTTTTACTGTGCGCTCCATTTGAGAGTGCGCAGAGTTCTGATCGAGAGTTTTTTGAGCAGATTTTCAAATTTTTGAGGCTGTCAGCTGACAGCTGTCAACCCTAAATGGCACTTAGTATGTGACAGGCAATAGGTTTTGGTGCCTCCGTATGCCTTCTAATAAGTTCTATCTTCCTTCGTTTCACTTCGCTGCTTCGCCCACTACCTCAGGAGATGACAGCGTACCTGCACTAGTCAGCTCTCGCTAACCCTGTCTCTCTTTCTCCGTCTTAGCGCTCGTCATTCGTGTCCTTCTGCTGGGGCGAGCTTGATACTGTTGTGTCGTAGTTTTTAGGCAATAGTGGCTGTTGTTCGCGTGACGATCAGGATTTATGGAGAAAGACGACGACTCGCCAAGTTCCCATGCAGCCACAGACGGCGTAGCAATTCTTACCGCCAACCCTTCGAGCAACGGAACCGGCCTGAGTTGGAAATCGTGTCTGTGTAATTGTGCCACGATACGGATGAAACACACAGGCTCACATGTGACGAGATGAAGATAATCTCAACAGGCTGACGGAAATCCAACAGGCTCACGGGAACGCTGCAGTTATGGTCGGAGACGCGGAGTTATTTAGTCACTGGTAAATGTTGCATCGAGTGCTGTGTGCTCTAACACAATTGTAAAAATCATGAAAAAGCGAAAATAATGCAATGGTGGGGCTGAGTGGTGTTCTGTGGAGGAGACGTCGCTGTCTCAGTATTCAACGCCGGACCCTGTATTTCAAGTCTGTGGTCATGCTCGATCATAAGATCCTGTATGGCTCCAGTGCCTTCTCAGCATTGTTGGCGGGTAAGCACCTGGATCGTGTCCAAGTACTGCGGCTCTGTTGGCTTGAGGGACGTACGGGTGCTCGCCGTGCACCCCTGCCGGCAATCTGCTAGTGAAGCTTGGTACCTACTGAGTCCGGGAGATTTTCATCCAGAAGCTGATCTTCCTAGGCTGGAGCTGCTGCTACTCCTGTGCTAGCCCTCAACCACTGGCGCTCCTACTCGGCTCCAGTGTGGGCCATTAACCACCCTGCCCGATTTCGCACTGTTGCTATTCCACACCGTCAGCATTTAACTCTGAGGTCAAACCTTGATCCCTCCCACCATATGCTATCTGTCTGTCTGCCTCTCTCTCACACACAGATGTGCGCGCATACACACATGCACACACAGTGGCACAAACATACACATAGCCAAATTCTCTGTGTTTGGTGATCATCATCTGTTTTCTGGTGTGCAAGCTCACCTCTGATGCCGATTACTTCCTTGCTTAGACCCGGTCTGCTATTAGACCAGTCTGCTCTCCCTTCACTCGCTTGTAAATCCCACTTGGAGCAGTAAGGTTGTGTCACTGCTCCTACTGATGTCATTGTTGTGAAAGCAATATCATCGCCATTGGTGGTAATTTTCCACCGTGCATGAATCATTAACAATCATCATCTATGTGTCACGGCCTAACCATCCTCGTAACTCCCCTCGTCGTGACTAGTGCTGTACCGTTGAAACCTACTTTGCTTCAGTGTATATTCGCTCCAAAGCTCTTGTTTTGTTGCATAGTGATCTGACGCAGTGTGCTATAGCCTGTCGGGTAATATGGATAAGATTAGTACAGTCGGCATCGCCTATCGAGTGACCAGGTACATGTATAAGGATACTAGTACATGTATACCGGCTTAACGATATCGGAACACAAATAGCACTATGTGTGCAATATTCCTTTCTAAGCTCACGCTGTGCGGTGCAGATAGGTCATTTGTCGTTGCCAACTTGCCGCATGTGCATGTGCAGCAGGAAGGCACCACATGTCGACTACTACTTATACTGTACAGCATTGTGTGCTTACATGCATCTACGGCCTTGTGGATGCAATTGAGTCTCACATACATGTACATGAAATATTGCGTGTAGTGCGGCATCAGGTGTTAACATAGAGTGGCAAATATTTTTCTCGCAATAATGACCGTATTCACCACAAGTGTGTTTATGTCCAGAGCCAACTCAAGTCCTGTATTATTTATGACCATGACAACAAGACTTCCAGGCTGAAATTCTTCTAGGACAGGCATGAACACTTGCCTTACAATTGTTCGTGATTGTACGAAGTACATATTCGCTGTTGCATCAATTTTGCACCATTTACATTGTAGTGCCACAAGTGGTGTCACGGACACCTGCATGCGTATTGAGTCAAACAAGGTTACCTCTGTATAATTATGCTTATCGTGGCTATCAAGAGCTTCGATGCAAATTCCCAGCTGACGAATGGTGTCCAGCTTGTGTTCAGCTCAGCTGGCACTCACAACTCATAATAATTGCGTTCTAGACGCCAGATGAGATATAAGATGTTTCAGCTACAATGTAGACACAACGTCCGTGTTCAAGAAAGCCGTCACTTCATCTTCTGTCCATCCTCAATAGCACGTTCAAGCAAATACGTCTGAAACACAGTAGCGACAATCCGACAGCGGCGACACGCCGTCTTCTCCGAATGAGCTTCTACCGTTCTAATTCAGATTCCCCCAAAAATGTCAAAATAAATAATAGATTTCCACCAAGCTCGCTAGAATCTTGCGAACCGTCAACATGCAGGCATTTCAAGTGTTCGAGCGTGCGTAGATTCTGCTCAGCGGCTCAAGAACATTCGCCAAGCGAAAAAAAGTCGATGAGAAAGATGTAATGGTGGACGAAATTACAAAAATCGGAAGAAGGTATTCGACCCAGTTCGACTATCCTGGACTGGATTGGCAACGTCCAACAATCGGATTCGTATTCTATGGGGTCTCATGAGCTAGTGTGCCAAAGGGCGTTTAGTTGGAGCTTCAGTGCATCACCTTCGTCGAAAGAGGCCCTTTCTGAGATTTGGCCGATGGACTAGTGATCATGGTGATACATCTGCATGATGTGGCTCAAGGAGCATGGTTTGCTCCTGCCGTGCCTGAGTCCCCTACTGTATACAAATGGTATAGTCAGGTACTAGTGTAGTGGTGGTGGAGGCACGCATCCAGTGAACCTGCACTGCTGTGATCCTACTCGGAGTCTGTATAATCATTACTGATGCCGGATTCCTTTTATGTAATTGTGTTGTTTCTTCACATGTGTTATTTGCCCGTACAGAGGCTCAAGGAGTTCATTCCTAAAAAAACAAAAGCAGTGAGTGATACATGTAGACCTACCATGCTAATGATAATGTAATTTTTACATTGTCAAGGTGAGGCCTCACCTTGACTTTAGCAGAATCGAATGAGCGAAAGAATCGTCAACAAACCGAAACCCCATGGCCTACGACATGACATGACTGTATCATTGAAGGAAATTCCACACTGCGATGCCAATAGTCCGTCGTCATGAGCTACATACGTAAAGTTCCCGCAGTCTCGGATATCCACGGAGTTTCAATTTCATCGTCAAAACTAGGCCTTTGCGGATAATGCCGGCAGAAAAATTGGCAGAATTCGGTACTTTTTCTGGTAAGTTTCATGCATGTTTGGTATGTGGATAAAAGAAATGGAGCAGAATTCGAGGAATTGCCCGCCATAAGGTTTGTATGGTTCTGCCAATTTCACTGCTTTTCGAGCAGAATCTGCCACCTTTTCGAGCATTATCCGCCAATGCCTAGCCAATACACATCAAGGCAAATATTGAGACTCTCTTCGAACAGGACGTTTGTGAACAGATACATGTCCGAGGGGTGGCCGGAACTAGGTGGGAGCAAATTAGGCCTTGGCGGATAATGCCGGCAGAAAAATTGGCAGAATTCGGTACTTTTTCTGGTAAGTTTCATGCATGTTTGGTACAGGGAGTAGTACAATACTGTATTGTACTACTCCCTGGTTTGGTATGTGGATAAAGAAATGGAGCAGAATTCGAGGAATTGCCCGCCATAAGGTTTGTATGGTTCTGCCAATTTCGGTGCAAAAAAAGCAGAATCTGCCAC